TAGTGCAACCTCTATTAACTTATTAGCTCTATTGTCTATCTATATATCTAGTAGTATACCTTCTGCCTTAGCAACAGCTATAATTTAAGCTGCTATTATAGCCTTTAATACCTTGCCTATAACGTTAAGTAGCAATATAAAGCGCTACCCCCTAGCCTGCCTTTAGTCTATAGGCATTTTCCTAGGCTTATAGAGAATAATTACTTTAGTAGTCTATTTTACGCTAAGCGCTTCTGCATTTCTTAGTAGTAATCTAGCTCTATACTAAGTTAGCCTCTAGGCAGTATTTCTAGTTAGCTGTTATTTATTTATAGCACTATACTTATTTTGCTCTCCTTATATTTAATACTACCTTTATTATACACTAGCTCTACTACTATTTCTAGTAAGAAAGCCTTAGCGCTCTCTTTAGTGCAGTATTATTTACTATCTCCTAGAGTTATTATACTATCTAGTCTATATATTTATTAATATTAGCTTAAGTATAGAGCAGCTATATTACTACCTTGCCTTAAAACTATACTTTAGCCTCTGCCTTAGCTAATTTCTTATTAAGCTTTTTCTATAAGTACTTTATAAGCGCTAGAGGCTTATTATCTACCTCTATATTAACTTAGATTAGCTATAGAATATAGTTAGATTTAGCTAGATTTATAGCTCCTTAGTATATAACTTTAAAGCTCTATAAGACTTAAGCTAAGTTAATAGTGCTATCTCTATCTTTATGTTTTTGCCTTATAAGTTCTTCTTTTAGTATTACTAAACTAAGCTGCTACTAAGCTACTATTACTAATAGTTCTTTATAGCTCTAGCTAGTTCTCTTTAGTTTATTCTAAAGTAGGTGCTTAAAGTTAAAGTCTCTAACTAATATATACTTATTCTAGGCCTCTCTAGCCTCTATATTATATAGAGGTATATTCTACCCCTTGCTTTTATAGAGCTCTAAGTATAGTAATATAACTTTAATTCCCTTAATTCTTATATTAGCTTAGTCTTTACTACTATTCTTAACTAACTATAAGCTAGGCTTATACTAAGTATAGATATATACTATATTTCTACTTTAGTAATATACTAGTCTATAGCTGCTAAGCTCTAAGCTAAGAGGCTAGCTCTATTTTATCTATTTCTATTTCTATATTACTATTAAGTTAACATTAAGCTAGTAGTAGAGCGCTATATAGATAAAGTTGTTCTTTCTATTAATATTCTAGTATAGTATCTTAAGCATTCTAGAAGAGTAGAATAATATTAATTCTTAGTATTATAGCATTTCTTAGCAATAAAAAGCAGCTTATATATAGTAGAATACTAGCTAGTTATTAAGCTAGAGGTATTACATTCTTAGTTCTATTTCTACTCTCTAGTAGACAGCCTCTCTTCTAGGCAGGCTATTCTCTGCCTAACTTTAAGTTAGAGTTAATTTTAATCTACTAGTAGTAGTAGTCTAGGTATTAATAGTCTATAAACCTTATTAAGCATTCTAAGTATCTCTCTTTAGCTTTATTCTAGTGCTTCTTTAGAATAAAGTAGGCTTAATTCTAAGCTAAGTATGCTTTATTATATAGAGCATACTTTTCCCTAATATTACTTATAATTATAAAATATAATTATTCTCTATCTATATAGCGCCTAGCTGCATACTAACTACACTTTAGTATTACTTTATAATATTTAGCTATATGCTTAATGCTATAGTAGTTAAAGTACTGCCTTAAGTAGAGAGCCTTATTATATAGTTTAGTATTAAATATCTTAGCTTAGAAGACTAGGCCTTTCTAGTATAACTTATTAGCATCTTCTAGTCCTTCTATACTTAGTATTAAGAGCGCTCTTATAGTAGAATTACTCTAAGGCTGCTGCAGAGTAGCTTATATAACTCTTACTTTATTTATCTTTACTATCTCTTTAGTAAGGCCTTTAACCTTTATATACTTAGTAGAGAACTCTTTAATAATTATACTAAGCACTTATTAGTATATAGTTGTATTTAAGCTAAAGGCAGCTTAGACTTATCTAGTTTCTTCTTAATATTATTTTGCCTTCCCTTAGAAGGTTACTATAGTATTACTACTTAGCAGGCGCTTTATAGCAATAGCAGTATTACAGCTAACAGCCTAGTTTATAGCTAATACTATATTAGCAGTAGCCTGCTCTTTATATACTTTTATAATAGTATTTCTCTTTATAAGCACTTTATAATATTATTATATTAAGATAGAGAGGGGAGGGAGGCTAGAGCCTAAGCTAAATATACTCTAGCTGTAATACTTACTTATAATTGCAGTCTTTTAGCTGTCTTTATAGCTTTCTTTACTGCTGTTATTACAGCTTTCTATAGCTGTCCTTAAGTTATAGAGGTATTATCTTAGTTAATTACAGCTTTAGTTATAGCCTAGCTTCTGCCTTAGTGTATACTTAGAGTATTGCCTAGGCTCTCTTAAAAGTATTACTCTCTAGAATATAGCCTATAAGTTTATTATATACTTCTTTTTAAGTATTATTAAGTTAGTCTTAAGTTATAAGCAGCTTATTACTGCCTAGTTTTTATTTATTAAACTATTCTCTTTCTATATTTAAGTAGTAGCAACTTTAGGCAAGCTTCTTATTACTACTATTAATAACTATTAGTATCTTCCCTCTGCCGCCTTGCCCCTAGTGCAGCTGCTGTACAGTATTGCAGGTAGAGGCAATTAAGTGCAAGAAAGAAGGTCCTTATATTAGTTTGTATTTTAGAGGCAGTCTTAAGCTAGCGCAGCAGTGCTGTAGACTAAAGGCTAAAAAGTTAAAAGAATATATATAGTTTATAGTAATAAAGTATTCTTAATTATATTAAGAATACTTATTATAGTTAGTATAAGCAGTAGGCTTATTATTATACTTAATTTTATTAGAATTTTAAGTATATAACTATAAGTCTAATTAAAGTAGTATATTATAATGTAAAATTCTATATATATATTAGTAATAGCAATTTATTTATACTCTTTTAATTAATTTAGCAGATAATTCTTAAAAAAAATTATAAATATTCTTAAAAAGCAGCTATAATAAAGCTTTAGCAGCAAAATATATATAGGCACAGCAAATAGCTTAGTAATTTACCTATATAAATATTTTATAAGGCTGTTAATCTCTTAGCCTGCTAGTATAAGCTTATAGAAGCTAATTATTATAAAGGTAAATAGCTTTAACTTTATAAGGGAAATTGCTCTTTTATATACTAATTTATGCTGCTTTATATATATATTATCTTATTAAAGCTATAAGTATAATAGCTCTTAAAAAGAAGCAATATTTCTTATTATTAGTAGCTTATAAAGCTGCTAGTAAGTCTTAGTTTTAATCTCTATTAATTTATTACAGAAAATATACTTAATATTAACTTATAGACTTTTAATGCTTTATATCTTTAAATTTATTATTTTTATAGAATTAATTACAGAAGATACTGCCTGCTGCTCTTAAATATATAACACTAAAATTCTAATAATAATAGTAGTTAATAGCTAAGTTAAAGGCCTTAATTAGGCTCTTAAGGTTGCTAATAAACTAATTTAAGTATATAATATATAGTAATATAAAATAAATTAGTTAAATAATTTAAGATGCAATAATAAAGAAGACTTTCATATAGTTAAGGCAGCAATTAATAAATACTATAAATAATATACAACCTTAATTAACAAGTAGATAAGCTATAAAGCAAGCAGTAGTATTAAAGTTGCTATAGATTTAATAGATAACCTCTTAGAAGCCTAGGCAGCACTCTTAGAGGCAGCAGAATAATTAACAGCCTAGGCAGCAGAATAATTACAGCTTGTAATATATATATATTTATTAAAAACACTAGAAATTGCGTTTTTAAGCAATTTAAGTGCTGCTAGTGCTTGCTTAAGCTTATATTATTAAAAAAATAATAGATTTAATTTAAATACTAATTAAATTTCTAAAAAGCAGGCGCAACTATATAGGTGTATGTAAAAATGTATAGTAGAGTGTAGGCAGTTAGTCACTAGGCTAAATCGAGCCGCGGTAGCACGAATAGATAGAGTTAGTAGCACGAATAGCACGACCCACTAGTGACCATCGACTCACCTGGTTTCCCGATTGGGAAGTCCAGGGTAGCCGGGTCGGGTACCCCACAGGAAATTGAAAAGGCGGATATTGATATCGCAAGCTCCACTTGAAAAAGTTGGAGCATTGAATCCCATCTCCTGTGCACAAACGTACAGGCATCTTGGTGTGGTACCACGGTCGTGAATCGTGATTGTGTTCCGCGCAACACAGTCCCCCCACTCTTGCAACTAGATGGCGCCAGCGACCGACGAACCGCCAGCCATGCGACGAGGAAGTGAGCAACAGCAGTCGTCCCGGCAAACGAAAGGCCGCCTCGACTGTGTGGCGTGCCGACGCCAACCAAAGAGACAATGGCGGCACCTACTACGAATCAGGCAGTTGGAAATGCCATGTCACATCATCATCGCTTTGCGGGTTTCCGCAACCCCTGGTCCGTGGGCACTCCATGCATGCATGCCTGCATCGTGGCGTCTACATGCCCAAAGGGGCAATTCGGATCTATCACTCAACGATAGGATGCTAGACCATGGATCCTACAGCATGACAAGCAGCCGGGCAGTGAAGGATGGAGGGGAACGAGCCGAGCCGGGAGATGCGCAGGGAGAGCCGACGCATGAGCGTCGCGGCGATAGTCTCTCCCATTCTGCTATTTGCGTCGCCTGCGCGGAGCAAGGGAATTCGCGGGTTTCCAGCAATTGGGTGCAAGGTCCACGGCAGACATGGACAGTCGATTCGACGGCGTCTTTGCTCACAACATGCTTGTATTTTCAGGCTGATGCGCTCACGTACATCGAGGGGATGCCAGCATCGTCAAGGAGCACATATATACAGGTACAAGTAGAAGGACGACACGTCCTGGCGGCAACGTTGGCAACCATGCCGTACCGCAGAAATCCCAAGTTGGCTCGGCGAAAGAGTGGTTACGAGGTGCCGGAGCAGCCGACAAAATTGTTTCCTGAAGCACCAGTGTGGGTGATGACGCCGGCAAGCTCGCAATCATCGTTGATGACGACGCGGTCAGGCCCAGGTGAGCCTGTCAAGAAGTCAGTAGAGAACGGCGCCGAGGCAGATTCGAAGCTGGGCCCTGGTATTTTCCTCCGCGTCTAAACACGTACCGCCAGAGTAGACTGCGCCCGACTTGAGAATGGGAAACTCGTCGTAAGGGCCGGAGACGGGAAAGTCGAAGCCTTCGTAGTTGTTGTATCGATGGGGGTAGGTCGAGGATCCGGCGTGGCTGCCGCTCCGGACATGATCGCAGGCAGTGTCGGCAGCGGCCTGCACATCATCAGAGGTGTATTGGACGCCGCCGCAGCTGGTGGCATCTCGGGCCTGGAGGTCAGCAGGGGCGGCGCTGGCCAGGGCAACGAGGGAGATGAGGCTGAAGACGGAGAACTGCATGTTGACCAGATGCCAGGCCGTCGATGTGCAAACTGTGTGGTCAATGAACTCTCGAGGCAGTCAATCCCACAGTCTCTCGCGCGAGATTCCGAGGGGGGGCTGTTCTTATAGCAAGCTTGCTTACCAGACCCCTTGCCCTTCGCCGTGGGTGGCTTGGAGACGGTGATACAGAAACCAGTGAGACCCCGACATCCGTTATTAGAACGGCACCGTCGATCTTGGTGCGCCGCCCTGGCATCGAAAGTCCATCTCGGCAGCTCAGTGGTGGCCGCCAAGTTCAGCTCTGAACACCAATCCAATATGTCGCGCAGTCTAGTCCGAAGCTTCGTGATACTACCGCCATGGCTCCCGCCACTCAGACGCCCTTGTCTACGCCATGTGAGGGTTGGCTTTATGGAGAGAGGAGCGGGCCGGGGTTGGGCGTCTTGAAAGGTCAACTTGTCGTGGTCGTGGATCGGCGTCCTAGTGGCCAGCTCCTCCGGCACTTTAATGGGCAATCCAGGGCTCTCGAGGGAAAAGAAGTCAGTCGATGGCTTCTTCGAAAGAGTAATTTTCTGTGTCACACAGGCGCGCATGACGCATGACCGAGACAGGCCCGTGATACCGCATTCGACCTGTCAAACCCAGCCCAGATCTTACTCAGCTTCCGTGTTGGTCTTGTGGCGCCGAAATCCTGTCAAAGCGCACGTTCAACCTCCCATTCACAGGATGAGTCGCTACCAAGTGGGCTAATCGTGCCCGCCCCACTTTATGTGGTTCGGCTAGCAAAAGCCCTCACCACCAAAGGTGGTGCTCGACAGCAAGGCGGGCCGGACACCAAGGCGGGCCAATTTTCAACCTAATAACGCTATTAACCTCTTCGCCTATAATGTACACCCTTCTCGTCCCAAATTTCTAGTAGATCTAGTACAGAATCCAGACGCCATTTACGTGCCTTTTTAGCTGCTTCAAAAAACGTCCTCTTGGCGTGGTTGTGGCGCCTTTTGTCGGCATGCTCTTTATGCTTGCTGTTCGCCTGATGAACTCGAGAAAGGTCTTTGCAAAGGCGTGATTGGAAGGAGAAACGGCGAATGGTTGACGCGACAGGTATGCATTTGTTGGCGGTGACGGGAGGGGAGCCATATGAAGAGGTGCATTATCTGTTGACTGTTTTTCTAGACCGGGAAATAAAAATAGGACATGTATAGAAAACCAGATATTACAGCCCTTTTTAAAAAAAAAATCAAAAAAATCAAAGGTCGTCACTCATTCATTGGAAGCTTCAACGAAAAAAAAAACCCCGGATGTAATTACGCAGCTCATTAAAGATCCACCTGATCAATCGCCGGCCACCATTGAGACCAGGCCCCCTGCTCGTCGAGGTTATTGCTGACTTCCGCGAAAAGCTGGTTCAACAAGGTATTAGTGTCGAGCTCGTGCTCGTGCTCGTGCTCGTGCTCGTGCCCTTGAACCGGCCAAGTCGCCTGCGCCGAGGGCCGCTCCGCGCCCCGAATCTCCCGAGTATGCGCGTCGGATCTATCCACGACACGGAACTCGTGGACAGACTGGTGTAGAGTATCAAAGTCTGCTCGTGTGCGCCCCTGGTATCGTGTCCGGTCCTCGGTTGCTCGCTCGTAGAGCACGGATGCATGGTGTATCGTTTTGATCTTGCGCGTGCCGCCCTCTCAATGTTAGCGCAACGGTGGCCACGGTCGTGTCATGCTTGCGGGCGGCTTACCCATCCGTCGGCGATTTTCCAGACAAGTCGAAACTTTTCCAGGTAGTCGAGACACATTTTGAGACAGTCGCTTGCTCGCGGGCTGCGGCCCAGGTTCATTCGGGGGTATTTCGCCACGTAGAGGTTGAGGTAGCCGGCTGAGAATGCGCAGAACCCGGCAAAGGGCGTCATGAGATGCACGCCACACTCGGAGGCCTCGTGTAGAATGGCGGCGATGTGCTCTGCCGCGCCGAAGAGGAGTCGGGAGCTGTCGTCCCACCAGCCCTCGGGGGCGGGCGCCCCCAGCATGGGCTGGTCGACTGGACCCCGTGGCTCCGACTCCGGGGTCGGCAGGAAGGGGAAGTACTCGCGGTGAAGCATGAGGGTGCTGACAAGGCGTAAGCAGGGGCGGCGGCGGCAAGTTGGGAGCCCCGTCGACCGCTACCGCTGTGGGAAGGGGATTCTTACCTCACGTAGTACAGGAGATTGAGGTAGACGAACGTCTCGCCGAAGCCGAGCGTCATGTGGACGGCCACCGAGTTGCTGGGGTAATGGAGCTTCCGATGCTGGCCTGCCCTTCGAAGATCCCGGCCCTTCCTCTCCCCCTTTTCCTGGCTACGCTCGTCAGCAATCAGCCAGTACCGTTCGGGAAGGTCGTGTCACCGTGTGGATGTCAGCCTCTGGTCTAGTCCACGGACGAGATCTGATTGGGATTTGCCTTCAAGGCACATAAGCCGGCGCCCAAACAAACGCAAAGGGTGCCGTCAGGCCTGTACTTGACTAACAGCAGATGAGGATTCCCATGGTGCAGCTATTCGGTGATCAAATTGGGTGGGAGTCTAGTCCACACAACCTAACCTAGCCTAAGGGCGGATCCTACAAGTCTGCGTGCGTGAAACGAAGCGACAGCTTGTTGCACGCAGCACGGCAAGCCACCGGGGTTCACGTACGTACCACGCCTGTCTTCGGAGCCAAAGCATTGGAGGAGGGCTTGCTCGGTCCTGGAGCATGGAACGTGACGTATCAAGAACGAATGCCGATCATCTCCAGCTTTCGCATGCAGTCTGTTCCTGGCCGGGAAACATAGATATAGAGTGTCTCATCCTTGTTACCAACGAGAACCCTATTCAATCTCAGAACTAGCGGCTGCCCTAGATTGAATTGAACGGCATCATCGTCAAAGATCGACCAACTACTGGTTCGGAGTTGTTAAACATGATATATTCGTACAGTCCTGCGATTTCGATAAAGACGTGCTAGGTGCCTCGTATCCTCAAGCATTTGCGCTGTACAATTACGTCGCCACCGCTCCAGAAGCCGAATATTTCCATCCAACGTTAAGTAGGATTGCTCCAGCGAAAACATGCTCGGATTGCCTGCCCACTGGGAAAGCTGCGCGAACCGACCCGCCTTGAGCTTTACTGACCGTTCTGGTTGTTACCGCCCTGGCCGCAAGCCTCGCTGCCGTTCGGATCGACTTGGCCGGTTTGACTGGCCTTCTGTTTCTGACTGCCAGCCTGGCCACAGGCCTTTTGACCGTTCTGACCGTTCTGACGAGGCTGGCCGTTTTGACCATTTTGAGCATCTTGACCAGGCTGACCATTCTGACCATTCTGACCAGGCTGACCATTCTGACCATTCTGACCAGGCTGACCAGGCTGACCATTCTGACCATTCTGACCGTTCCGACCATTCTGACCATTCTGACCATTCTGACCGTTCTGACCATTCTGACCGTTCTGACCATTCTGACCAGGCTGGCCAGGCTGACCATTCTGACCATTCTGACCATTCTGACCATTCTGACCATTCTGACCATTCTGACCGTTCCGACCGTTCCGACCATTCTGGCCGTTTTGACCATTCCGACCATTTTGACCACTTCGACCGTTTTGGCCATTCTGACCATTCTGACCATTCTGACCATTCTGACCGTTTTGACCATCTTGACCAGGCTGGCCGTTTTGAGCATTTTGAGCATCTTGACCAGGCTGGCCATTCTGACCATTCCGACCATTCTGACCATTCTGGCCGTTTTGAGCATCTTGACCAGGCTGGCCAGCCTGACTATTCTGACCATTCCGGCCGTTTTGACCATTCTGACCATTCTGACCATTCTGACCATTCTGACCATTCTGGCCGTTCTGGCCGTTCTGACCAACTTGACTGGTCTGGCCGTTCTGATTCTGGCTCTGATTAGCACCCTGGCCACAAGCCTTGTTGCCGTTCACACGACCGTTTTGTCGGGCCTGGCTGTTCTGGCCGGCCGCCTGCCCGCCCCTGTTCTTATTACCCTTATTGCTGGTTGTGCTGTTGGTGTTGTTGACGTTGCCGCCAAGGCCATTGACCGCTGCAGCACCACCACCGTTGCTCTGATCGACGAACCCACAACCAGTCTTGCCGTTTTGGAACTGGGCGCCAGGACCAGAACAGACGGGCACACCACCGGCTCGGCCGGCACAGCATCCGGACGCACAATCAGCGTTGTTTCTACATTGTCCCGTGATGAACTGCTTGCCCTGTCCGTTGCCGACGTTTTTCACCCCGGCAGGGTCCGGTGCAATACTAGCATAAGCCGTCAAGGCCACTACGAGGGACGAGAGTCAGCCCCTCGAACAGAGAAATGCAGTTGTCCGACGAGACTTACATGTGAGAAGAGAAGAAACGGCCAAGCGAACCATTTTGAGTCTGGCCAGCAGAGAAATGTGTCCAAAATTGGGAAAAATACAAAAAAACCCCAAGGTCCAAAGTAGCTGTGCCCGGTAGCTTGTGGCGTTATCGGCGACAAGGAAAACAAATGGATTTGTTGTAAAGCAAGTAATCGACGAAAGAAAGTAATCAACTCCAGGTCAAATGTGTCAGGTGTTGCGCGCAGTAAAGATGTGGATGGGTTCCCGACTCGAGCCAAGCTTTCGAGACGGTCCGGTTCCGTCTTTATATATTCAGCGCGGTCCACGGCGTCTGCCGCAGATGTGCGGACGGCATTTTGGAAACGGGCTGGTGTTGAAGCCGAGTCGGCATCCGAGGCGGCATTGGCTGGCGCCGCGTGATGAAAATTGTCAACATGCGCTTCTGCCGCGTGAGCTCCATGGTTCAAGTGGTGAAGCGCCTATTGTCCTCGGGCTGTCTGTCTGGCGCACGGGATGAAGGTTTTGACATGGCTGTCATTGTTTGGGGCTGATATGGGGATGGGGCCGATCCGCGACAACTAAAGCCGACCTGTGACACGAGGCGTTGAAGGCGACGATGGCGCGGGCGGATTTCTGCAGACGAGCATGAAACCGTTGATGTGCTCGGGGATATTGTCAACCCCCCTCGCGAGCTTGGACTCCGGCACGAGGGTCCGTGTCGTCGTTCTTGGCCACCGGCGAGGGAGGTAGGGCACGTGTGAATGCGAAAACTGACGGCGGTTTCGTCAATGCCGGTTGACACACGATGAGATGAAAGCTGCGTATTTACGGAGAACGTCGGCAAGAAGGAGTCCTTTGACGCGCGGGAACGGACAGAACCGTGTTGGGCGGGGCGGGCTGCGGAGCTCGGTTACATAAGCTCGTCCAGGTTGTCGTTCCCTGGAGCCTTGCGGGCCCCACCTGCATGATGAGGCCTACGCAGCTAGCAAGGCTGACTAAGGTGGGACGTTGGCGCGAGGTCCATATCAACTTCAACTTGGGCGAATATTACCATGGATACTGGTTTCGAGTTGCAAATTTGCAACCTGTCAGTTCCAGGTCGCGAGTTGCGTCGCAGCCAAGTTGACCAACTTCGTCCCTCCTTCCCTGCCTTCTGTCCCACCCGCAGACGCAAACGCAAAGACGCACGCCAAAGTTGAAACTTGGCGTGAAGCCCAGGCTCCCCTCTCGAGCGCGGCAGGCCGCTGGTCCAGAATGGCTAGAGTTTCGATTGCACACTCGAAGACTCGTTGCCATGTGCCGTCGTCCATCACGTCGGGGACCGAACCCGAGACACCCTTTGATGAGACCCATCTGGTCGCCAAAATGTTTCATCCCCTTTCATCCAATGGTGCGGCAAATATACCTTGGATATAGCCTATAGGTAGCCCTATAGGCTGTGAGCCCTCGTGTTTCAGCCCATCCAGCGCCCAACAACTGCGAGCGACCGAGAAGACAGTGGGCTGGGTTGAGGTTCGCGCGTGCTCACTGCGTTTACTCTAATCTTAATTTTAATTTCTTCCTTTTGACGAGGCGGGATCCTCCGGACCCAGCGCGGCGTCGACGTGACGGGAACTCCGTATCCTTCATCCATCACAGTCCAGCCCAGCTTCCACTCCTTGGCCACCTGGCCCCGAGGAGGACTCGTTTCCGTCAAGATCCGAGACTGCGTGCTGGCTAGTAGTCTAATTCGGGGCCACGGAGAAACGTCAGATGAAGCCGTCGGCTGCAAAGCCCGTCTTGCGCGGTACCGTATTGAGATGCAGGTTGCCAGCGGCGTCGCTGTAGCACGAGTCAGCCATGTCGGCGTTTTCGCCTCGCATCCAGCAGCGAGCCAGCCTGAGCAACTGTTTCTCTTGCATCAAGGCTGTGCAGCTGGGTTTTGCGAAACAACAAAGTAGACGAGTTGCCGCGCTTCTTCGAGGCTGGATACGCGTAGTTTGAAGGCTGGGCGTCATGACGAAAACCCGGTCAATTCCACGACGACGCCAGCCAGGCAGGCTGTGCTGGAAACAGACGAGCCGGTATGCCGCCGATGGGCAAACTGCATCCTATCTAGGGTATCAATATATTGGGAAACCTGAAACAGTAAATCACATTTCGTTAGCTGCAGTTCTCAACTCCACCTGCCATGTCCGTGGCAGTAGAGCTCATCTGGGCAATAATCCGGGATACGTGTCCAATATCACACTTGGGCTGTACGTATTACGACACGAGTATCCGTACTTGGCATGAGGAGAGTGGAATCGCACGATATAGACGGATAGCCCGCTCGCTCAGGCGCACATGTCAGGACTCATCTCCACAACAATACTGACGACGGATGGAGCCATGTATATTATGACTGAAGAGGGCTACTGATAGAAGCAAAGAGCAACGGCGTAGATGGAGGCGGACAGACATGTTCCGGCCTCAGCTCGACTATAAAGGAGCGCAACGAGGGCTTCGAGCCCGCCGCTGAACATCCTCGTCCCGGACACCAAATCACTCATCTCTAGTACCAAATCCCGTGACGACCACCAAGCAAGCACCCTTGGGCCTTTCTCACACGTCCATTGCTCTTCGGCGCCATCAGCTATGAGAGCCGCGCCCGTCATCATCACGGCCTTGGCCGGGTCTGCCTTGGCGGTGCCAGCTACCCATCGAGGACAGGAAGGGCTCGAGACGTCGAGCATTTCCGAAAGGAGGCGCGCATGCAACAAGCCAGCTGCCGATGGCCAGAGCAAGTGCTTCGCAGAGTCCTGCGGCAAGCAGGATCCCTACGCCCCAGAGTGCGCAGACCACAAGCGCTACATCCAGTGCATGATGCCCGTTCGCGACGCCAACATGAAATGCCTGCTGGACCGCAGCAGGGCCAAGACGACGGCCTGGGCTGCTCACGAACGATGCAGCAGCGAGGCCGTCAGTGGCTTTAGGGCCTGCCGCAACGAGGGAGCTATTGTCGACAGACTCTGGCTAGAGTGTTCTGCGAGGACCGTGGACGCCTACGAGCAATGCGTCCAAGCCGTTCCCGCGACGACATCTGCAGACATGGCGGCCTCCGAGTCGGTCGAAAGGCCCTTCGGCAACGACAGGCAGCTCCGAAACCAGACAATCCGGGAACCCATCTGGGCCGAACGCGAGCCCAGGAACAAGGAATTCGCAGACTGCGAGGCCAAGCTCCCCGGCAACAAGTGCGTCAGAGACTTCTTCCATCTGCAAGGTTCTGTCGGGCGGTTTGTCATGAACTGCAACGTCGGTGACCTGCAGAACAGGAAAAGCCCGCACCGGATTCTCCTGAGCAATTATCCCTCGAGTATGTTTCCCGAGGGCCCCGAGTGCGGGACCGTGAACGGCACTGTCGTCGTTCTCACCAAGGACGACTACGAGCCCATCTGCAACGCGTGCTTCAAGACCAGTAAGAGCTCGTCGCGGCGCTGTGGGCGGCCGGGTAATCCCACGGCTGGAAGGGCCTAGCCGACCGGTTATGGATAAGTTGTACGCAGAAGTTTGGTCTGGGACAGCGGTCAGGATGAGTGCAACACGACGACACCTCTTGTTTCTGGGCTTCACCCACCGTCTGTTTGTTTCTTCTGTCACGAGAAGCCGCAGTAAAAAGGGGCATGTAGATGGCTTGGTCGCATATGAGTTGTGAAGGGTTCGCGCGGCATCGGCTAGATGATATGTAGGCAGAGCGAAGCCGAAGCAAGCATTTCTCTCCCTCTCCCGTCCCGCAAAATAGACCCGAGAAAGCCGTGATGCCAGACACGCGACGCGGGCTCTCACTGCGGCGCAGAAGACGCCATGCGGCCGAGGCGTACGTTGCTCATCGGATGAAACATTGGCTTTGTAGCATCTTTCCGCTGTGAGCGTCGGCCTCCCGGGGTGCCCATGTGCCGTCTTTGAAGAGTCCCCGCAGTCCCGAAGAGACTCTTCAGGTTGTGTTTCCCTGCAGATTGAGGCGACCAAGTTGTGCGTCACACCAGCTGGGATTTTCAGTCGTATATATTTATAGCCAGGTCGATGACGGCTCCGCAATAGTGAGAGACCAAATTAGGTGTCCGTATGTACAGCATTCATCGTCCATCACATGTCGCCAAGTCGCCTTCTACGATGCCAAGGACTCGTACTTCTGGTCTGCCCGCTCGAATGCCCGTTGTAGGGGAATATCCTCCAGTGCGATAATTCTTGTTTTCTTCACGACCTTCCAAATAAAATACGCCGCCAAAACAAGTGGTATGTCGCTACGACAGGTTAGCAGAAGAGCCTGGTGGCGGCGAAGGGAAAGGTGAGGAGTAAGCCGCACAGGTAGGCAGAGACAAAGTTGCTGGCGTTCCAGTTGCCCTTTGTGAAGACGGCGAAACCGCCTGTCAAAAGGATAACAAGACACATGAAGAGTGCGGAATACGAGGAGTACACTTGGGCGGGAGGGTATATTAGCAGTCCGTTCGAGGCGCTTTTAGACTGGCTGAGGTGGACTTACACGTCCAGGAGTTCCACCACGGCAGTCGAGTAATGGGAATCGCTTGCTTCTTCATGGCCAAGCGCAACCGAATGTGGTTCGTCAGGATCGAGATCCACGACACCAAGACACCGGCGGCAGTCAGATTCACCAGCCACCAGAAGACAGTGATGGCATCGTGGGACAGACTCACGAAGCTGAGGAGGCTAAAGGCGGTGAATAGGAAGACGCAGGCGTAGGGCACGCCCCAAGACGTGGTTCTCAGGAAAATCCTGGGCGCCTGCTTCTTGACGGCCAAGCCGTACAGCACGCGGGTCCCGGCCAAGAGACTCTGGTTCGAGGCAGACCATGCCGAGGTGATGACGATGGCGTTGACGACAGATGGGATGGCGGGAATGCCTGCGGCCGAGGCGGCAATCACAAAGGGGCTCTGCGTGGCGTCGCCGCTCTGATTGTTCAGCCGGCCGTCTTGGCTCGACACGAGCATGCCCACAACGAGAATCGCCAGCATGTAGAAGAGCACGATGCGGATGAAGACGTTTTTGCAAGCAGCCGGGATAGCTTTGCGAGGGTTCTCGGTCTCGGCGCCCGCCATGGCAATTGTTTCAACGCCGGCAAAGGAGAAGACGGCGCCGGTCATGACGCTCCAGTAGCCCAGGAACTTGCCCCAGTTTCCGGCGGCAATGTACTCGACAAAGGGGCCCGGGTTGTCCCAGTACTTGAAGTAGAGGGGCGGTGTGCCCTTTACGCCGCCGAGGTCGATGACAAGGCCGAGAAGAATGAGGAAGACGACGAGAAGGACCTTGAGGACGGCGAAAAAGAACTCGACCTCGCCGAAAATCCGGACAAACGAGATGCCAACGACAAAGGTCAGGAGGTTGAAGGTGACGATCCAGACGGAGGGGTTGATGTCGGTCCAGAACTCGAAGAGGACGCAGATGGCGGTGATCTCGGAGGGGATGGACAGGATGTTGCCGTACACGAGTTTCCATCCAATGGCGAAGCCCCAGGCCGGGTCGACAAGAAACTCGGCATGCCGCACAAAGGAACCGGTGACTGGAAGCAGCGCGGCAACTTCTCCCAGGGCGAACTGCACGGCGCAGACGACAAGGCCGACGGTGGCATAGCCCAACAGCGCACCGAGAGGACCTCCGCGCTGGACAGCGCCGCCGAGTCCGAGGAACAGGCCGGTTCCAATGGCGCCGGCGATGCCAAGCATGGACAGATGGCGCTCGGCCAGGCCGCGCTTGAGGTCACGGCCCTCGCCAGCCGTGACTAGATCGCCATGGTGACTGTCGTCGTCGTCTCCAAAGGGCGGCCCTGAAGCCGTACGGACCAGTGCTTCGGCAGGATGCCACTGCTCAATGTTTGATGAGAAGACTGTGTCGTCGGCCAAGCCTCTGCCGTCTGCTGCTGCCGCTGCTGCTGCCGTTGTCGTCGTCGTCGTCGTCGTCGTCGTCGTCCCATAGTCCCTGGCGGCCGACGATGGCGTGCGGCTGCTGCCTTCTCGAGCGCGGGCAAGGAAGCTCTTGAATCCCATGATGTGATGGACTGAAATTCAAGCGCCCAGCCTTGCGGACGGCTCGAGATTCGCGAGACAGACAGAGCACAGGGCGTATTGCTCGCGAAGTTCACACGTTTCTTCTGCACGACGCTGCCCAGCTTAAGTACGCAGATGGTGCGTCTCCACTTTTGGCTGGATGGCGTCAACTACTAGGTACTCCGTACCTAGGTACGTACCTGCACTAGTTGCCGGGACCTGGTCCCAGAGTGGTTAATCAACAGGGGTTATATCCGTAAGTACTTAGTTACTTACCCTGTAGGCATGACCATCCGAGTACGTAAGTTACGTACTCGCACCGCCAAAACACCAAGACGCCGCGCGTCACGCATCACGCATCACGCATCACGTCACTAATCCCGCTCATCCACACAATCAACCTGCACAACCCTCGCCCCCCCGGCCCCGACAACCCAAGCGCTCAACCTCCCCCCATAAACACACGAAGTGTCCAAGCCCAAGGCATACCTCCCCCTCTGCAGCCCCCTCTTGGCATCGTGCCCAAACACGACCATGGTCCTGTCCCCCTCCGCGATCCCTTCCTGCCACTCATCCCACTCCGCCATCCAACCGCGCTCGCCAGGCTCCTCGAGCGGCACAAACCTGCCTCCCCCCTCCTCCCGCCCCAGACTCCGCATATGCATCACCGCGTGCGCACACTGCTCCTCCAACGCCACCCCGGGCACGAGACCCGCGTGCACAACAACGACCCGCCGAACCCCCCGCGGCAGCGAGGCCAGCGAGGCCGGCGAGGGCGTCACCGCCACGCGCACCATCAGAGGCAGCGAGGCAAGGAACCCGAGCTGCGACCCGGACAGCGTCTCCGCCGTGCGAGTGCTCACGCTCACGCTCGCGCTCACGCCCTCCTCCTCCTCCGCCTGCCCAGTCTCCCTCCGCCTGTCCGCAGCGGCCCTCAGCACAGCATCGTCGTGATTCCCCCTCACCCCGAGCGCCCCAATCGTCCCCGCCAGGTCAATCACCCCTCCGGAATCAGCGCCCTTGCTGACCAGGTCCCCTGCGAAAATAACCAGATCCCCCAGCGCCCTATCGAAGCCGACCTCTTCGAGGAGCGCCTCCAGCGACTTTCGTGACCCGTGGACATCCCCAACGATGATGAGGCGTCTCGCTGGGATGGGGTTTGTCGCTCCAGCTTCAGCGCCAGCCTCTGTCCCAGCGTCCGGGGGTGCCGTGGCGGCCAGCGTAACAGACAGGTCGTGTATGAATGTGGAAATGGGATATATGTCCTTTACTTTCGTGGCATCCGCCATGGTTTCCGTCACGGTTGTGGAGCTACATGCTCGCCGGGTCACAGATGCAAGAGTTGCGTGTTCCTCCTCCGGCCGACAACCTGTGTAGATTAAGTGGGTACTTACGGAATAGTAGGTACTCCGTATGTAGTTAGTTGTATGTTCCGTATCGAGAAATTAGTGGAACCCCAAATCAGACAACCTCCGCTCAGCTCCGTCACACGGGTGTCGCGACAGCTGCCGCCGCATATAATATGATACCCCATGACACCCTCTTTTTTTTCGACAAGTCTCTTATTTCTTACAGATATTATATAAATATAAATATATTTATCATATTACATGTACGTACAAAGGCGCCGGTCCATGTATCCCATCGTCAAATCAAATCTCCCGACCTCGCCAGTACCACTTATATGTAATTAGTAGATATTTCCCAGCGCAATAGTCAGTGTCCCGGAAATGCAGCGCCTCGCCAAAGAGATTTTGTTTTTGTTTTTTCAAGAGAAAAAAAAATTGCACCATGCTATGCATCGGCTATTCGGGCCCATATGCCAAAAAAATAATAAATGATGAATAAAATGAAACCTCAGGCCCCCCCCCCCCCCCCCCCTCTCTAGCGTGTCTATTCCGCGTCCTGCTCAACAAAAGAGAATGGTTGTCGCCGTGTACTGCCAAGTCATGCATGAAAACGGAACAATCGATAATAACAAACAAACCACAGAACATAGCTCGTTCAAGGGCAAAGCGTTGTCGGTGAGCTTCATGGCCGAACGCCATATCTCCATTGCTCGACACGAGCCATAGACCCGTTGTTCGTAGCCACGGGCATCATGCCTGCGCCGTACATCTGCGTTGCGGGCCGGCCATTAAAGGAACCCATAGTATTCATCCCTCCATAATGTTGGCCATAGGAATTCATTACGCCGTACCCGGCTTGGCCCACCGTGGGAGGTCCGTATCCGGGCCCGTAACTTGTCATCATGCTCGATCGTTTGGCAGCCAAGAGGCCCTGCGTGTTGACGGCAGTGCTAGACAAGCCCGCTCTGTGCCCAGAGCCACCCGTGCCGTCGTTAAAGACACCCCCCAGGAACCCGCCAGATCGTTCGAGACCTGATTGGGGGAGAGAAGAGGGCATCTGCATTCTCAGGGCTGCCATCTTGGCGTCCTGGTCTTGGGCGGCACGTCTTTGTTCCTCGACCAAGAGGCTTTGCTCTCGTGTCCGTCTCTCTGATTCCCTCTTGGGATGGGCGGCCAGTACATCGGCAAGGCTGAGGCGCCGTCGGGGCCCTTGCACTGGCTGATCGCCTACCGAGTTGCCGTGACTGATTTCTCGCTGCCGAGCGTCGCGTTCTGCCTGCAGTCGTCGGCGGCGTTGTCCAAGCGTCTCCTCCTCACCAGAAGCGGCCGCAGCTTGGGCCTCCTTCCTGCCACCCTGTTTCTTCTTCGATTCGTTGGCTGTGTCCTTTGCATCTCCAAACTGACTCAATAGCTCGGCCGAAAAAGCGCAACTCACTGGGCGGGCCATTGGTAGTTCCCCGTCCTTGGCTGCAAGTCTGCGGCGTCGTTCGCCCAATGTTTCTTCTTCCAACTCCTCTATTTCAGGTTCAGGGCTCGGCGTAACCGCCAATTGAGAACTTGACGGTGGGACCCCCAGAGCTTGAGCGGCAGATAAAGACATAACACTGCGGCGTTGGTTCAACACGGGCGGCGGGGGACCCAGACCCTGTAGACGAGCTCGGCGATGGCTGAGAGGTTCGTTGTCCTCCTGCTCTCGGCGCTCCATGAGGCCCATGGGTCGATCCAGGTCTGCCAGATTCTTGGCTCCCCGTTGCATTGCGGCGAGAATGGCCAAAGGCACGTCTTCGTCGTCGGATCCGTTCTGGTCTAGATGTGCTCCCGGGTCTTCCCAAGCCAGATTGACTCGCTTGTTCTTACGGTTCTTCCTCTGAGCCTCTGCTACCGTGTCCATGTCCAACAGCGTGGCATACATCCCATTGGGGAGGCCTTTACCCATGTTTCTCACTCGCTGCTTTTGCTCTTGCTTGCGCAACTGCAGTTCAGCAAGAAGCGTCGTGGGAGGACCGAGATAAGCATCCTCCGAACCCCCTGCCTCGGGCCACTCCTCTTCCCCGCCGTCGTCCTCGTCCTCGTCCTCGGCCTTGCTGCCATGAGCCCGAATGGCCTCATCGGCACTGACGACACTGCCCGGGGTATGCCGTCCGTCTTGGAATCCGTCCGCCTCTGGTCTTGTCAACGCGATACTACTGTGGGGACGTTTCTGTTCGTCGCTATCGTGGCTAGAGTTTCTTTTTCCTAGCCACATCATAGATGATCTCTTTTTTGGTAGAGGCTCTGGATCAAGGCCGTGTATAGTAGCAACAGACTGACGAGCTTTATTTTTCTTCCTTTTCCCATATACTTCGGATCCAAGCTTGCCGGCATAGACATGGTCTGTGAAGGCACTAACAGGTGCACTGGCAGAGGCGTCCAGAATGCTGTCAAGAGTGGCCATGGCAGAGCCGTCTTTGATCTCCACTTCATGTGCGACGGACGGCAGGTCAAAGAAAGCGCTGGCTCTAAGCTGTGGCGGCAACGTGTCGAGCATAGATGCCTTTGACTTCCGGTCTTCTTTGAGCACTTTTGACAATCGTTCGGGGCGGCGTAAAAAATCTGGCGCCGCATCATCATCTGCCGCCTGCTCGGGCGGCGGAGTGGGCAGCGAGTCTTGTTCTGCGTGCAGGGACTTTGCTTCACCACCACCGAAAGGGTCGAACGAGGACAGCGCAGCAAACGAGTCTCGGTGGTTGGCAACAGGATCCGGCAACCATGAACCTCGAGCCGGGGCCTCTTGTGCAGCAGAGGATATGGCCTTCAGATCGTCAAAGGTGGACTGACGCTTCCGCTGGGGGTGCGTAGAGATTTCTTGAGGAGCGTCCATCATCATGCTCAGAACCTGGGACCGTCTCTGGTTCCTAGTAGCAGTCTTGGGCTTGGAAGACAACTTTGGGGGCAGATTGAGCATGGCAGGGACACGTGCGGGGTAGTATAGCATCTGCTGGCCGGTTGAAGGGTCGATATAGGAGGTCGGACGAGCCATGGAGATGGGGGCGGGGCGAGGTGTCGGCAAACCTGGCTCCATGTCCGGTCGCACATACAAGTCTTCCTCGTTTTGGGGCTCCCAGTGTACTCCGTCAAAATCGATGAAGGCATCGCGAGCCTGTTCGCAAGTGTCAGTCGAATGAGCGCTCTGTGGACGATGCTTGTGTCGGTCGTCTGCCGGCCCCGACGGCGCTGGGGGCTGCGAGCGCACGTGAGCATGCTGAGGATCTGGTTGGAGTTCCAAGTTGTCCTCAAGCAGTTGGTGAAGCACGTCGGTGCTGAGCATATCCGCGACCGTTTCGTCACGTAGTCGAAGGCTCTCGGCGCTTTTTTCTTCAAGTGGCGGGGCGGCATCAGCTTCGTCAAAGGCCTTTTGATTCAAAGATATTGGCTCCGACTCGGAGATTTCGGCAAGTGACATCCTGGTGGACCGAACGCTCCGGACGGACGACTTTCCAGGGCCATGCCTGGACAGGATCGCATCATGGGCTGCATCTGGTCGTGCGGATGAGTTGCCAGAGCCAGACCGAAGGCGGCTCGTAAGCGATGTGTTTGGTGACAAGACGAAGCCAGCAGGAGAATAGCCACCGTGTCTCGCAGCAATATTGGTGGAGACGATGGAGGAGGTAGTAGATAAGTGTCGAACGAGCTGGGGAGCGAGGGATGGTGTCTTTTCGTCGACTGAGGCCATGGCGGCTAGGGCGAGCTTCGCTGATCGCCTGCTGTCACTTCTCTTCAACTCGCCGAGCAGGTCGCGGATTGCGCCGTCAATGGAGCTCGTCATGGACAGCCGCTCGGCGGTGGCTTCGAGTTGAGCAATGTTGCCCGCCGCAGATCCAGATCGGATTCCGTTGTCGGGGATCCCGTGGCTCATGGGCGACGAGCGGGCTATGGGCTTGGGGTGAAGGATGCGCGTGTCTGCCCGCACGCTTGCAGTGCGAAGTGGACGTGCGTCGACAAGTTGGACGGGAGAGCCACGTTTGGCATCGTGATCAGGGGGCGGCGTTGACGTTGTTATTTGGCTGGCGGGGTCCCCAGGGTCATCCGGGGCTGAGGCCTGGGCCTGGATTGGATGGGGTCTGGTAGTCGGCGCACTGGGGCTGTGGAGCGACGAGGCAAGAGAAGACGCAGCAGAGGAGGACTGTGAGGCCAAGGCAGAGCCGGCGACAGCGCAAACGCCAGAGACAGGGACAGGGACAGGGACAGAGCCACAGCCACAGCCAGAAGAAGCAGGGCTAGAATTCTTCAAGATTGTCGCGATGCTGGGATCGGGGCGCCTCTGCTGCTGTTCCTGGACCGCACATGGCACTGAATCAACAATTCCAGCAACGCCGTCGCCGTCGGCATGTACAGGGGCGGGCGAGACAAACAGCAGGTCTGGCGTCTCGGCAGGTGACAAGGGAACATGGACAGAAAAGGGGTTCGCGGCCCTCTGCCCTGTCCGTGCCATGCCAGCGCCGCCAACACGTCTTGGAGCCTCGGTGCTCTCTCGTCTGCTCAGGCCGGAGCCGTCGCCGTCGACGACAAGGCCCAGGGGCGTAGCGGCCCGATCAGCAACAGGTCGTGGCGGCGGCGTAGGACTTCTTGCTGTGGCCGGAGGCGAGACGGGCAGTATCGGGTCGCCATGATTGGTATGAACTGCAAGCGCAGTCATGGCGATGCTATTTGCGCCTTGGCTACGTGCAAGGGCGCGGGTAGAAGAGCGCGGGGAAAGGACGGGGCGACTCGTGGGCTCCGTGCGAGTGTATTCGATGTATGGTGACGCCGAGACATAAAATGAGTAGGCGGTGCGTCTGGCGGGGGGAGCACGAACGCCGTGGTGCGTGACGACGCGAGGCCCAGCGTGTGGCGTAGAGGTTTATTATCCCATTCAGCCCGTCTCAAGGACTTTTCGCAGCAGCCGGAGCGGGCCCAAGACCGCCGTCATTCCTCTCTTGGCCGGCGAGAATGTGCTGGGCAGTTGGTGGCAGCCGAGTGAAATGAGGGAGAAGCGCCGTGGGCAGCGTGCCGGGTTGGGCGCGGAGCAGAGAGGAGGCAGATGGATATGTTTTTGTTTGGGTGCGAGGCGAGGCGGTGCGGTGCGGTGCGGTGCGGTGCGGCGCGGAGCGAAGCGAGATGGAGGACGACGACGACGACGAGAGGAACTAAAAGAAGAAGAAAAAAGTTGCCCGCAAGAACACAGTCTGACTCGAACAAGAATGTCCAAGCTGGGCAAGTCCAGCAGCGAAATGATGATGGCAGAAAAGACAACGATACAGAAAAAAAAGAAAAAAAAAGTGTTCAGCCTGGAACGGCAACGGCTGATGCATGCGATGCGGGAGAAAATGATGAGGCCAAGACGGCGTGGATTGTTGTGGGAGGGGCGGGAGGGAACCTGCTGTCCGTCTGGTCACCGGCGCCTCGCAACATTCAAAATTCAAAACTCAATGGCTCTGCACGCAGCAGCGCCCAGCCAGTACTCAGTGCCCGGGCCACTCTCAACTCCCTCCCACCCATGACCCATGCAGCATGCAGGCTTGCGGCGTGTCCAGGTGTTTTCCTCCAATCAACAATCGATCGAACGGGCCGTGCAATGTTACCTCGAGAGACTCGGGCGACAGGCTACAGCAAAACGCAAAAAGCTCGCCATGCTCATTCATGCTTGGTGCCGCGAGACGAGTCCGTGACCCCAGAAACAGCAACGGCCGAATGCGGATGCGCCGCGAGAGAGACAGCCAATGCACGCATGCGCCAAGGCGTGGGGACGATTGTGGAATTTACGGGACGCCAGAGGCCCAACAAGGCCAAGGACAAGACGGTTTGGTCGACTTGACGGCCGCTGCGCGTGGTGCGGTAATCATCACGATGATGATGCATTGATTGATTCTCTTCAAGCCGTGGACGAGCAACTGCGAGACCGGATTGGTCCAACGAGATGAGATGCCTTGGTGCCCCGACGAGCAAGATGACAACCACCTTGGAACACAACCACAACCACAGACTGACTGGACTGGTGGCACTCGGCACAAGACAATACACTACGTGTACCCCGTACAAAGGGATTATTGATCCGCGTCCAGGGGCCAACAAGCTGATTCACAAACGGGGCGGGTAATCAGTAGACAATTCAATTCTTTCTTGCAGGTGTCTGGTCCGCATGACGCCAGCAAGCATGGCCGTGTTCTGAATGCGCAGCCAGTCGCATCTGGTTCTTCTTCACACATAGGACGGGCTGTGTGTGGCCGGAGGAACGAGCAGGCAGGCAGGCAGGCAAAGAAAGGCACGCACAACGCCTGATTTTTCTCCAAAAACACCTGCCACTGTGTCCACGCCTGTTTGGGAACGGCCGCGTGGTTCCACCGCCGTGATTGGCACCTCGCATCCATGATCCCAGACAGCGCAGCGCTCGGCAGCAAGGGGAGAAACCGATCGTCGAGACCCGTCGTGGTACATGAGACACAGTTGTTTATTACAGCGCATCCGCAACGCGGCGACGGCTGCCGTGTCCACGCTCACAAGAGGTGACAGCCTTCGGTGGCGGCAGATAAGAAGACGATATCAATGCACGGCTTGCGTGTCCAACCACCCGATCGTCACGTCACGTCACGTCTTCTACGGCGACTGAGGCTTTGCCATGTTTGTTGCTCGTGCGCAAGGCAAGGCGCAATCAATGTTGGGGAGCTCTCGCTCAGTCTTGGCTTGGGACGCAACCGCGAGAGCTATCCATCTTGGTACCGACCGGCGACCGGCGACCGGCTACTCTTTGACTCGTGGATGTGCATACCATCCATTCGACTGTGCGTTGTGGCTATCTAGAATCTACAGACCGCAACGCCAGAAGCAGATATCTAGACGTCCAAGTCGAGCGTCATGCCAACTTGTCGAGTGGTCAGCGCTCCCGCCGGGTGCTCCGACCCCCGGTCCTAGTAACCTGCACTAATAAATAAACTTGACATCCAATATTGATATTTCAAGTCTTAAAACCGTCGAGGTGTTGGATTGAAACCGATGGAGAAAGTCGCCGGCGCCGTCTCACACACCGCCGGCGCCGCCTGCGTCTGCCCTGTCTTGTTTCGGGATGTCGTCCGTCCACGCCTCCCACGTCTTCCTGGCTTGGATCCCACGGCGGATAATTACCTGGACTATGGTACCGTATACGAACTCTGCTCCGTAGCCGACAGGGCTTTGGAAAACCCCATCCAGGACGGTGCCCCCACGCCGAGCACGTAACCCAATGCAGTCTTAATAGGGCCATCATCGCGCTACCAAGTATCCGTCAAAGGAGCAAAGCATCATTCTGTCATTCCGGTTGTTGCCAAAGACCCGGTGGAGATGGCAGACTCCGACGGCAGTTTGCTGAAACAAACATGAAAACAGCATGAAAAAGGGACCGTTGGAATCCCAGGACCAGGAACCCACGAGCATTGTCCCCGGCAAAATCGTGCTGGCCCGCCCGCTCCACGACTCAGGCACTATTATTAACTGCCAACGTAACATGTACATGTCGTGCAGTATCACGATCCCCGGTTGACCGCAAACGTGTCTCGCCGGCGGCGCCTAACCTGCCCAGCGTCGCTGCTGTCTCACGGCAACCCGCGTTTACCTACGCAATACGGAGTAGCCGTCGTGTCATCACATAAACTTACCGTCCACCAGGGGGGCCGCGAGTGGGAAGCGTTTCTCCCCTGCCCACGACCCCAAATAGGCGTCAAATCAAGGCCTTCTCGCCCGTCCGTAATGAACACGAGATGCCCAACCCAATGATGTTTTGCAGTGCTCCGTATATACGTGTTACATGCGAGCGGGCAGCAATTTCCTACGGCCGTCCCCTTATCAAGATCCGTGGCATGTCACAAACATGCAACAGCGCAGTGGCATCTAGTAGTTGTACGGCGACAGTCGTTATACCCGATTGAGCCGCCGGCGTTGCTCGTGGTCACCAACGGGCCGCCAACCGGATGCAGTGCATCGAGATCTTTCCCTTTTCCACGTCCCGTTTGGGGGCTTGTGAGCCCGAACGCTGGCGGCTTGTGCTAGCTGGCCCCCGTTGAGCGCTCGGGATGCGTTGTTTGTCAAACAGAGACGTCTCGCGCGACGGCCGTGGCCCGCGATGGTCAAACCTTTAAATACTTGGTGTTCCGGGAAATGCATCTCGCGGGGCACCAGCTTGCTGCCGTGGTGAGATGGCAATATCATGGCCGTGTCCAGTCGTACACCCGGTTTTTCACGTCATGTTTACGGGGGACAACGGATACCATCAGGCTGTAGCCAAAAGGTATGGCATGCTGAAGTGGCCGTTTGGACAAATGTACCCGTATGTACACCGCCGAAACTATTGTTGATATGCAGAATCTTTACGCACACCCTCCAAGATGTGCCGCCACATTCAAAGGAATACAGGAGCTGAGAGATTGGGGTGGCGAATGCTCTGCCCATTGCCAATTGTGAGGCCATCGTGATATTACGTGGTAAGAGGGCGTTGTTGCATAACACTTGACGCATCATTCGCAGTCTTGCTCGCAGACCTGGATGCGTCACTCTTCTATGACGAGATCATCGTAAGCGGACAGAGATCCGTCGATGAGCACACAAAGTTGCGGTGACTTGACGCCCGAGGTTGGTGTTTCCGTTTGCTGGCGCATGTATTCCCGTCCCGTTGTCTGCAGACCAAGTACAAATTGCACTAGCACACAAATGCGCCATTTACATCATCACACAGGTGTACCTTGAGCTTGGCAATCAACATTGTTCGGATAGCACCTGGCTATCGTCGCATGGACTTTCAACAAATTCCGCCAGTGGTGAGGTTATATGGCGAGCCCCCAAGGATGGTATGCGCCGTGGTGTAGGGTAGTTTGCACCAGCGTGGAAACAAATCCGTAGCCAGCCATCTGCAGGTTTGTGATTGCATCTGCTTCGATTGGGATCACTTTTGATAACGCTGACAGAAGGCTGGCCTTTCGGCAGAGGTAGCCAGTGATGAAGTCAGTACTAGACGCTTCATTTACTAAGAGAAGAAATTTTCACGCCCGACTATTAAATGTTTGCGACGCCATGGCCCACGGTGATTACGCACACGAGCGGTAGCACGCAGACGCTTCCTTGATGGCTCATGTAACTACTGTTGTGAACACGCACGTCTCAAGTCAAGCCAAGAGCAACCGTAGGTATCTGGACATTCTGAAAATGCTGGTTGCAAAGAGCCGCGCCCCCTAGGGTGTCCTGGAAGATTGCACGTCCATCCGCGAACAGGGACGAAGAGAAGCCGGGATAGTGTCGTCTCGGTCGACGTTTGGATCAATGGCACGGTTGGATAAGAGACGTTGGGGCTTGAATCGACGATGCATCCCATCGCAACGATGCTCCTTGTAGTTGTCGTGGCGGATTGTGTCAGCACGACGGCGTGGTTGCATCGTCCACCCCCATTCGACGAGGAATCCTGGGTGCAATCAATTGTCGGTGAAGATGGCCTGCCCCTCCGTATATATCGCTCGGCGATGCGTCGAGGGCTGTGGACGTGGGCTCTTAGCCTCCGCGCGGAAGGTTCCTGGTTCCTACCCGCGTGTTTTGGATGGGGCGTTGGCTTGCACTGGAACGTGGAGAAATTGAGCCGAAGCCGGCGCGGCATGTGAGTACGTGATTCCTATCCCCATCATTTTCCCACGAGAACGGAACAAGGTGGTCTCGCTTGTTGCGGCCGTAGAAAGAGAAAGCTTGGTCGGATACGACGTGCGCAAGACACGACCGCCCCCGGCAGGCAGTGAATCAAAGGGCCGACCGATGAGCGTTGCAGAAATGAAGAAGTGAGTGAGGGTGATAAATTAATAATAGTACGCAGTACTTACTACTCTGTCGTCCCTGACCCTGGACGTTTGGTTTGGTTCGTATTGTCGAGACAAAGAGCGTTCACGCAAAAATCTACCGGGCGAGGCGGAGCGCACACGGCTGGGAATGATGTCAATAACCGTTGCATTCGGGACTTTCAGGGGTCGCCATTGATCTTCAAACGCTTTCCCGATACGAAATTGAGGGTGAATTGATCTCGTTCAAGTGCGCCGCCCGGTCCCGAAGAAGGTTCATGTAGGGGGTTGTCCGAAGCATGGCATAATCTGGAACACATGCAAGCGCTTTTGGGCCTGTGGAATCGGCTGGCAATGCTCCGTACTCGGTACAGAATATTGACTCATCATCCAATACTCAATTTTCCGTGCGCAGGAAGCATGGAGAACTCGCGGCAGGCACGAACAATAAGGCAATGACCCACATGCCCTCCGTGCTGGCAATTGTTACGGAGCAGCCGTACTGTGCGGATTGCACAGGGTGGTGCCTGGGCGTTGCGGTTAAGTGGGCCAGAAATACAGCAAGCCCACAGGAGCGCACGTGCTGGACCCAAGTATCTAGGCCAGGGTTTCAGGGTCTGCACAGTACGAACTTGCAAACATCGTGGGCTTCTTTCAACCTCATTCACTGGCGCCATGGTTCGAGACCCCACCACCAGCAGCCACGACTTCTCTGCCCCACACCAAGGAACAAGTCTGCTTCGTTATCATTATATTGCCATCGTGAAGTGGCCATGTCGCTGATTGCGTTGCGCGTACCGGCCACGGCGACCCCTGACCCCTCATTTACGTTGTTGAATATACATTCTGAGCACGGAACACCCTTTGGCAACGCGTTCCCATCACAGTTCCGATCGGACCTTCTCCTCGCCTCACTTTGCATGCCGCGTCGACGACAAGTCCAGGGTCGCCGACTTGCCGCGCGCAGACGCAGACGACGTGCCTTGAGAGCCGTGACCACGCAGCCTTCTCGCACACAGTCTCCGAATAGTTGCCCGTCATGGCAACCCCGAACCCATCCAAGCGCCGGTTCGTCCCGGTCCCAATAGAGACGACTTTTCAATCGAACCGAAAGAGCACCCAGCCAGGCGCGCGACCGGCGGGCCCGAACCCGGAGTTGACGCCTGAGCCATCTCCTCGATCCGCCTCGCCGCCAATGCCACAACCCCGACAGAGACGTCGATTTAAACCCCAGTTGATTGAGACATCGAGAAGAGCCAGGAGAGCCGGTGACCCGGGCCCGGCTACCAGGCCGGCTGACAAAACCGACATTACCCCGTACACCAACCACATCTATGCGGCAAAGCCAAAGCCCAGGAGGAAGCATGGAGAGGCCCTGGATGATGAGTCGATCCCGTTCATTCCACCGACCAGGAGAGAATCCGAGGAGGAGGGTGTCAAGGAGTACCTTTTAGAAATTGCTGCCAGGGAGGCGGCAAGGCAGATGGAAGAAGCTGCACTTGCGGCGTTCCCCAACAGCAGAGCTCGCGAGGGTGGTGTTGCTCATTTCTACTTTCGTGAGAGTTCGGAGAGCGATGATTCTGCTCAAGTCTCGCCACAAAATAATGACAGCGGCCCTCAACCCAGGGTTCGGAGGAAGTCGTCAAATCTGGGGCTGAACTGGTGGCACAAGCACATGCAAAGCCATGCAGAGCAGTTGGCACACGAGCGGGGTGACGACGAAATGGTGCTTGACGCGGATCGAGATACAATGATGCGGACAGATTCGGATCTGGACAGGATGGATCTGCCTGTGCCTCCCGATCCGTTGTGGACGACGACCAATAGGATCCTGCCCGAGGACAGGAGAGATTCCATGCCCGAACTACAAGACCTCAGGGATTCCTTGACGCCTCTTTCACGGCCTGATGGTGCTTTTGCCGTCGGCACCAGATTCCAACCCGGGGATGTGCCTTACAGCCGGCCGTCCCCAGACCAGCGAGACGGCGGATTCAGCCTGTTTCCTCGCCCGGCAGACTCGGGCCCCGACATTGGATTCGGCCGGCCGTTTGGGGCATTTGGCTCAAAAGCAGAGGATCCCAAGCTGCATCTTATGCGGCAAGCCGCGTCGCCTCCGATGCTTGGCAAGAGCCTGATCTTTCGGCAGTGTCCGTCCCCGAAACAAACCAAGTTGGAGACGGACCACCCGTTCGCAAACCATGACATCAACAAGAAGAAAAATCGAGACGTGACGGGCCAAGGCGGCCTCTGGAGGGGATTCTGTTGCAGGACAGAGTCTAGCACAGAGTATGTTGTCCCGGCTGACTTGCACGGGGCCAACATGCTCGTGACTCCCTACCCACCGGCTAGTCCCCGAGACGGCGGGGGATACGACTCGCGGTCGATGAGTGACGAGCCAGAGTCCATGTTCTCGTCGTCCAATTCTTCCGAGAGCTTAACCAATCTCAGCTCCAACCGTGCAGAGCACCGCCCTCGAACTGGTGAGTCCAAGGGCCTGCATATGCTGCATGGCCTCGACGATCGGCTACGCCGCGAAAAGGCGCAGGTAGAACTGGACGAGAAGATTGCCTCGGAATTCGACGACGAGTTCGTCACCCAAGTGTACAATTACCTGTCCTTGGGCTATCCAGCCACGGCACGCTATTTCGACGGGGAGCTGTCCAAAATCAGTAGAGTCACCGTGGAGGAGCTCTGCAGGGATGATGAGAGGCAAAGGGCCAAGGGTCACATGCTCGAGATGAACCTGCAGGCAACAGCCGAGAATGACCGTTGCCCCAGATGGAAAGCCCTGAGGACGTACATTACGGAATGGGCTCGACAGCACCCGGACCTTGACAATCTCGACCCCCTGGCCTGGGGTGTGCGAGAACGACGCGGCAGCTGGGCCATATGATGAGCAACCAACGCCCTCGGTGGTTTCTCTCACATGACGTGCTCGCTGCCGTTTCTTCCTCTCGAGACACCCATGCGCTTAGCGACGTTGAAAAAAAAAAAGAAAAGAAAGAAGCTGCGAGAACATATCCAGCATATATTCTTGCCGATGCCAATAAGTTTGATCTCTCGTCACCAACTGACATGGATACTGCTTGGATCAACACTTGTTCCCACAAACTTTTATCCGGGCAGCCTCAATATATTTCCTCTGGAGTACTTGATTCGGCGGATGGTCCTGCAAGAGCACCCGCGTTGGATACTTGTCATGTCGGCGCGAAACCGGCTTGAACATAACTGCATCGCATTGCGCGGGCGTCCCGTCAAGGATATCCCGTCGCCTTTCCGGAGAGCAGCCGTGTAGGGCGGCGGCATGGAGGGCAGTCACAATTAGAGTAATTCACTGTACACCGAGTTCCCTAGCGCTAGCAGGAATAGTGCTGGTATTCAGAGCGTTGCAAAGTTCCCAGTGCGAAACAACTGCGCCCCCGTTGGTGCGCGATCACGTCTCAAGGGAAGATGGATGGAACATGAGCACGCGCAAATTATTGTATCCGCTCCGCTGCAACACTGCGCCCACCGCCGCATCTGCAGAGCCAACGCCGTGAATGTACGGCCAGAATAGCTTCGTCTTCCTTCCCCCGTTGTTCCCAGAGGCCACCTTCTCGTGAGACGACATGACGAGCCCAAGAAACTACGTAGCCAGGCTATGATTTGTCATCCCCTCCTGTCGCTGGACACCTTTCCTTTTCCTTTCCCTTTTTCTCTCTTTTTTTTTTTTGCTGCTCACCACTCTCCCTGCCGCCGCCGTCTATATCCTGTCGGGACTATGTTTTATGTTGTCGAGATTTTTGCCGTGATTTTTGTCCATTTTTTTGCTTCTATTTTCTCCTTGGAAATGACTTGGCTACTTTTTGCATTTTCGAGGGAGGCGCGGCTTCGACGTCGCTTTCCTCCTCTTCGGCCGGTGACTCGTCCACGTCTTCGTGGTCGACTTCGTCCTCGTCCAATGACTCCTCGGCGACTTGGCTGTCGTCGTCGTCTGCAACGTCCGAGTCCTCCTCTTCGTCTTCGGAGTCGCCCACTCCGTTGGTCATGGGCAGGTGCTGGCCATCTTGATCATCGTCGTCGTCGTCGTCGTCGTCGTCGTCACCGTCGTCCTCGCGTCTCCTTCTTGACCTGGCGCCGTTGGCGAGGTCTTTCCTGCTGACGGGGTCGACTTCGCCCTCTACCCAGATGACGTCGTCCTCTTCCTCGGAAGCGTCCTCGCCCTGGCGCACCTGGCCTGCGTTCCGCTGCATCTTGCGTCGGAGATCCATTTGCAGGTCGAGCATGTCGAGCTTGCCTTTGAGGGCGAGGAGACTGTTGAGGCCCTTGGCGCGTTCTGCCAACACCTTTTGCAGGCCGTTGAGGCTGTGGACGATCTGGGGCTGCGCCGCGAGCGCGCCGCCGTGCGAGATGAGCGTCCACTGGACCCAGGTCATGAGGTTGCCAGCACGGCCGGGGCGGCGATACAGACGGGCGGCGAGCTTGTTGAGCAGGATGCCGGCCAGGGAGCTGTCTATCCTCTCGATGGTGTTTCGAACCGTGGTGATGTCGGTTGTGTGCAGGCAGGATTCGAGGAGGTCGGTGTCGTCTGTGTGGAGCGCTTGCGTCAAGACCGTCGTGAGCGACTGGTGAGAGGGCGGCGCGGTGGCTGTCCGCGTGGGTTGTGCTGTCACGCCGCCCGACGCGGATTGCTGCGGCGGGGCCGGGACGTCGATGGTGTCGTTGCCTCGTAATAGTTCTCCGAATGACGGCGACGTCTCCTCTCCGTCAGAGCCTTCCGTCTCTGCGTGGTCGTCTGTCTTTGTGTTGGTGCCGTTGGCGTTGGCCGCGGTGGCGGCGGCTGCTTTCGCGGCGGTCTTGTCGCCGTTAGTCTGTTCTTCTTCTGCATTGTCCTCCGAGTCGGAAATTTCCTCGTCGCTGTCGGTATCGGAGGAAATCTCAATGGCCTCCGTCTGCGAGCTTTGCAAGACATCAGCAGCGGCCACGGATGTTCGAGACTCGTCAATGGTGGTCTTTGTGGGCAGCCTTGCGCTTGGCTTGACAACCGGCACGGCCAGCTTGGCCGGCACTTTCCGCTTCATGGATATGGGCATTGAGGAGCGTGAGTGCGGACGATGGGGTTTTGTATTGAGTGCGCGGTGATGGGCGTGTCTCGTGTTTTACATGGACACAGTCGGAAGGGGGCGGAGAAGGAATATATCGAAAGATGAAATGCAGAACCATGCGAATGCACCAGCTCCTAACGGCAGAATCAATGCAGAGAGAAGGAAAAAAAACCAAAGGCTGATGGGCTCCAGAAGTGAGAGGTAATGCAATGATCGTTTTGCTCGTACGGGAGACAGACTGGCGATCAAAAAGTCATCAGCAACAGGAGACAAGCAGACCTGGCTGCAAAATTTCACGGCTGCAACTCCCAAACTCCCAATGCACGACTCATTTTTTTTTTCCTTGCTAGGTTGCAACGCGGTCTAGCGATAAGAGATGACATAATCACATCGATAAGGCAATCGGTCACGTGGTTACTACGCTTTGGACATTTTGGATGACTCATTCCAGTCAGCCTGGCCCCACGTGCCCCCGTTAGCGAAGGACTCCATGATTGGCTAGCCTCTCGCTGAACAACGCGGTGTGTCCAGGTCAAAGTGCTGCTTCGAAGGAAGGGAAGCATGGTGATTGGCGCGGCGTGTATGGCCTTGACCCAGTTTGTCGAAGATGAAGTCATGTGCATGGCACCATCCGGTGCGTGGTGTCATTGGCTGCCACCAGGGCAAGTAGGATCCGGCCACAGGAATTTCGAACAGTCCAACTTGCCACAGGGCTACCCTGCATGCCAATCTCCGTTTTCAGTTTCCAGTGTCCTCTTCACTCTGGCCGTGGCCGTAATGCGCCACAGTTGATTGGATGCCGCCCCGTTTGGGTGATGTTTCTTGCATAGCAATATTCGCCTACTCAATGGCATCCGTGTAAGTGGTCGAGTGGAAACGTAGAATGCGGGACCTGATTTGGTGGGAGCTGGCACTCTGGGTTGCGACCAAGTTCTGCTTGCCATGGGGGTCATTAACGTGTCGACTGGTCGCATCTGTACGTCACTCACTCAAGTTTAAGCTGGGAGTCGGGACAATGGAGAAACGCCAGGCAGCGCAAGGTCCCGTCGTCCCATGATCTATGATGAGGCGCGGCCGCGGCCTTTAGGGGTCTGATGGCGTCACCGACTCGGCCGCGTTGGTTTCGCTCCGACAAGGCACGCAAGCGTGGCCTGAACAAGCATTTAAAGTCCTGCCGCCGTCCGCGGACCAGGCCTTTGGACAGAGACGACTTCGTCTCAGTGCGGCGGACAGCACCTCGGCAAGTTCAGCGGCACTGCGCGGCGACTGTAGATGCTTTCGCCTACTTTAAAGCATGCACTTTGGCTTGCTGATGGCGCGACAGGGTGAGAAGCCAAGCAGGAGGGCAGCGGCATATTTAAAGCATCGTTTGTCCAGAGTCCAGACAGAGTGCGCATGCCCTCTCAGAACCCCACAGTCCCTTTGGTCTCGCAAATACCAGACGGCAACAAGCTAGAACACAGCCTTTCTTTCCATCCCTAGTATTTCTCGACGCAGGCATCCCTCTGGCTTCAATGGCTTGTCCATGTCCTACCCTTGTCTCAAAAAGCATTGTTACGCGCGGAGAAAGGTTCTTGCATGCCCGCCGCCCGGCTGGCAGCCAAGGGAAAAGAAAAGGACTCGTGCGGGCGCCTTTCCCAAACGCGCCCGGCCCTAAACGGCCCACACAGTGGCAGGGCTGTGGCTGGAGTGGCTGGAGAAAACCCCCCCCTTCCTTTCCCGAGAAGGCGAAAATTTCCTCCCCAGCCTTTCCCCGGCGCCCCGATAGTCACATCTCAACGTCGCGGCGCACTTTGCCTTTCTCTCTCATAAATACCTTCGCGCCGCCGACCGGCAAAATTTAACTGACGTGCACGCGCTTTCCCTCGCAGACGCCCCCGTTTCGCCCCTCCGGCCCCCGTGACCCGCTGCACCTGCAAAAGGAACCTCTGAGGTACTTCTCGACCGACCGTTCCTCCGCACGCGCAACCCGCCACCTCGCACACAGCATCCGGTACCCCCTTGGTGCCGCTCTCTGTACATTTGTCCCATTTCCAGCCTCTGCTTCTGGTGTGTAGCAGCTGCACTGCACGCACGCACACAAACTCGAGCAACGCACCGCACCGCATACGGAGGCGCACCTCACGGCTCAGTCGCGACCAACCACCGCCGCCTGCCTCCCATCCGCTTCCTCGTAAAATAGAAATACACTAGGGCCGCTGTCCATTTGCCCTTTTTGATCTGTTTTATTTACCCTTGGCCTTCTCGACAACTCCCGCTTGGCTGTCGCAGCTTTCGCCGCTACTTTCTGGCCGCGCCCGCCGCCTGCGCCGCGCCCACGTCGTCGCGACCCTCACAGCAACCGTTGTTGATTGCGCCGCGCGCCTCGCCAACCGTCCACGGCTGTCAACCGCTGTCAACCGTCGGTGCGCCCTTCTTCGCTGCTTCGCTGCCTTGGTTGCAGCCCTCACCGCTTCGATTTGTTTCGATCAACTTGATTGTTGCTTTGCAACTCGGGTGCCAGCCACAGCAGTTTCTGCCCTCCTCGTCGCCATCGAAGCTCTTCGCCACCTCAAAGCTATCGCCCTGTCCGCCGTCGAGCTTGTCCTGTCGCTTTACGCCTCATTGTCGCGACGATACATTCTGGACGGAGCAGCTATCGTGCCCAGTCACGGCGGAAGACGACCATGGAATCGTCTGTCCCGGACGCGCCTGTGCCAGATCAAAAGTCGCAGGACAACACTCCTGAGAAGCAGAAAAATGAACAAAAGTCGTCGCTGAATGGGTAAGTCACCCCTAGGTCCATCTCGATTCTTGGATTTGTTGCAACCTGCTTGGTCTATCGCTTCGGTGGCTGACGAGTTTCACAATGAAAGCCATGTCGACGACAGTGCGCCGCAATCAGCGTCCTGGTCAGAGTCCAGAGCCGTATCACCACGTCAACAAGCGACCAAGACGGAACAGCAAGCCGACTCAAAGTCTGGATCCACAGGACAGTCCGTCTCGGAACCGCTGCTGAACGGTGATAACCCTGGAACTCAGGATACGGAACCGACCGAACCTGCCACGGCCTTGGAACTCGCAGGTGAAGCTGTTCCAAAAAGCGATTCAGAACCGAAGCGTAGTTCTGAGGCGCCTGCGACATTAGAGAGCCGGAAAAGCCCTGTTACCCCGTCCAAGGAGCCAGAGAAAGCACCACCTGCATCGGACGAAAAGGATCAGAAGTCGGCACAGCAATCCGATATCATAGTGCCCGACCGAAGTACCGTTGCAAGCCGTGCGCCTGCCGGGAATTCTGATGTTGAGCCTGCTGCGGAGGAATCTACCAACAAGATGGAATTAGACGCCGCGCAGGACACAGAGATGACCGACGTACCTACTGAGAAGGCCGAAGAAGCTGTTGGGCCGCCATCGACCTCTGGTGTGGCCACAATCTCTTCTCAAGATGCCACTGCCTTGCTGACATCCGAGGTAGACGTCGGCTCAAATAGCATGTCGCAGCCGGCTATCGATACCACTGAGAAGCCCACTTCGCCTCCTGAACCCACGGGTGACATGCCTATGGTCGATGCCCCCGGTGTCAAGGTTGCCCGTGAGAGGGAGCATGACGCTAGTGAGGAGCCCGCACCCAAGAGAGCCAGAACTGAGCCAGCGGAAGACGAGACAGCTCCCGCGCAACCTACAACTGATGTCTCTCCCGATGCCCAGGCCGAGGTTGTCGTATCTGGTACCGAATCCGCCGGTCTCACCCCGACTGCCCTGGATAAGCTCGCAAATTGGCTGGACGAAGAAACCAACAAGCGAGAAATTTCTCCATTTCAGCGTCGAGAAATGCGAAAGGTTATTGGACGGGTCAAGAAGACCAAGGCTGGTGGTCACTTTCGAGATTCCGTACAGAAACTGTGGCCGGCTCTGTGGGATAGTTACATTGCCAAGGTCGATCGGCCGATGGATCTTGCTGAGCTTGAGAGGGGACTGCGTGATTTGAACGGCCCGTACAATACCTATGGTAAATTTCGATCCGACCTGAGATTGATTTTCGATAACGCACTGCTATTCAATGGTCCGCTTCACGATATCACCGCGTCGGCCGTCACAGCTGTTAGAGCTGTATGGGAAGAGGTGCTGCCCATACCTTCCGAAGAACCAGCAAAGCCAAAATCGGTCCCCAAGGCGAAGCCCATTCGCGAATCACGTGCCGTGGCCAATGCCGACGCAGCTCGCCGACAATCCACAGGACCTACTGCCAGCCCGGTTGCTGAGACGCCTGCCAACAAACCTCCGGCGGTTGCTACACAAGATCAGCCTGCGGATCGTCGCAGTTCAACAGCGACGGAAGGAGATAGGCCAAAGCGGACAGTGCGTGCTCCAAAGCCCAAAGACATCGACTACACAACCAAGCCGTCCCGCAAGAAGCTGAAGCCTGAACTCCAATTTGCTGAAGAGGTCCTTGCTGAGATAATGTCCGCAAAGAACCACCATGTGAATGCCTGGTTTTTGGATCCTGTAGATGCGGAAGGCCTTAACATTCCTGATTATTACTCCGTCATCAAAAAGCCCATGGATCTGAACAAGGCGTCGCGGATGCTCTCTGGGGGTGAAATCTCGAATTTGAAAGACTTTGACAAGACAGTCAGGCTTATTTTCGACAATTGCTACAAATTCAATGGCCCTGTCGAGCAAGGAAACCCGGTGTCTGCTATTGCCAAACAACTGGAAGATCTCTACCTGGCGCAGATGAAGGGCAAGGATGCTTGGCTAGCCAAGTATGCCAAGGCCAATGCCCTTGCCTCTGCTTCTAACGCTAGTGACGATGATAGAGACGAGGAAGAAGAGGATGGCGACGACGCTGCCGATGCTCCTGTTGATACCAAGGCTATCGAAGAACTTCAAGCTAAGCTTGACGAAGAAACGAAGAAGCTCAATAGCATGTTCCTTACGCCAAACGAAAGCATGATTGAGATTCAAAAGAACATTGTCGACATGATCCAGAAGACGTTGATTGAAAAGGCCCGGGAAATCCAGTCGGCGCGTACCAAGGCCAAGACTGAGAAGCCGAAGAAAACTGGCAAGCCAGCCAAGTCGAAGACGGCAGGCCCTGGTGGCAGAAAGTCCACCGGCGGTGTCGCGCAATCCAAGAAGGCCGGAGGTTCGAAAAAGGCGGCCCCAAAGAAGAGTCTGTCTGCGGCGGATAAGGACCAAATCGCAAACGCCATTAATGATTTGGATGGCCCTCACCTTGACCGCGCAATCGACATTATTAAGCGTGATACTGGTCAGAATGTAAGTCGTGGACACGAGTCATGTCTGGGATCAATCAGAAGGTCGACGGGAGTGTGTGAACGTGACTGCTAACGATACCGTTTAGGAGAACAACGACGGTGAGCTTGAGCTTGATATCGATCAATTGAGCGGCGATGCTCTTTTGAAGCTCTGGGAACTTTGCAAGAAAGCACTTCCCAACTTTGCCAAGGACTCGGCGCCTGTCACATCAACAGAAGTCAATCGACCTCCTGCCAAACAGGCCGCCGGCTCCAAAAAAGCCGCAGGAGGAAAATCCAAGAAGAACAAGCCCATGAACGCACAAGAACAAGAGGAACGCATTGCGAAGCTGAAGGAACTCCGCGGGCTGTATAAGGACGGCCAGGAGCCCGGTGAGGAGGCGAGGATGGCGCAAGTGACACCTGGAGCAGAGACCAGCGACGATTCCGACTCGGAGGAAGAGTAGGCTCTCCTATTCGTTGGAGGCTATTGATGATGACTAAATGAGGGTATTGGATGGTGCCGGCGTTCGAACCGATTATCAACTGCACTCTTTGTTTTGCTATCGCGCTAAGCATCGGGATGTCGGATGTTGCCTTCAATTCGAGACAGCACCGACTGAAGGTGGCGCTTGTGAAGAGGCTGCAGTCTTACTATTTCTTTATCTTTTTATTCCTTTTTTTTGAGGTTTTTTTGAGGTAAAAAAAAAGGGGTTTCGGGCTCGTTGCATAGAATGGAGCCGGCAGGGGTTGTCATGCGATTTGGCTTCCGTTCAGAGGATCTTTCTGGGGAGAGGACACATGGCTGCAGATGAGGAGCCAGTTAGCTCTGGTGTCTCGCTCTTTTTTTTTCTTGTTGCTTCTGAGGGATGGTGTTTGGCGTTTCGACGATGACATCGGCTCAGGGATTGCTGAGCGGCATTTGCCCAAAATAAAACGAAGAGGCTAGCAGACGGCGCCTCAAGGCTCCATTGCTAATTTGTAGGATGGCAATAGTGTATAGTATTTGTGTGTGCCTATGTCGAGTAAATAAATCAGTACCGCAATTTGCCATGGTTGTTTATCCGCCCAAGTGATTGCCTGTGATTTGGGAAAAGGCACAACACGGTGAGGCGGTCAACAAGGCCGATAGTTGGTTGGCATTTCACGTGCCCGTGTAGCGACGATGTTCGTCGGAGAGACATGTTTGCTGGCAAAGCGGCAGGTCGTGCGAGACGGGAAAGACTCGAGCCAGGCCGCGATATGTCCGAAGCTAGCAATCCGTTGAGAAGCGTGAGCATCGGAAGAGAGGCCGGAAGCAACAGGGCGGACGCCCGGCTGATGGGGACAGAAGAACACACAAGGAAGCCGATACTTGCACGGCATTGTGGGCGTGTGAAGGCATCGTCATGAAAGGGTGGATATCCAGTCGACCCGGGGCATTGAAATGACGGCGCTGCACAGGTGTCAATTTGTCCGACTGGGGAAGTGGAGTGAAGGGAATACAAAAGAAGAAGAAGAAGAAGGAGAAGAAGAAGTAGTGGAAGGAGAGACCCGAGAAAAAGTGTATAAGTGCGGTCAAGTTTGAAGATTGGGCAATGAGGATGAGGACTTGGGACGGGAGAAGAGAAGGATCGACGATGTGCACGATGGTGGGCACTGGGCACTGGGCACTGGGGACGGCCACCGGCTATTACGTCTGTACACGTACGGAGTACCTGGGTAGCTGGTACTTGGGTGAACGTGCCCACGGGTCCGGCCGTGGATGGGAGCCCTACTCTGCGCCTGTACACATGCAAGTAGATGTACTTTGGCCGTGCCGCAGACTGGAAGGAGTGCCGTCCCCGATGATTGGTCGTGCGTCGTCCGTCAGCCAACTGAAGATGATGGATGATGGATCGCGTGGGGAATGGGACGCCTCGCCGCCTACTAGGCCAACAATAGATGTGGCGGTTGACAGAGAAGAAAGAGCAGACAAAAGGAAGAAGAAGCTTTGACGGTGCCTGTTTCGGGACATTCACGGCACGCCTCTAGTGCGCGTGGCCAAACTCTATCTCCATCTTTCTTACCTTGACCGCCGACGCCATGCCGAGACTCGGTCTTCCTCGCCCGAATACAGAGCCTATGCTACGTAGGTGCGAAGATGTGACTCGTCCTCTCAATGCTGATCAGAAACAGTTGGTACGGGCAGCCTCCTCCTCAGACGACTGCACATCTCGACATAGTCTCTTTCGTCGTGGGGCGTGACCTCGCCATGCCTCACCAAGAAGTCGATCATGACGGGACAGACGTTGGGCTTGAACTCGCCGGCCAGCATCCTCTGCCGCAGCTCTGCGCAGCCCATGAGCACGAATTCTTCCACCTCGCCGTCTTGAGGGCGCGGGACAAGGTGCTCTGCCAGTTCCATGTCGTACACGTAGAGGACCTCGGAGTGGTGCAGCTCTGTGCGTGGGTTGCGGTTCGCGAGGGTGACGACGCCCACGCTACGGACCTCTCGCGCGACCAGGTCCGCGGGCAGTGACGCCTCTTCCGTGGCCTCGGCGAGGATGCAGTCCAGTGGCGAGTTGTCCGCCTTGACGCCGCCTGCCACCGTGCTGTCCAGCATGCCGGGATATGTGAATAGCTTGGGGCTCCTTTTCGCCACCCATATCTTGAGACCGTCGGGGGCCCTGACGTAGCATGTCAAGTGAGCTCCGCGGGTGGCTATTCCGAACAGGGACGCGGCGAAGCGCTCAATCCGGACGAATTCCCTGGCGCCCATGAGGAGGAAGTGCTCGCTGTGCATGCCGTTGAGCATGGGGAACACGTTGCCGTCCACGGCGGCGTCCACGGCGGCTTGGAAGGCGGCGTTGGCATGAGCGGACAGGGAGAGGCATGTCTCTGGCGAGGGAGCGGATAAAGTGACGTGTCGGCTGTCGTGGTTGATTGTGAAGGAGGCCGGCCACGGCATCCACTTGACGGTATTGGGGTGAACGTAGCCATGGGTTCTGGGATCCGGAGCCAACTGCAGGCGGTAGTACGGCGCGCAGTTGGTCTCAAAGTCCACGGGCACGCTGCAGCATGATTAGATAGATGATGCTTGCGGGCAGCTCTGGCTGTGCGGATCCGGGCAATTTTTGTCACGGCGTGGCGCCAGCACTCACTTGTCAACGAGGGCGATGAGATGCAGCAACGAGGGTTCGTTTGGAGGAACCCCGTCTCGGGCAGCCGCAGCGGCCATGGCGAGGGATCAGCACGTCGACAGGCGCCGCCAAGTTGATGGGGATTCCCAGAAGACACCCATCTAAACTGGGCTTCAACGGGTCGGGATGAGAGAGCGAGCGAGCGAGGCGATGAGAGGTGAGGCGAGTCGAGATGAGACGGCTGGTGGACCGTGGTTATGGTTATTGTGGAGCCGCGCCCTCATCGACCGACCAACCACGTAAAACCTTCCGACATCATCTGTTGAATGTTCATCGTCGATAGCGATTCGAGGCCCTCGTTATGCGAAGGGTCAAATGATTCATGAAAGTCTAGCCAATTTCCCTCCCGGAGGAATTATCAGCATAACACGGATCCCCAAGATTTTAATGCCGCATGAAATGACAAGATCCGTACTCCGAAAGGGAGGGGGAGGGGGGGGGGGCTGTGCCAACAGTCAAGCGGCCGGACGGACTGACTTGCTACCTGGGAAGCCCTGGATTGCCATCACTCACGAGTCGTTGTTCTAGAATGTTACGAGTCCTGACTGTCTCGACATGACGAAAATAGGTGCTACGTGAGTAATGGCAGAGGAGTAATGCAGCCTATAGAGGCCCCGCCAAAGCCTGCTGGTGAAACAAGCGCTGTGTCGGATAGGCGAATAGGTGACAAGCGTCGACGAGAATTCCTAACGAGTCGGGGCTATCGACACCTAGCGCGGTCCCACGGCTTTCATTTCGTGGTTCTTCATTTAATCATTGCCAAGTAATCTTGGCGCCTCCCGATGTCATATTATGCAGCTCCGATGGGAGAAATTCCCCGACAGACAAGGATCATCCATTGAAGCAGACAACACGGGAGCATCATCATGACTCGAAAGCTTACGGCTGCAGCTCCACAACATAAAGTCGCCTGCTTGATAATGATTCCAACGCTTGAATGACTTGGGGCTCAGATACTATGTGAAAGGGTTGTTGTTCTTCAGACGGTAACCCCGAGTGGTACATATATATATAGAGCAAGCGCCAACGCTCTCTCTTGTCCGGAGACTCAAAACTTGGGCACTTCACTTTCTTGACTATCAAGAGTTCCAATCTTTAGCTTACTATCCGATCCTCTTGTAAGAGCATCTCGGCTACACTGTTACAGCCACCATGGTTCGCGTCAGCCTCCTCGTGTCTTGTTAGTCAAACTGCAGTGCATGTATCGCCTGTAGAGCGTCAAGCTAATTTGGTAAATAGTGGCCTTGGCTGCTCAAGGTATTCTGGCCCTTCCAGTGGAGCAGACGAGCGATGTTTCAGCCGGACGTACCGATCAAGCCGGGACGTCGGATATGTGCCCGGAGAGCGACCAGATGGATAATGCAAATTCTGGGACGCAAGAAGTCCAGATGGATCATTCAAATTCTGGGACGCAACAAGTCCCTCCGACTGCCGGTGGTTCAGGCGGACAGGAGGTCAACGAGACCAAAGAAGATAGCTCTGAAGAAGAGATTGCCTGTGAGCTAGAAGCCGCACCTGGACAGAGCTCACCGGGGCAAAGCAGCCCTGAGCAAAGCGTCACTGGGCAAAGCGTCACTGGGCAAAGCAGCCCTGAGCAAAGTGTCACTGGGCAAAGCGTACCCGGGCAAGATAGTGTTCCTGAAAATGACACTGAAGAAGGAAATGCCTGTGAGCAAGAAGCCGCACCCGAGCAGAGCGGCGTGGGGGATACTGTACCTGGGCAGAGCGGCCCTGGGCAAAGCGGCCAGGGGCAAACTTTACCTGAGCAAAGCGTCACTGGGCAAGAAAGTGTTCTTAAAAATAATACTGAAGAAGGAAATGCAAGTGGAAAAGAGAATATGCCTGAGCCAGATGACGTCTGTGAAAGCGTCTCCGAGCCAGGAACCGCCGCCGAGCCAGGAACCGCCGCCGAGCCAGGAACTGCCGCCGAGCCAGGAACCGTCTCCGAGCCAGGAACCGCCGGCGGAAAAGAAAATGTCCCCGGCAAAGGAAGGTCCCGCGGATCCCTCAAGTACGAAGATGTCAAGAAATGCAAAGAACAGCAGGACCAGACGAACAAAGATCTCAGCGACTGCAGAGATCGCAAGGAGGCCGAGGGCGGCGACAAATCCGAGTGCAAGCCGCCCGCCAACCACAAATCCCTCCAAGAATGCCTAGACCGGGTCAAGGCCTTCAGAGAGCAGGTGAGAAAGACCGAGGAGGCGAAAAAGACTCAGCACAGGGATGCGAACAAGGCCTCGGAGAAGATTGTCGACGACGGCGACAAGCTGATCTACGGCGACAAGCTGATCTACGGCGGAGAGAAGATCAATCGCGCCCTCGAGTGAAGCGGACGAAGCGGACGAGTACCGAAGCGCCGCACGGCCGGCAGTTGAGGCTCGGCACTCGGTCACACGGAGACGCTGAAGGAATCGGGCATTGCTTCAAAATCTCGGCGTGGCACACCGGCACTCGACCAACCCTTCTTCGTCGTGGCGTCGCCGTAGTCGTGTTCCGCCGACGGGGGGAAGGGGGGATGGTGCAAGGCGAGGAGGATTGATGGTTTGCGAGCAGACGAAACGCACAAAGAAGAAAAAAATTGCGATGGAGTCCCTGGCTTCCGTAGACGAAATGGAACCACTGTGCGCTTGGCCCTTGGCCCTTGGTGTTGATGTTGATGTCGATGTTGTGTTGCTTTTGGTCACGCTTCCTTATCGATAGCACTGGCGGACACACTTTGCGAGCCCTAGCTGTGACTTGAGCCATCTTCAGGACTTGACGTGGAAAAACAGATGATTTCAACCTCAGCTACTCCGTACACAAGGCATGCAAGCCCCAAGCCCCTTTGCCAAAACACTACAAGGCCACTCTTTCACGTTGGAACAAGCGAGTAATTTCGAGTGCATGATGCAAGGGCTCAAAGCGTATTTATACGGGCAGTACCCCCCAACTGAGTGCTGCGGGTTGAAACCCCCACCCCTGTTGCAATGCAACGACGGGATTGGACGGACAGGGCACCTCCAACCTGGCGAGCGGCTTGTCCCGCCCCTGGATAACGTGAATTTGATTAACCCGTATCAGCCATTTGCCGAGGCAGACAGTCAAGATAACGCGGCTTCTGAGCGGCTTCTGCCCGTTTCGCATCTTCACATCTTGATGGCACTAGATTGCGCGCTGCAAATCGAGGACAGAAACTGACCCCAGTTCCGGGAATCACGCCCCCAGTCGAGTAGGCTGCAAGTACTATTGCTCTGTTGTGCACCCTGCAGCCCATGCGTCATCGGTTTCACGTTTCAGACCAGACAGACACCCTTGCGGCCTTGCCGAGGTCGTGGTTGCATACGACTCCGTACAACCGCCGGCATGAACAGACTCGACGACATCTTGAGGCGGTACACCGTCCAGGGAGAAGAGGATACAAAGGACAAGCTTCTCGGGGCTGCGTTTGTAGTCACGGACAAGGAGGGCAAGTTTACCCAGAAGCGACGGGGAAAAAAAGAAAAAGGAAAACCTGACATGACATGGCCCTCGTCCCAGAAACTGAGAGATGACATTAAAAAAAGAAGAAAAAAGAAAAAAAATAGCAGAGGCTAACAAAACCGCTGGCAGGAACCCTCTACAGCGGCTCGTCCGGCCGCCTCGACCTCGATCCCAAATCACCCCCCTTCACAGAAAAGGCCTTCACATGGGCGGCCTCGCTGACCAAGCTGGCGACGAGCATTTCCGTGCTGCAGCTCGTCGAACGCGGCCAGCTCGACCTCGACGCCGACCTGCGGCCGCTCATCCCGGAGCTCCGGCAGGCCCGCATCCTTCGCGGGTTTGACGACGACGACAAGCCCGTCATCGAGGCCAACACCAGGCCCATCACCATGAGGCAGCTGCTGACGCACACGTCCGGCTTCAGCTACGAGTTCTCCGACCCCGTACTCCTGCAGTGGTCGCGCACGCAGCCCAACCGCCACGTCACGCGCCTCCAGTGGTCCAAGCTGGAGGTGACGACGCCGCTGCGCTTCGCCCCCGGCGAGAGCTGGGGCTACGGCGTCGGGCTCGACTGGGCCGGCCAGGTCCTCGAGGCCATCACCGGCAAGTCCCTCGGCCAGTACATGCAGGAGAACATCCTCGACCCCGTGGGCCTCGCCGACACGGGCTTCTGGCCCGAGAGGCTCCCGCACACGGCGCCGCGGACGGCGCAAAACGTCCAGCGCACACGGGACGGCAGGCTCGCCGCCGCCCAGCCTCCCACCCCGGAGAAGCACGAGATCGAGTCCGGCGGCGGCGGGTGGTTCACAACGGCCAGCGACTACGCCCTGTTCCTGAGGGCCTTTCTGGCCGGCCGCCTGCTCTCGCGGCGGTCCATGGCCGACGTCATGACGCCGCAGCTGAACGAGGCCCAGGCCGAGCACCTGAGCGCCATAGCGTTCCACCCCATGGTCCACAACACGTTCGCGCCCGAGTTCGCGCCCGGCACCGTCATCAACTACGGCCTAGGCGCCATGTTGAACGTAGACCACGTACCGGGGAAGAGGAGGGCGGGGAGCATTGCTTGGAGCGGGATTCTCAATAGCCGCTGGGTGAGCTGCACGTCCCTGCCATTCGCTCTCTGCGCGTCCTCGCGAGCTAACATTCCTCCTCTCCTGCTTGACAGTGGGTCGATGCAAAGACGGGCATCGCCGGCGTCCTCGTTGTCAATGTCCGGCCCAACGGCGACCCTGTCGTGGCCAAGCTATACCACGAGCTGGAGCTTGCCGTGTACGGTCATCTCTTGCGACAGCCCGCCGCTCAGAGTCGTATCTAGACGTGGCTGCGGATAGAAAGAGGGGAGCACACGTAACCAACAGGCGGGTTTATGTACCTAGAGCGCCGCGAGACTTCGTATTGCACTTAATTCTACCGTTTCCGATGCCCCTTGTATGTTGGTATGTGTCTTGTCTCCCTCATGACCGCCTCTTGGTTGTTTTGAAAGGAGAAGGAGAGGAAGAAGTAATCCCTCAAGCACCCACCTAGTCGTACACGAGACGAACCAGGCCGTCAAGGCACTCTAGTATTCGTGGTCGAGTATGTCATCGCCACTCATGGACTCCAACACGCCCTCCAGCACCCTTCTACACCTGCCTCTGTAATCGAGGGCCAGCCTCTGATTGCGGGTCAAGTCGGGCTCGTCGGCGTCGGCGACCTCGACATCCGTCTCGTTGAGCCGCTCCAGCTCCTGCAGCACCTTGTGCTGGATAATGGCGACCGTCTGCTGCAGATACAGGCGCGCCTCGCCTTCGACCTTGCCGGCGAAGAAGCGGCCTCTCTGGTGGGCGTCTGGCGGGCCCGACGCGCCCTCGGGCACGGGGATCAGCGCGGCGCGCCGCTCCGGCGTGGCGGCGAGCGTGCAAAAGATGTCCCAGACCATTTCGGCCTGGACGTGCCCGAAGGAGCCCAGCACCGCGGCGGACGCGTCCAGGACGAGCGACTGCCTGGCGCGGGCCAGCACGGAGCTCGGGTGCGACACGGGCCGCAGCGAGATGAGGTACTCGTCCGACGCCGCCGGGGCCGTCCTCTTGCGGACGTGCGTGTAGTCGTTGTGCAGCGCCTCGGTGACCGGGAGCATGAAGCCGTAGCCCAGCAGCAGCTCGGCGTTGGTCTTCATGCTGTAGTTGTTGAAGACCTGCTGCCCCGGCATGTGCGTCCTGCCCACCCTCAGCCCGCACGCCTGGCTCTCGTCGTCCAGGTCCCAGCGGACGTCGGCCGTCATGTCGTGGTTCCCAATGTCAAACAGCGGCAGCAGCACGGAGAAGTCGTCGACGGCCACGCCGGCGGGCAGCCCGCGCCGCTGCTTCTCCGACAGCACCAGGCTCGGCCTGAAGCTGCGGCTGGAAAAGATGCAGTACGCCCACTGGTACAGCTCCGTGGTCAGCGCCCTGTCCAAGGCGCCCTCGGCACCGTCTCCGTGCGCGCGCAGCAGCTCCCGCGCCCGTTTCAGGTCCCTCGTGACGTCGTTCCTGATCTTGTCGATGCCGACTTCGACATTGGTCCCGTCGAGCAGCTCGGCCTCGTCGTCCTCCCAGAACGGCGCCAGCGCCCACTGGGACCTGTTTGCCTGTCCGGGCTGCGGGAGCGCCTGGATGTAGGGATGCCAGAACGACTTGTCGCGCTTGAGATACTCCTGGATCAGGAACAGGCGGCTGACTACATGGGGGGCAGCCCCGGCGAGCACCTCCTTGGGGAGGCCGGCCGGGCCCGAGGTTTCCCGCCCGCCCTGCTCGGACACGGCGTTCAAGTAGGAGAGGGCGAGCGAGGTGGGCAGTTGCACGATGGCTTCGTATGGTTGCACCGGTGACTGGGCGGATGGTTTGACACGGAACGAGAGGCCGGTCTGGGGGTCTCGGTAGACCTCGATGGATGGATGCAGCGTGGCCCCGTGTGAGGTGGCCCAGTCAACCAGGGCTGATATGGTGTCCCGGACGGGCATCGTGGGACGACGAAGTGATGCGACTGACGATGCCACGGCGCGCCAAGATGCCGGATTGCTGGCAGGCACTCGGCTTGTGTTGCACACGACGATGGCGCGATGCGTTGGACGTGTGTTGCCGTGGTCCCGCGCCGACCCGGGCCAAGAAAGATGAGATGCGCCGTTTTGTTTTTTATGAAAACATTGTCCGGATGGACTGCTCGGGCTGGTCAGGCTGGTCAGAGTTGTTGCTCATCCATGATCCCATGATCCATCCATCCAACTCGTTCACGTTGAGAGGACAAAAATCCAAAAGTGGAGCTTTGGCAACGGAAGGCGCGGGTGGGGTGGGGCCGCCATCAAACAAATGAAAGCCACTTTCTTTGTGATGACTTATCTGTGCCAATACTTTCTATATGCATATACACTTGTCCATCTATGCACTCGTGCATTTAATCGACTCACTTTGAGCACATGTCCATGCTACCCAAGATAAAAATAAAAAAAGTACAGTAAAAATATTTATATAGTAAAATTTTTTTTTGTCAACCGCCATTTCGCCTGGCAACCTGCTCCTAATGAAACTCCGCCTCTACCCGCCCATACCTCACCCCATCGACCTTCAGCTCAAACCCCAGGCCCGCACTATCTACAATCATTTCCAGCGTGAAATCAAGATTATCAAACTCAACCCCCCTCGTTGTAGTCAGGCGAGTGAAAAGACTCCTCGGAACGGCGTTCAAGTCCGTCGTCAGAGTACACACGTTCACGAGGTCTCGCGTGCATGCTGCCGGCGGCTCGTCCCCCTCGCAGGCAATCAAGTCGTCCGTGACAATTAACGACTGTCCAGGGCGGAAGTTCCGAGTGTAGTGGAAGGCAATGGGGGACAACGGCGACAGGGCCTCGCCCTGTTTTGCCACGGATTAGCTCTGACGGCGTGACACGCCAAGGTGTCAAGTGACGATCGGGACTTACCTTGGCAATGTGCCATTGCATCCTGTCCGAGACCATCCAGCGCTCCCACAGAGGCGACCAGTATCGTTCGCTGACAGAGTGCCTCTCCTCATCGTACACCGTCGCGTAAGAGGTGCCGTAGTGCATTCTCGACTTCCGAGAAATGACCATGTTCCCTTCCAGGCCCCTCAGGACCGCCCCGCGGACAACGGCAGTCCAAGCATACACAGGCTGCATGACTTCTATGGAGCCATTTTCTTCTGTCGCGCTAGCGTTGGCATGGGTCGGTCGTTCGCTGTACGGTGGAGGAGCTGCGCTCGTGAAATGCGCTTTCAGTCGTCGGTACAGGTAGTCGCTCTGCCCAAAGCCACCTACAAGGACAATGCCGGAAACGATGCCGCCCTTGGCACGGAGTCCCTCTACCTGGCCCTGAACCAGGTCACACACTTCCTTCACCACTGGCTCAAAAATGTCCTTGATTTGTTCAGCACTCATGACGAGAAAGCCAGAGTCGAGACCGGCTTCCTCATCGTCTGGCAAACCGGGAAAGCTACGTCTTGTCAGCAGGATGGACAACAAGTATGGCCAATGCTGGCTGCATGGAGGGCCCTTGACAAACTTACGGAACGTTTATCTCTTGGTGCTCCTCCTCGTTGAAGTTGCGCTTCACAAACTCTTCAAAGTACTTCAACCCCATCTGCCAACTTCTCCCCTTTTTGGACTTCATCTCGTCAAAGCGCGCCTGTCCGAGTCGGTTTCTGACATGCTCCTCAAACCTGTAGTTGAGAAATGCACTGCCACACAATCCACCTGTACCTACAGCAGACTCTTCCACTCGGAGTGGCTTAAGCGACATGATTTTGTACGCAATCAAGCTACGGAGGTTAGCGGCCCGAAGCAACATCCGCCGTTTTTCGAGAAGCACTCACTCAACGGTGCCACCGCCTGCATCGCAAACGATAAAGTTGTCCCCGATGCTCAGATGGTTTGGCTGTATGGCCTTCAACGTATATACAGCAGCCGCCTCCGGCTCGCTGATCATTTGAATCTCGGAGCGGCTACCCATCCCGGCACGCTCAGCAGCCAGCAGCGTCGTATTTTTGGCGGCATCACTCCATACAGCCGGGCAGGTAAGAACAAACTCGACCTTTGTTGATGCCATGAATGACTCGCCGTACCGCCGGGTAAGTGTGTCCATGGTATGCTTGTAAATCCGAGTCAAGTAGTCGCTCACAGCATCCACAACATTCTTATTGAAGCGTTTCAGTTGCGCGGCAGTGTCCAGGGGGCTGACGTAAAAGGGGAGCTTTTGAGACCGGTCAAGGAACAGCTTGATACACCGCAGACGGGATTCCTCGGGGCGAAACTGAAATCCCCATTTTGCTGTCGGGTCTGCCCCGGGAAGAGCATTGGCAGGAAACTCGTAGGCGATTTCTGTGGGCACCTTATCGGAGGTGATACCGTTGCCACCTGGCCATGTTTTGATGATTTCGATGTCGTCAGGGGTAGAAGTGTAAACGGCTGCAACTCTTTTTCTGTGTCAGTCTTGGAAACGCTAAGGCCTCGACGGTAGTTGATGACGAGCAGTCTCTGATAGAAAAAGGACAGCGACCAGTTCACGTCACGCTCCATGATACTACATGAGTCAAGTTCTGAGCCCAGAGCTACGAACCTCGCCTTGATCGTCGACCTCGTCAACTCCTTCTCCCAGACGATCAAAGACTCGCGAGCAGTACTTACCCAGAAAACGTCGTACCAAAATCCACGCCCACAATCAGTCGATCGCTAACCGGCACAGGTTCGCGCTGCTCTCGTACCGGCCCATTAATGGCCTCCGTAGAGCTGGGCGGTGTATAACTAGTGAAGTAATTCCTGCTATCCTGATTCCTTCGACTGGTGGGTATATTCCGCAGAGGTAGATTGAGGTTCATGGCGGAGGCGATTGAGGGGTTGGTCGTGGTATTTGAATGCATCGCGGGGGTCAGTTGATGGGGGCACGGCTGTCTCTGAGACTTCAAGTAGACTGTCTGCGTTTATTTCTTGTCGTCAACTCTAGGTGCTTTCGCTCCTCTTGCAGTACGTAGACGATAGTTCTTGCAGTACGTAGACGATGGTGGCAACCGGTCCTTGACTGTATCCTCATGCCGGCTGCTCAAGCTCAAGCGTCATGATGGGCCGGCTCAACTGCAGCTAGTTCGTTTTGCGCAGAGCCGCAGTGGAGGGGGAAAATGTGTTTTTAAAAGCGCCGTGCAAGAGTCCAGCCAGAAACAGCAAAGATGATTGAGTCAGAAATGCCTTGTCTTGCCGTGGATGTATTCAGTCGCGGTCACCATGAGTAACGATGGACAACGTTCAGGATTCTAAGTCTGCAGTTTGGACCTTAGTGTCCAGCTTGGTGGAGTGACGACAGACTTGGCCAAGCGCTCACTGCTTCTCGTTTTGCTTGCGTAACCTGTACACCGGTACTTACTTAAGTACCTAGGTACCTACCTAGGTACTTGAGCAAGTACTTGAAATGGGTACTCAGGCTGGCCTTATTAAAATCCGTCTTGTCAGCAGTACAAGACAAGAAGCCTCCTTGCGAGACATGAGTATACAGTAGACGACTTTTCATCCAAGAAGGACTCATTTACTCTCTCCCAGAGAAAAAATATTTTTAAAAAATATTTAACAGAGTGGCTTCGTCGCGCCGCGTCAAAGTACGAAAACAAAGAACAATGCACACTTACGTACTTAAGTACCTTTGCTCGAGTGCCTACTAAAGCACTTAAGTACTCAAGTACTCGGGAAGCTACTTCACAACCACTCCAAAGAACCTGGTAGGCAGGTAATTAGGTGTGCCTCTCGAAGGGCGGAGGATGCTGCCTTGCAGAAAAGTGAGTGACAACAAAGCAGAAGAGCCAAAGACAGCAAACATGCGACCGTATCCGTACTGCGCCAAGGCACATCCTAGACGCCCACATATCTGGGAGCCATCACAAGTTGCCCATCTAAGTGCGAAAAACATATCTCGGGTCATCAATGTATGCTCTTCAATTAAATATATTATCAGTCATCCTTCACCTCAGTCGCCATGTACTGTTATTCGGTGCGGAGTACTCTATCAGTTTGCTTCTGCGTGCACATTTGATGTGGATAAATCGTACTCGGGAACCAGCAAGGACAAGTTTGTCCTCGCGGTTGCGTTGCACATCTCCAAGCCCAACCCATTAAGCTTGGCCGTGCGTATTCATTCCTAGTTGGAGGACAAGCTGGCACTGCTCATATACCACACATGGTTTCAATACTCCGTCCCAGACGCTGATGATGAGAAATAAAAATGACGAAACATGTGACAAAGGGAAAAAAGAATAATGCCAAGTCGATAAATTCCCGCTTCGCGAGCGTTGTACAGCGCTATGGCCGAGGTCCAGCCTGTGCGTAGTCTTCAGTCTATATGGGTATTTGTTGTTCAGTCGCTGAAAGGTTTCAGAAAGAAGGCAGAAATCAAAAGATCCAACAAGAGAAAAGTTGCTTGCGTTAGCTGCGGCCATCCTGCGCGCGCATCAAACAGTAATGTAGACAGTGAGATCCAGGACAGCCCCGGGGAATCGAATAGTCAATCAAAAGATCGCATACACGAGTCGAGATGCCAAATTAAGATTGATCCGTCGGTATATGAAAAAAGATCGATATATGCAGAATAAAAGGGGAGTTTCGAAAAAAAAAAAAAAGAAGCCGAGGGGTTCCGCTCACCACGTCCCTTCCCCGAAACGCCGCGGAAATGCAATTGATCAACCTTGAAACGTTATCACTGCTTTTGCCTCTTGGACGTTCCCACTTATCGTCCTGGTAACAATGGTGCCAAAGTGCTCTCCCCAGTAGGTATTGACCGACGTGGTTAAAAGTTACCAGCAGCCCAGATACTCGCTGATGCCGACGCCCCCCATTCGCTCCCTTCATAAGGTGGGGTAGGCCACTTGTATTGGCTGCAGGGTTTCTTGCCGAGATCCAATGGCTTAGGCGTCAAGACTTCCTGGCCGTCGCCGTACAACACCTGACTGCCGCTCGCGGATGGCGAGGGGCTCGGGTAAGGATGTGGGGTTGCTAGTCCTAGGTTGCTGGCGGATTGCCTCAGGGGCTTGGTAGATCCATCCATGTGTCTCATGGCCCTTTGAGCAGACGTCAGGGCCTCGTCGAGGAGCTCATCTTCTTCGTCTGGAACCTCGTACTGCCGTGCGCCGTGAGCTGCCTGCGCCCGTCGCGTGCGACTCGAGATTGGTCCGCCACGGGCAGCTCCAAGCAAGTTGTCGACGGACCTGGGTTGCTGATGAGGGAGAGAGTGGTGTCTCTTGAGTCTGCTGGTGGACGTGGGCTGGTGGCTTGCTGGCAATGCGGACCGTGAATCCAAGGTGCCCTGGACATCTCGCAGGGCCTTATCCAAAGACTCGTAAACTTCAGCCTTGGGAATAGGGCCACCCTGTGGATCAATCACTACCGACGACCTGTTGCTTGCCCAAGGACCACAACCAATTTGGGCTTCCATGTCTTCGTAGGAAGGAGATACAGGGGTTTGGTGGCGCCCTGAAAAACGCCTGGCTCGTTTCCGAAGATGTGAGAAGAAGCTCTCCTTGTGGCCGCTAGGGGGCGAGGCAAGACCAGTCTCGCCATTCAGAGCACGCTCAGCCTGCTGGCGGTGCATTTCGGCGCAGGCATTGCTGCTGGAAGCGACAGAGAGCTGCCGGCCAAGCTTTTTGGATTTGACTTCAGCTTGGCCACGGTTGGCTCGAGCAGTGACGGCATCAGAAAGAGGTGAAATTGGTCGAATTGTAGGCAAGATCGGCATGGGCGCCACGTTGGAAAGCCCGTGTGTCCAAGTACTGCGCTTTGCAGCAGGAGGAGCGCGAGCCTTGGAGGCAGGGGCCTCGACAGTCGGGACGGACGCAAGAGAAGGTCTGGTGACGGGAGTTTCCTTGTTGGGTACCTGGAGAGCGGCGGGCTCAGGAACGTCGCTCCGGCCAATCAGGGATTTTCGGAACCAAGAAGGCAAGGACGCGATCTGAGTCGTGCTAGAAGATTCTTTGACGGTTCGGCCGAGGTCCGATTGCTTGCGGCCCAGTATCTTGGAGGCAGATGACTTGGGTCTTGTGGGATCCACGGCGTCGTTGAAGTATTCATGCATCAGAGCTTGGGAAGACGTCGGTCGGTTCTTGGGATCCCACATCAAGCACCAGGTGACGAAGCTGCTGAGGGAGGCGGGCCATTGAGGAGCCTGTAGAATGGTATCCATGGCATGCGGTGCCATCTTGGGAAACGAGAAGCCAAGTTTGCTCGCGAGACGGGTTCCTTCTCGCCAATCCCCTCCACCAACGCGTACACCGGCCTTGTTATACCAATTTCCAGGGCTACCCATGATCTCGCAGACACGCCAGACCTGGTCGACCTCATTCCCACCGGGGAAAAGCGGCTTCAAGGTGGCGACTTCCACAGCCATTGCACCAACAGCCCAGATATCCACAGGGGCCGAATACTCTCCAGCACGGAGTAGAACCTCAGGTGCGCGGTACCATCGTGTTGAGACGTATGTCGTGTAGGGAAGCTTGGAGTGAGTTTCTCGAGCCAGGCCAAAGTCGGCAAGCTTCACGGTATAGTGGGGAGGTGTGGACGGGGGTGTGACTAAAGCTGAATACCTCCGGAACGAGTTGGAGGCTTCCTGGTGAGAGGAAGTTGAGACTAGGATGTTCTCGGGTTTGATATCTCGGTGAAAGAAATTGTGAGAGTGAATGTGTTCCAGACCACGCATGATCTGGAACAAGACGCTCTTGACACTGGCGTTATCGAGACATTTGTGGTCTCTGGCCTTCATCAGCTGGTATAGGTTGCCTTCCATGTATTCCATGCAAATGTGCAGCTTTTTGCTGTGGGGGTCCAGGAAAATATCCAGTGCCGGGACGAGATGCGGGTGGTTTGGGATGGTCCTCAGAAATACAACCTCGCGCAATTCCAGACATGGCGCGATAGAATCAAATGTCTTCTTCATGGATTTGATTGCAACCTAGACAAGGGCCGGATATTAGAGCTGGCTTCGGGGAAAACGTCAAAATGTACTGCTCGACTCACTATTGAACCGCGACGGGCTACATTGGCGCCGGCAGTTCTGACACGGGCCAGAACAACACTGCCGAAGCTTCCATCTCCGATCTCCTTGAGGACTTCGAAACGATCCTCCAAGGCCACCTGGCCTTGAGGCGAACTTCGACGAGCCAAGTCAGCGGGAGCGGCGACGGTCATTTTTCGTACTTGGAGCGGCACGATTCCGCGACAGGTCGGGTACGGCTTTGATGATGGCTCTGCCCGGACAAACCTCACGATGGGATCGGTCCTCTGAGCACGAGATACATCAACCAAGCCCGCAGAGGGACCCTTGGTGTCGGGGAAACGATTGAAGCTCTTCGACGGAGCTCTAGGCGAATTACCGGTGCATTCAGATGGAGAGAGCGAGAAGAGTAGAGAGGGAGCAGGCCGAACGGTGTCTGTACGGTTAGAGCTGACGGTGGCCGTAGCGGTAGCGAACAATGTTTTCTTTCTCGAGTCGAATACAAAAAGTTTGCTGCACCAGATGGCGAGATACAAGACGCGGCATGCAGGTTCACAGGGCCGAGCTGGACAGCAAGCGGGAAAAGGAGCGACTGGAGTGAGAGAGTCTCTGACGGGCGTGGATAGTGCTGATAACTGTGCGCAAAAAGGAGACTTCCTTCCACCGACCAGACCAGGGTACTCCTGAGGTTCTCCAAAGGTCTAATTTTGCTGCCAGACGGGTATCCAGATGCTGGTACTCGGTACAGAGTATTGGGATTGCAGCTCGAGCCTGCTGATCGTGGGGAGGGATCCTTGGACACTAGTGCTTTTTGGTGATACTGGCAGACGAATGCTGCCAGGAACACTTTTTTTTTCTTTTCTTTTTCTTCAGGCTGCTCTGGAGCGCACGCACCAACTGCCGGGAGAGACCAGCCAAGTTGAAGCCACCAAAGGAGCGATGCGGGAAAAAAAAAGAATGGAAAAAAAGAACGAACGGTTGATGCGCAAACAGGCCACAAACAACCACTGCAGTTGATTGGAAAGGGGAGAAGAGGTGAAAAGAGTGAGGACCAGAGCCGGGTCCCGAACCCAACCCAATGAGCAACTGCCAATGAGCCAAACGGCGGCGGGGAGGAGAACGAGGATGGTCGATGCAAAGGAAAGGCACAAACAAGCCGGGGGGGAGCAGAAGCAGAAGCAGAAGCAGGAGAAGCAGGAGCGGGAGCAGGACGGCGGCGGGCTAGCGCTGGAGTCCTGGACAGTCCAGCGCACGAGTGTCCAGGTGAACTGTGAAGTGTCAACTGGTCAATGGTCAATGGTTTGTGTTGAGCCGGCCGCCATCAATTGATCCATCAATCCGTCAATGTCAGGTCGGAAAAGAGGGCCAAGGGAGGATCGGGACCTGAAATGGCGTCGGTGGGGCGGCGGCGACGCGCACAGGGGGGGGCAGAGGAAAAAGGGGCGCTCCCGGGGGGGTTCCGTCTCGAGCCAACAGAAGAGAGGGAGGGAGAGACCAGGCCGGATGGAGCGCGCAGAGAGAGGACACGCGGCTGGTGGTGGTGGTCCCTGGTGGGTGGTGGCGGGTTGGCGGGCGCGCTCGCACGGGCTAATACGGCCCAGCTCAGGGCGGCTTCAAGGGTTGAGACGGCGAGGGGCACCTGAGGCGCTCCAATGCTTCCGCCGGCCTGGTGGTTCCAAAGCAGCACACCCGAGCTTGGCCGCGTAAGGGTCGACTCGACTCGACTGGTCTCCCTAAAGGCTAGAGGCCAAAGCAGGTGACGCCTTGGGTGTTGGCGTTGGCCAAGATGAGGAGGAGACGGCCAGGAGTCCAGGACTCGGCGTCGTGTTCGCGGCACGCACTCCGCACCGAGTACCATTTCTTCCCCCGTCGGTCGCAGGCAAATCGGCCAGTCTGCTGACCCTGCTGATGATCTCTGCTTGATTCACTAGTACTCCAATACGCCAGTACACGGACGCTATCGAGAACTCTGGGAAATAACCACGCTCTGCATTGACGCTACGCTCGACGGGTGCCTCGGTACTTGGGTATTTTGGCCTTGTACTTTGATCCAAGGTACTCAAGTACGGACCTGTACTCCGTGTGTCCTTGCATCAGATACTGTCCCATCCACTGCAGAGAGTTGGTTGCTGCAGGACCCTCTGTGGGATAGATTGTCACGCCACGGTGGGAAATGGGGCGCGCTCTCGCTTTGTACTGAGTACCCGCGTCTTTCTTCATCATCGATCATCCTCCACCCACCTCGTCCTCCATCCGACGTTGAAAATACTACAGTACGTACAAACTCTGCACATTTTAGGCCTAGGCCACTGCAATGCTGATGTATTTTACGGAGCAGCGTGCGGAGCACCCATGCGCCATACATCATCATACATACATTTGGTCGCTCCGTCGGGGGTGCGCCGTGCGCCGTCGCAGCCTCCCTCCCCCTTGATACGCATGTCGCAGATGGGGGCCAAAGAATACGCAGCATGAGAAACATGGCGACGCAACATGGGTTCCAACTCGTTGGAATCGCCACGGCCCGTCTCCGCGCCCTTGGTCCTGACAACTTTATGAACATCAGTCGGTGCAGAAGTACGTACTCCGTGCGTGTCATCGTCGAGCAGCGCTCCGGGCTGTTCCATGCCAAACCACGCTTCATGGCATGTACGTATCAGTCAGTACATGCCCCTGGACAAGGCATTCTCTTCTGAAAATACCTGCGGCCTGGCAATGAGATGCTACTGATGCTGTGTACTCCGTACCTGTTGCCAACCTTGCACCAGGCACTGAAGACTCAAGAGTGCCCGTTTCTCACCAGCGCACGGACTATTCCGCATTGTCAGTGAGATGAACGGGAAAAGAAAGAACATGGCAATGGCGGCATCTCACCTACAGAGTGCTCCCGTCGTCCAGAATGGCCCGGCTGCTTGCGGCGGTCCATATCCGCTCAATTCTGAAGTAAACCCGCCGACGTGAAGTCAAAACCCTGCACCAGAGAGAATACGTACACCATACATCGATTTGCGTGTGATGACACGACTGGCCCAAAGTCACCATCAGTACTTCGCATGTACATACATACATGCTCCGTACTCTGCTGCGCCGGCAGTTGGCTCAACGACGGCACCGCCCTGTTCGCTCCATATTACGCAGGTATATACCAAGCCTTCCTCAGTCAGGCACAGGCATGCACCCCAACATTGGCCCATCGAGCGACCTGTCGTTGATCCAGAAGGGCGTACGTAATCCAGGCGCGCAGGGACGGGGCAAGGGGTAACTACCAGGAGCCCGTAACCGTCGAATGGACGAGGTCCTTGGCCTTCCGGTGTGTGCGCCACAACCTTTGTACGTCGATATTGCACACGCTTGTACGCCCGTCCGCCTCAGTACACAGTACGTTACCGTTCCGGCGGCCGACTCAAATGGAGGCTGACGAAAATGACAACATTTAACCGAACAAAAACTGCGATGGGGTGAAGACAAGTTGTGAATGGTCGAGGCAGGCAAGCTCTGAGCAATCTCGTCAGTGGGGCTTCGGGGTGGCCTTGAAAACGGCCTCGACAAGGATATTGTAAGTATAAATTGTATAATATTGTCAGGGACTTTGGCGGCGACACCCTCAGGCTGCAAGACGCCCCCTTGCCACTTCCGCTGCCAGTCAAATTGGTCAATTTGCATGGCTTGCCAGGGGTGTGGGGAGGCAATTAATTTGCTTCTTGCCAGTGAGCCCAGCGGCGAAATAACAGGAATGAGTCCAAGTGCAACGCGGCTCGACAGCTCGATGACACATGCGCATTACTCCGTACTCCGTGCTGACCTCCGTACCCAGGTATATAGCCGGGGGGCGCAATTGTCCACAGTGTTCTCATTCCTGCCGGTGGTACGGAGTACAGATTTCCCAACGGAGCACTCTGTAGTAGTACCGTACAGAGCACGCCGTAGTGCTGATGAGACCTCACCAGTTCCCCTGTCCGTTGCCCCTGGGTTCCTATGCCACCCGGCTGATCCGGCGACGCTGTTTGGCCTTCACAAAGTCGAGTGAATCCATGAAAACGCTCACGGGCCGTTGCCCATCAGCAGCGCCCGGACAACTGCCGCAGCGGGCCAGCGGCCCTCACTGCTGACTCCTGAGCACAGCATGTTCTCGCCGGCCAAGTTCCGGCTTATCCCTCGGCGACTTGACTGGCAAGCGTTGGTCTGGTCAAGGCGGGCAATTGGGATTGCCTAAAGGGAGCGCCACGCGAGAATGATGATTCCTAGTACTAGTACTCCGTACTCCGTATCACATACCTACTCGCTAGGGAGCTAGCTGAGGCGTTGTCCTGCCCTGCTAAGCCTCTCTTTCAACGTTGGTCCAACAAGGGGCAAGGAAGCAGGACCGAGATCCATGCTGCAGCCTGACTTGTGCTGCCCATGTGGGCACAACCTGTGTGTGTCAGCATTGGCCTCCTGCTGATGCCGCTGATGCCCGAAAGGACCAGCACCAGCCAGTCCGAGTGCAATTGCAACCGAGTGACCGTTTTGCGTGGCCACATGATATCTCAAGGCCGTGAGAGAAAGCGTTACATTGGGCTGGCCGCTTCGTCCAAACTGAACCGAGCAGCCGTTAGCGCTGGTTTTGAAGGACACACAGTGTGCTGGAGTGAGCTTTTGCCAACACGAAAAGTTGGGGGCCAAGACGTCGGTCGCAATGCTGCTCGCCCATCGACGTGGTGGTGAAAGGTCCCTGATGGATACAAAACAACCTTTAACAGTGCTGTGTCCATCTCCTTGTGCTGAAGGCGACTTGAGCCACTCCGTATCGCGTACTCCGTACGGAGTCGCCACTTGGGTAGAGAAGGGACGGTTGCCTTTTAGCCAACGCAAACCTGGCCACCCAAGCTGTCATCCAATCTGATCAAGAAGCTGTTTCATTCCCTGATTTTGCATGTCACCCGGCCCTGTACAGAGTACCGCGAGTGCTTCGTCACCATGTCGCCTAGCAAGCGCAGTTCAGCCAAAGGATTTAGAGTGTATCGGCGCACGCAAAGTACACATATGTGCTTGTCATATCTGAAATCGGCCCCCTGGCCTAGCCGTGCGTGTGTCCATCTTTCGACTGGACGACAGCTAACGAGCCACTCCGTACAATACCGAAGTAAGTGGATAAGTAGAAATGAGGTTCATGGCCAGAGCGGCCGGCGGCCGTTGCTTTACAGAACTTCTGTACAAGCGTTATTCCCGTGACATTGGCGCCGGGCGTGGGACAGATATTCCGATATTCGTTGGATTTGACGACGTTGATGCTTCAAGTTTCAGGCCGCGTCGCTCCTGGCGCCATCGGTGGCCGCGGTGGATGTGATTTGTTGGGCAACGTGAAGTGCAACGGCTGTTTGCATGCCCAGAAGGCAAAAGTGAACTATACAAAGTGACGTCGATATTCTACCACGGGACATCGTGATCCCAGGTTCAAGGTTGTAGACACATGCGGTTTGCATTGTTCTGCAATTCGACCTTGCCTGCGTCGTCGCTCCTCGCAGTTGGTGACGACGCCATTGTCCATCCACAACATGATTGCTCGCTAAACTTTGTTGAAGTCGACGCAAGGCGGGTGCTGCGGTGCGCCCCGAGGCGAGCTGGGACGTCCGAATGATGACTCTGCATCAGGTATCACCTTCAGTCTGCTGCAAGATGGCAACCACGGTACTGATAAATCCGTCTTCAAAGACGCTGGAGCAAAGGCGGCCGACTGTTTGGTGAAATGGCCACCAGACTAGATGTCTGCGGTCAGTCACGGAGCCGTGAATTAATCCTTCAATCATATGCCTACCAGTCGACCCATGAACGATTTGTCAGGGCCCAGCTCATATCTGCTGCTCCAGCGGGCATTTCAAAACGAAACTGACATGGCGATGGTGTGGAGAGATCTGCCTGCAGCAGCTGCTTGATGGCTCGTGCCAAGCCGGTCGTTGAAGCCTCGACGGAAGTTGCCTGATGCCGGCAGCGATAGTTCTGTTGCCCGAGAAATTCCTCCGTTCCCAGCTCAACGTCCGTCATCATTTGGTGGCAAACCGGCAGAAGATGATGTGTGGCCTTGGGCAGGCCGTCGAAGTGAGGCACCTGGGAGACACCTGTGTGCCAGTGTAGCCAGCCGTCAGATGTTTTCAAACAGTGGAGGAAAGGAGTCGCTGAATTTTGTCTCGAGCCCTCGGGATTAACCAAGCCATCCCCTGTCTTCACCTCCATCACTTCGCCATCCGTCGAAAAACTTCACTCCGGTCACTGAATCCAGCCTCAGGCCCTGTTGACCATGCCTTCGACCGAGAGAGGCAATATCGAACCAAGCCGGTAAGCAAACTCCCCCTTTTTCTCTCTCTATCTGCGCCAAACAACAGGGGCATCTCCTCATTCTTCAATGTTGGCAACTTCTTTACTAACTACTTTGGCTCCCAGAGGATCGGCACCTGGCCTGCCCGTGAGGTACGCAACCAGCAAATGCCCAGGGCACACTGCCACAGCTAAACATGGCCCAGGTATCGATGCAAGGTTGGAGGAGAATGGAAGTCACTACAGTTCTTCTCCAAGAACCAGCAGAGCCTTTTACAACGACAGACGTCAGTGCGCGGCTGTATCGACGCGGCGAACTCGGGCATGACCTGCATAGAGCATTCTGCCAACTGTCGCCGAGAAATCCGCTGCGAGCTTTGCGGGCTGGTTAAATCCATTGACCAGTTTAGCAAGTCGATGAGAAGGAGCGACGACCCGGTAAGTCTCGGGGCGCTGCTGAATCCTGACACTAGCTACCGCGATCCGCTGACCACGATATCAAGACTTGTTTGCAATGCACTGCTTGGGGGGAGGTCCAAGAACCAGGCGTAACCCCTGCGCCGTTGCAGACAGGCCATAGATTAGTCGAGGAAGAAAATCGAGACATTCGGGGCAAAAGATTTGTCGAGAGCACAGACTTTGTTCCCAGTGCGATGCCGCAGGTACGCAAGGCGGCAAGACTCTGCCTCTCCGCCAGCAACCATACATGACGTGGAACAAATGCTCATTCTACTCACAGCCTCCCACCACGGCCATGTCATCTTTGGGGATTGGAGGCGGCTCAACAGGCGGCCACAGCCATGCTCGCCTTGGTGGTCCCTCGTCTTCTCGCGGCCCGTCATCGGTGGTCTCGGCCCCGGTGTCAGTAGCCTCGTCCGGTCCAACGCCTCCTCACTTGGAGTCGATTGTCAGCAAGCTGATGCAACGTGATGGCTTGGTCAAATCATCCAGCGCTGACGATGGCAGCGAGAGCGCCGCCTCCTCTGCCGAACCCGTCACCGTGCAGGGCTGGCTGGCAGGAAACCAAGCTCCGCCAGTTGACAGATCCGCCAGTGGCAGGGGCTCAGAGGACGACGGCAGCGATGCCGGCCGAGCGACGCTGTCGAATTTAAACAGCTGCCTGCCGCCACACATCCGAGCCAAAATGTCCAGCACGGCATCTCGGGCTGCCCTGTTCCAGCCCGCGGTCCCCGGATCAAGCTCCCGGGGCTCGGAGGCCGGGAGCATCTCCACGGCTACAACCATGCGGCGCGAACAGGACAACGTACGGCGCACCCCATACAACGCTTGGGACAATGCCGGCAAGCTTCATAAAGCTATTAAGTCCCCGACCGTCTCGGATGGCGATGCGGCGTCAACCACGAGCAACGTTCTGGCCCGGCACGTAGGTACATCAGGGCACGGGGGAAGTCGTGTGCCCACTACGAAGCAGGACGCGCCCAAATCAAAGAATGCTTGGTTCAAGGCCCCAATGGTAATTGGAATCCCAGGTCAAGTTGGAAATCACGCCAAGGTTTTGCTTGCACTAACCTTGTGTGTACGTATTTAGCATCGACCAGATCCGCAGGCTGCCGCAGACCGCATGTCCGCCGGGCCCGTTGACCCCGATATTGATCGTCAAAGACTTATGAACTACTGTGATTCAGAAGGTTCTAGACGGTGAACCGATCATTTTCAAGGTGGTTCCTCCATGCTCGTCAGTCCCTTGGCAGCCTCTGAAGTTACCTGGGGGACGAGGAACGTTTTCAGAAAAAAAGTCGTGACAAGCGTTAATGGTAGAACGCACGGCGCTCCAGAATCAACAGAGCAGCCATCAGGGGCAGGGGACAATGCGAGTCTCAGGACAAGCCAACAAAGTACGTAGCTAAAACGAGCCTGCTCATGGGCTTCCGCATGCCGTTTAAACAGTTAAATTCACTCTTTCTCGTACAAATTTGCGCCTTCTTGGGAGCACAAAACGTTGACTGACTGCCTCTGCCAAACCCTTCCATGCCATCTGCACCCCGGCACTTGCCCGGTTGTTCTGCTTTTCGCCTCATGTTGACGATAAAATCCCCTTCTTTCTCGCCATTTGAGCAAAACCACGCCACCCACCATGCCAGGAAATTCAAGAAACATCTCTTCCTCCGCAGCGTCGCCTAAATATGATCAAGTGCCAGACCGAGTCCAGTAGCAAAAGTGATACGTGGGAGTTCCCGAATCCCCGGTCCAAGCCACGGCACCGTACGCCCCACCGAGCGCCGAGTAATAGTTATGTATAGTAACAGGATAAATGGTAGAAATGATGTGTATGGTTAGGGTTCTAGTTTGTAGTTTATGTGGCCCAACTGCAAAATTACGTTTACACTTCGCGGTCTTCCCGTTTGTCGAATAGTTCCGTTGGGGGTGCATTTACCACCGCCTCGGCATCGCCCACCTGCCTTCGCTCCGTGACCTCTCGGCGATCCTTGAGACGTTTGCGCAAGATTAGGGATGGTGATGAAGCCGCGGCGGTGCTTAATTGCTACTGTAGAGGCTCCGAGGATGACGACAGGCGGTTCAGATGAAGATATACATCTGTTCCATAACTGCAGAGATCAGAGTCAGTCAGTCTTGCCATATCTTGATTGGTAACGGGGTTGGATAATTTTCTTACCCTTCCATGCTAATCAGCTTCAAGTCGCCGCCAAAGTATCTTGCGTATAGTCTTGAAATGGGCAGACCGTAACCGAAGCCAGCCATGGGGGCTTTGAAGTCGCTCTTGTCGAAATCTGGGTCCAAATTGGGCGTGCGGTCGACGGTTGTGTACATGTAAGTCCAGACCAACGGAATGGCGCTTCGTGGTATGCCACCACCTTCGTCCGAGATTTTGATGGTGATATCTTCTTTACCCTCGGCCACAATCACCTTGGTGACGGGAAACTCTTGCTTGTCCATCCCATGCGTCTCAACCACGGCGCGGAGAGAGTTCTTGAGAGTTTCGAAGAGCATGTGTGACAAATGTCCCGGGACGTACATGAAATCCAGGTTAGGGTTGCAGACCAGCTGGATCCGGGGAGCCTCGAATAGGCCGTAATGGTCCTCGCAGACAAATCGAGCGTTCTCTATGGCCTCCTGTGCGAGGTCTTTAACGTTGGTCTTGGTGCAAATCACACCGACATAGGTTGGATCGCGGTGGTGACTCTGGTCAGTGAGGGCAATGTGCTGGCCGATGAGCATTCGGATTCCAATACGGGACATGTAGAATCGGTCGAGGAAAGATTGTATGGTGCCGTCAATTTGCATTCGCTGACGGCGCCGCTTGTACTCCAAGATGCCCTGAGCCATTGTGGTAACAACTCCATCATGTCTCCTCTTGATTGTGTGAAGGGTCTGCGCAAATCTTTGATTGTAAAGCTGAAGGTCGCCAGGCCAATCGCCCGTGTCGTCAACGGTGGCGAAATATCTCCTTGACAGCGACTTTGCCTTGCCGTTGCCATTACTAGAATTCGTTAGCCCACCCCAGCCCGAAGAGTCGCCCTCATCGATAGAGGGGTTAGGTGTGGCTTCGGAGAGTCGTTGAAAAATATGGCGCCCGTTGCCCTTGCTGGGTTTCATGAGACGATCGCGAACCTCTTTGCTCAGAGTCGGCCGCGGGAGCTGTGTGATTTCCTGTTTGACGCATCGCGGATCAATTGGCATTCTGTGGACGGCGCCGGTTGTTTGGTGGTTGTCGAATGGGCGATGGCAACATACCTCAAACGACTGAGCGTACCAATCTTTGACCTTCATGACAGACGGCATTTCATTTAACCCATCTGGCAAGTCGTCTAGCTCCTGGACGCGATGTGCAAGGCGGATTGGCAACTCCTCGGCCAAGAATTGCGAGGCGCGGAACAGGGTGCCTAGTTCACCGGAATGTCAACCTGGTCCGCCGGGGCAAGGGAGTCTCGGGGTCGATTGAGGAGAGCGGAATACCTATCGACGGCTTGTCACCAAACTGCACCATCTGGCGCAAGCTCACGCCGGTGGCAGGAAACCCGGCATAGTGGCGGATGGTGTTCATCAGTCTCTCCGACGACTTCCACGACATGGCGGGCCGAGAGACGAGGGAGGGACAGGGCCGGGGCAGCGGAATGCGACGTGTAGCAGAGTCTCAACAATGGGACAGTCTTTGGAGAGTGCCAGTGAGAGAATGGCGCAGCGTGAATGATGAGGCAGGTGACTCGGCTGCACAAAGGTCGACCAAACAGAAGATTGTCATTGATGGCGAAGGGAATGCGTCGGCATTGATGCCGTCGGTCGCGAGGTCGGAAGATGGCGGGGCGGCCTCTGAGTCAAAGCAGCAAACGGGGCCCCGCGGGAGCGACAAGTGAGAGCCGAGGCTCAGCCAAAGTCGGCAGGAGCACAGACGAGAGGACGGAACGCAACTCCGGAGAGCGCAACGGCACGGTCTAACGGGGGCGGAGAGAGGACGGCGATGATGAAAAAGAGATTGGCAATGGAACGTGGAAGACTTCAGTTCAGGCTGGGGTTTGGCAGTTGAGACGGGGTGAACGGAGGACCGGGGGGACGGGGGACGGGGGACGGGGGCGCGGGAGGCACGGGATGAGGTGGTGAAAATAGGCTTTTCGCCGGGGAAAAGGGAAGGAACAGGCGTCATGCAGCCCTGATTGTGCGTGTGCTGGTGGAAGGAGCGCCTGAGCAGAGCAACTTGCCAGGGCAACTACAGAAGACAGAACAAATACGAGAGTCGTCATAACATGGGCATTCGATCGTCGGGGACGCAGTAGGGCAAGCACGGTCCAGCGGAGGAGGGAAGGAAGGAGGGGCAGCTCATCACTCATGTCTGCAAGTCTGCACGTGCCGCCCCGTCAGAGAAGTACTAGTACTCCATGCTGCGTAGTACATGCGGAGTACCACCGTCCAGAATCAGGATCAGCGTGGGTGCAGTGCAGCGCAGTGTTTGAAAAAAAGAAATGGAATGAATAATGTTCCTTGAACTTCAATCTCTGCCGTAAAAGAAAAACAAAATAAAAGGGCAGCGCGCGGCAGGGACTTGGCAACCTGCGGAGCTGCACGGCCATGACATGATGAATCCATGCCATACCATGCCACGCCACGCCTTGCCACGTCCAGAGCAAGCTGGAGACGGACAGGTCCCGACAAGGAGCACGCAGAGAAGCATCTTCTGATTCTTGGCTGGCTACGGAGTAAGTAGGACTGCCTTTTTCCCTCTTCGGTCATACTCGGGGCTGACTATTGCATCGACGCACAATGCATGGTAGGTCCCGATGCTAAAACAGCAACAAGGACAGCAGATGTCCGATGAATGACTGATCTTAGCAATGCGCCCGAGAGTACGGATACTCCGGGCTAGCTAGCTATCCTACTTAGGTAGGTAGTCCAACATGTCGGCTAGCTCTGCAGAGGATTCCATGTTTCATGTCCTCGTCAACAGACCAGACATCTGGCTCGACGTCGTTGGACCAGATCCTGGCCAATCAGACCCACGTCATGTCATCTCGGGACGAAGCTCCAAGTACTCCGTACCCCTGGCCGAATCACGACCACGGCCTGTCATGCGCGGGCGCCTTTGGATGCACCGAAGCAGTGCCTCTCATCTGCCAGACGCAGACAGACGACCGACGACGGACGCGCCAGGACGTGCGTGACAAACGTGACGAGCCCCGTCTCCTTCTCGGCGAGTCCACGTGCCAAACGTGCCAACCCCAGCCCGAGGTCCGCAAAGCTAGCCAAGTGCTCAGTCATCATCCCAGCTCAGCATCGGACAACGTTGTTAGCAGCCCGATTAGCTTCCGTCGAACTTTGGCCTACTTGTGCACCTCGGAATCCGCTCTGGGCGCTAGTGCCAATCTGGGACCCGCCAGCCCGCCGCCGGCCCACCTGGACCTTGTTGTGGTTGTAGGTGAAGGTGAAGGCGAAGGGTCGGTGAGCGATTGTTGGCTTCCCAGGGTGGCTGGGTCACGAGTATTCGCCTCTTTTTTTTTTTTTTTTTTTTTTTTTTTTCCCCCTCTTGTTTTCCGCAGCATCATAGGCAAACTGTCGAGTGTCGATTCACTTGGCTAAATGTCCAGGTAGGTGGGCTGGACGTATCCTCTGTTGTGCCGCTGGCCGCGGAAACCAAATCCACCACAAGAGCTCCGAGGTTGAGCCTCGAGACATTCCTTGGCCAACGACCTCGTCTTCAACGACCAGCATCGGCATGGGTCACCCAGAGCAACGCGCGTCATCGCCGAGCGGCGCATCGCCATCGCCAAGAAGTCACGTCCAACTAGCCAGTCCGGCCCAGCATCGCCGAAGCATCCGCAGCCAGTGCAGCTGCCCGAGTCAAAATGGCATGGCGAGTCAACATTCTTCTCCTCGGCCTCTGAGCAGAGCACACAGCGCCATGGACGAACTGATCGAACGCGCAGTCTACACCCCGCCGCGCCGGACGAGTCCCGGTCCCAGTCCCAGTCCTGCCCCGAGCATGGCCTTTTCTAACCCGAGGTCCAGCATCAGCCCCCTCAGACGCGACGCATCTCACATCCACACCGTCCCGCCCGAAGGGATTGACGCCGTGACTTCTCGCGCAGCGAGGCACCACCTAGCGAGGCGGCTTAGCCAACTGGCCCGCCGGCTTACGTACGACGGATCGGACGACGTCGACGAGATGATGGTCGGCAGTCAACTCGAGCAGCTCGAGAAGGCCGTCGGCGGCGCCAAGGGCTCCGAGCCCGAGCCCAACAAGCTTCACTGCCAGACAAGCCTCGATAGCTCCGGCCGGAGCGACGTCGGCTCCGTGCTAGGGTCGCCTGTTTCTTCTCTCTTCAGATCCCGCTTCTCCGACCTGTCGGCCTCACTGCACAGAGAGCGCGGGGAGGCCGAAAAAAAAGCCGAGCACGAGGCTCCGCCAAACGAGGGCATGACGGGGACGCAAGCGAAGAAGGTGCTCGCAGAGATGAGCAAGCTGAACGAGGAGCTGTCAACCGTCGTGAACAACCTCAAGGCTCGACAGGAGGAGTCCGAGGTGAGTCGTTTCCTCGGTGGCGCATCGCCCGTCTCCTCTCCCCCCAGCCAGCCGAGCTCGCACTATACCAACACCGGCCCCAGCACATCCAGGGACTCCTCATCGAACGAGCCGAACGAGCAGCCCAGCGCATCATTTTCCTCCAAAGTCGCATCTCCTACCTGTACGTGCAGTATACCATAGCCCCCGTGACACGCCCCCCGTGACACGGCCCGGCAGCGGCGCGTTGCTGAGACGGGTGCCAGGGAGGAGGAGCTCCAGGAGAACGACGGCGAGCTGCAGCATCTCAGGATATGCCTGAAGGCCGTCGAGATACAGATGCCGCCCCACCCCGACCGAGAGCTCCAGCGATGCATAGCCACCTTCAAAGAGGGATACCAGGCCCTGAAGCGAAAGCGAGCGCACCGCGCCAGCATCGCGAGCGTTCGGGGCTTCGACGCCCCTCCGATCCACACGGGGACGCCGTTGCGATAACAGTCGATGATGACGGCGGGCCCCTCCACCCTCTCCTTTACACTCAACATGTTCTTATGACGACGACGACCACGAAGACCACGACGACCAGACGGATGTACGAGTTTGATCTTACACAAACGGAATGCTTGGACGGCCAACAACGCCGAGGACCCGATTACCACGGGGCCACTATTTGGGAGATTAACGCGCAACGGGATACATGGCATGCATAGCCACGAGCGGACTTGTTTTGTTTTGTCGTCTTTGTCTCCAACTCAGCCGCCCCCTGTCTTGGTCTTTCTTCCTGTTTTTCTTTTTCCACTCGTGCGACTTGTCCCCCTTGGACACACGTCTTAGACAGACATGTCTGCAGCAGCAGCAAAACATTGTCTTTGCGTCCGCGTGTAAGGTAACGAGCATTGAGCAGCAAGAACGGGCTTTCTTTAGTGATACCATCTGGCAGCAGGACGCAAGGCAATTTATTTTATTTTCAAGACGAATAATAATTCCAAAATGTTCTTTTTTTCCCTCCCATTTCCATCTGAATCTATACATGGTGTACATTCTGGTACAGCCCTGTCTCGTCTTTCTTGCCCGCCTTCCCACCTTCCCACCTTTCCCGTTCGCAAGTCGTGTCAATCTTTACTCTCTGAGCCGTCATGATGTGAAATGCAATTCGTGCGTCGTCATGAGTCCTTTTCGCTTTTCAACTGTACAGACACAAGTCGTTTGTGCCGATGCTCTCCGTTTGGCGCCCTTCTCCCGCTCGTTGCATCACGCAATCTACTGCCTGTTTTCGTCCGCCAGCCCCTCCCTTGCCCTTTTCTTTCCCCGTCTCATCCTCTCGCTTTTTCTCGTTGAAACTCCTCGTAGGTGGGGCCCAGTTGTCGCCCCTGGAAGAAGCGGTAACTGTCTGCTCTGCCGGATGATGCGTCGGGGGTCCGGGGACGCGGATCCGGCATCGTGCGGATGCTGTCCACGTCCCCTGGCGCCCTGGGATAGCAAGAGCCCGAGTAGCTCCGCGGGGGGTGCCCGTGCCTCCTTGCGCTGTCGATGGATGCGGCACGCGCGGCCTTGGGGCTCCGGTCGCGCCGCCGGCTCGTGTGTCCGCCGCCGCCGCCGTGTTTGATGCGCTCGGGCGACGGCTCCGAGTACCTGCGTCTGGGGGGCTCGCTGCGCGAGCTGGGGAAGTACCGCAGCTCGGGCATGTACATCTCGTCGTGCTGCGAGGATGAGCATGAGGGGCCCGAGTAGCGGTACTTAAACTCCTGGGGAGAGCGACCGACGACGGGGGCGGGTTTTTGTCGGCGGCGAGCCGTGTTTGCGGGGGATATGGTGACGGGCTCTGACGGCGATTTGCGGCTGGTGTACCGCTTGTGGTCGTCTGTGTGGGAGGACCTCTCTCGACGTCCTGCGCTTGTCGGGCTGGAGCTCCTGTGTGACGAGGTGCCGCGGAATGCTTCGAAGAGGAGGTTGCTCCACGAGGGGGAGGGGGGCTCGCACGAACCCTCCATGGACTTGATCCAGTCGTCTAGAGCGCAGGCAATGTCTCTGTATGCGCGGTCGCTTCTGTAGGCGGGGAAGAGGTGGCGGGATAGCTGTTTGGGGAGGCGCTCTGCCGGGGCTGTGCCCTGGTGGTCTGCCTCGAGGGGAACGTCCGTGAGGATGGCTTGGAGGCGGCGAGATTCGCAGTCCGGCGAGGCTTGAATGAAGGCCGTCAGCCAGGTTTGCAGGCCGGCGGGCGTGAGAGCCGGGATGAAGGGACGCGCGGAGTGGTGGTGGTCTTGGACGAGGTGGTATTCGCACGAGAGGTCTTGGTAGAGGCGTTCCAGGCTGCGGAGGCAGTGACGGGACTGGTAGTCGAATATTTCTGGGGCATCATCAATATGTGTGTTCTTGTTCGTCTTCTCGGGAGAGAGGGGAGTGGGTGGGCGAACCTTGCAAGGGGAATTGTTCCTTGTCAAGCTTGTATCTCCTGTAAAAGGCAAACATCTTGACGGGGGGGATGACGAGCGAGTTGCGCGGTTCGTATTCTCGGACCTGTACCCGTCAGAACGGGTATGCCAAAAGGGCAACTCGACGCGGCGCTTGCTTGCCTGGTTGCTTGCTTACCATGTAGTTTGCCAGCCCGCGTAGCACAGAACCCAATCTCCTGGTTGGCTCGCCGTGTTCTGTAAACAGCTGACCCCATTGCCTGTCAACGACGGACAAGTGAATGTGAGGTGGGCGGGCGTCTCCCCGTGGCGACGAGGTATATCGCGGCGAGGAAGGCTCCGTGTCTGCAGCATAGCTATTTGACCTGTGGTGCAGCACGACGGGGGGTCTGGTGGAAAAATGCACGGTAGGCCGTTGCTTGGGGCTTGATTCGGCGGACGAGGGGGGTGTAAGTGTCGTATTGGGATGGGGGGTCAGATAGGGCGTTGTAGAGGACGGGGCGAGTGGCTTTGTGTTTGGTGTAGTTGCGCGTGGATATGGAGATGAAGATGGAGGAAGCGAGTCGCGATTGGGCTTGTGCGCACACGTCCTCGACGACAACGACGACGAGTCTGCGACGGCAACCTTGTTGCGGGCTGGAGATGCGACGACCGTCTCTTCGTCCGAGTCGTCGTCATCAACAGTAGCCTGGAAGCGGCTTCTCTGGGCCGCTGGCCTCGTCTCCCGCACGACCGAGTCGCTCCTCAGAGAAAGGGGCGATATATCTGCGTCCTGGGCGAGGTGGTTTAGCGCGAGCCCAACGCGGCACGGCGACTCCATGGCAGGACCTGCCGCCGCCATCGTGGTGGTGGCGGTGGTGGTGGAGGGAGAAGAAGGATTCTCAGAGAGAGGCAGAGCTGAAGAGGCAGAGCAAAGGGCGTCGACGAGGAATGCCGCGGCTGATGATGTTCACAAAGTTGAACCGCAACGCGGCGATGAGGGCCTCACGACTCGGCGACGCGCGGTTCACGACGGGGCTCGAGCCATTGTTATATGCTCGACGACGGCACCCACAGCCGGCATCGAATGGAGGCAACGAATCGAGAGGACGACGGAGATGGTCGAGCAAAGTCTTTGCCCGACGGCGATGCGGCAATGCATGCGTCCACCCCCAACCGCTCGAGTACGGACAAGACTGGGAGACTCCAAGACTTGGACCAAGCAACGACCCTCCCACACCACGATAACAGAAGATGCCAGGTGCATTCGTCCATTCGTCCATTCACACCAAGCAGACGGACCAAACGTGTCGACCTCAAGCCGCCGCAGCTCTGCCTCGTAGGTCAGTCGAATCCAAGCCACGCGGCCGCTCCCGACGAGCGTCACGTCACGTCCGTCAGGTCAAGACGGACTCGAGAGACTGACAGCTTCAGCTTCAGCTCCCCTTCCCCTTCCTCCAGGCCACGAGACTCGAGTCGTCTGTCTCGCGTCGCCTCTTTTTCGAGTCGCCACATGGGCAGCACGGCAGAACTCCCGACTGTGCCATGCTGCTGTGCTGTGCACTGCCATGCCATGCCATGCCTTGCCAGCGTATATGCAATGCAGCCCGTCGCGCCCCCGTGCCACTGCCGCACGGAAACACGTCCCAAACACATCCGTACATGACATTAACAACTCGCACAAAACAAAAAAGGTCGACATGCACAGTACTCTCTGCACGCCGTGCGGTGCGCCTTGTCCCACGCGTCCACTTCCACCCCGGAAACGGGAACGGGAACGGGAAACGAAGAGCACATCACCTGTTTCGCCGCAGCCACCGCCGTCAAATCGCTCTCGTAGAACCGGGCGCGGGGGAAAAGTTTCCAAATCCCCCTCCCAAGCACAAGCCTTGCATTGCAAGCAGGGGGCGCGGGCGAGGATGAACGAAGCTGGCCTCGGGGGGGGAAAGCATGCAGAAAGAAAGAAAAGGCGTCCTGGCTGTCCAGACTCCACACTCCACACTCAACAACCAACTCAACACCACACCGAGTACGGAGTACATGTACATACAGTACGCGGTGCGTGCCAGCACTTCCCTCCCCAGTCACTCACACATGTGACATGCGACGTGCCATGCCCATCGACATCCCAAACCCAGCGGCGCATCTCGAGTCTTGACAAATGCTCACATCACCCACCGCCCGCCACTCCAGCGATGCATCGTCGGCACGTCGCATCTCATGCCCCAAAAAAAGAGCAGTCTCGTTTCACGGCAAAACAGAATAACCGCACACACACCAGCCAGGCGTCGAGCACCAACTGCTTGGTACTTCTTACTCATCTATTAGATGGTGAGCCGGGGCGTTGCACGAGTACTTACTACTAGGAACTAGGTACCTAAGTACTCAGTAGGAAGTACCTAGGTAGGCAGCGACATTGAGCGACAATTCCAATTCGTCCGTCCCTCCGTCCCATGGTCAAGAAGATGAGGAAAAAAAAACCGTCAAACTACACAATCCTCCGCAGCCATCTATCTACCTGTAGTCCTTGGGCATCACCGCAAGACGAAACCACGCCCCCTCCTCCAAAAAAAGGCATCACTCACTCGCTGCACAACAGCGTAGCTCGCCCGCTCGCCCGCCCGCCCGCCCGCTTGCCTTGGAAGCCCTGCATATGACAACATGCACACTTCGCCACGCCCATCCCTTCCTTCTTCCTTCTCTTCCCTTCTGCACCTCCCGCCTCATTTCTTCCCCCGGAAACCCAGATCGCCTCCTCTCCCGGACCAAAGACGTGCGTGCGTGGCTCTTTGCCTCTGCCCCCCCCCCCCTCTCCTTCTCCCCTAGATCTGATGAATCACGTTGGGTCGTGGGAAAGCGGGAAAGGGAAAAGGCACAGCGCGCAAGCAAAACCCGACTGAACCTGACGGACCAACCCGACGGATGAGCGACCAAGGCGGCACAGACGGTGGTGTGCTGGTGTTGCTGCCTCTTTCGTCATCGGACAGACGCTCGCAAAGGAGCTGCGGCAACAACAATTCACAGTAACAAACACAAAAGTGAGGCTGTGTTTAGTCGTCGTCGTCCTTCTCCTCCACGTCCGCGCCACCCAATTGAGCAGATTGGCTCCCCGGGACGACAACGTGCGGAGAACGGCCTCTGTCGCCTTGGCGAGTTCCCATGTCCTAGGACCCAATTCACTGAGGCTCTGTCGCGGGAAGACGACGGAAATCTCCCATCTTCCCGCTCCATCCATGTCTTGATTAGAAATTACACCCGCCGCGACTTTGTAGTGTTGTATTGACACTTTGATGATGATGCCGCCGAGGGCGCCTCCATAAACAAGAAACTCTCTCTCTCTCTCTTTCTCCTTTACTCTCGAACCGACGGCAAGGGGGAAAAAAAGACGAGATGAAAAACATTCCGCTGTAAAAAAACATGCTCCTTTTTGGCTTACACAACATGCCTCCCATATCCGCACTTGACCCCGGCCTTTTTCCTTCTCGCCCCTTTCCCTAATATCTTATGCCTTGTATAGAATATCCAGGAATCCCTTTGCCAAGTCCACGACAACACTCTTGTTTGGCAAAGACCCAGCTACACCGTACAGGGCAGCCGAGTCGCCCGTGGCCTTGCCCTTGGGCCCCTTGCCCTCCACTTGACGCGTTCTCTCCTTCTCGCGTTCCTCCTCGACAACGAGCTCGAGGTCACGAATCAGGCGCTCCCACGCCTTGGCAATGGGCATGGTTACAGCCACATGAATCGCTGGAGGATTCTGCAGCGCATTGAGATGCCATCCCTTGCTCGACATGGCATCGGCGAAGTCGTAGATGTTGAGGTGAAGAGCGGTGAGGGCAACCACGGAAACGAGGGGCCTGCCGACAATCTCGAGCTCGCCATTGAGCGTTCCAGAACACTGAATGGCCTCTGCAATCTTCTTGGCGGCACCGACAATCTTTACACAAGCATCCACATAGCCGGCCTCGCCTACAGTCAACAAGCTCGCCCAGCAGCCGGCGATCAATGCGCCAGGGCGCGATCCGGCAATACCGGGAGACGCGTAAACGCCTCCGGACCAGTCAGGGCAGACATAGTACTGGTACTGGCGCAGCTCCGCTGTGCGGTACAACACGGTCGAGTTACCCTTGGGGGCAAAGCCGTACTTGTGGGTGTCGCAACTGATACTGGTAACACCTTTGAGACGGAAATCGAAAAGCTCCGATTCGAAGCCGGCCTTTTCGAGATACGGCACGAGAAATGACCCCAGGCAGCAGTCGACGTGGAGGGGCAGCTTCTTGCGGACAGCCAGTCTCGACAAGGCGGTGATGTCGTCGATGATACCGTGAGGGAAGTTGGGAGCAGAACCGACAAGCAGAACCGTGTTGGGGTTGACCAGACGAGCTACTCTCTTGATGTCGACCTGGTAGCTGGGTGCGGGGCAGTCGACCAGGTGAATCTTGATGCCAAAGTAATCGCCGGCCTTGCGGAAGGCGGTGTGTGCAGTGTAAGGAAGAATCCTGTTGTTGTCGTCGTCGTTGTTTTGCCAAGACAATGGTTAGCCATTTGCCACGTTCTGACACGGTTGACATGCACGACACGGGTACGACAACTTGCCACATCCTTGTTCAGATGTTGAGACATACATTTCAGGTTCCGTTACTCCGCGCTCGGCATACGCCTTTTGGCGAGCGCCCAGACAAGCCATCAAGATGCTTTCCGTCCCGCCCGCAGTCGAAACGCCAGCAGCTCCAGGAGGGGCATGAAACATGTTGAGCACCATGCTGACGACCTCAGCCTCCATCTTGCGCACGCCCGGAAAGACATCCGGGTGGATGGGGTTGGCAACGGTAAACTTGCCAAAAGCCTCGGTCTGCAGGTTGATGAGCTCGTCCTCGCCGTGGTAGACAGCTCCGGAGACGAGCCCATCCTCCCAACGGGCATGGTCGAGGTTGGCCAGCGTCTCGAGTTCGGCTCGCACAGTATCTGCGGTCAAGCCCTCCTTGGGGAGGGTCAAGTACCGCGTATCCGTCTGTGCAATGAGTTTGGACGACATTTGAGCAATGGAATCGTTAACCTGCTTCTGAACCCTGCCGCGCACGCCAGGGGCGCGAAGGAAATAACCGTATAACGTGCGTTGGATTACATGGTACAACTCGAGGACGGCGCCGATCAGGCCTCGACCCTTGAGCTTCCAGAAAGCACGTCGGGACCATCGGAGGACAAAGTAGTAGAAAACGACGTTCCGCAGTCTAGCAGCAACAGAGAGATGAGGTGTCAGCCAAGAGAAATCGGAGGAGCATGCGGTGAGAAGGGATGTTATCTCGGTGTGGTGTGTGAAGAAAACGGGACATGAGAGCGACGCCAATTGGAGGGATGCTTGACGTCACGACCAATTGGCAATTGGCAAGTCGGGCCAACATGGAGTGCGCCAATGCGCCTCGGCCAGCCAGCCAGCCCATGACGGGCATGCGCAAAGAAGCACCACATGGGAGGAGGAGAGCTGGATAGTAGGCCTGAACGGAAGGTGTTTCACCAACGCGGACGAGAAAAACCAGAGGATGACGGGGATATCACGTACAAGTCGACGGTGAGAAAGTCGAGAGGGTTGGCAGGTCCTCGGCGCTTGACCTTTTCAAAACCGCCGAGGAGACTGACGGGCATTCGCGAGCTCCCAGGCATGGCGGTGGCGTCTGTCCAATGAGATCCGGCAGTGAAGCCGATGATGGCGGGCGAACAAGGAGGGAACGAGACAGGATGACGGCCCTCTACGTCGTCGTCTGTGTTCCAGATGCTGGATACACGGATGAAGAAGGAGAGAACAGCAAAAGGAAATGAAATGCCGGCAGCGGCCGTGCGAAAAGGACGGTGGGCTGGGGAGAGCAGAAAAAAAGCGCGGGTTTGACGTCGTCGATTTTGTAGTCGGGCTCGGATAACCGAGGGCGTCTGGCGCCGGCGAGAGCGCCCTTTGCTACAAGCGGCAAGCACGACGAGGCGAGTTCTTGCTTGGTTGCCTCAATGACCTATGACATGTGCGAAGTGTGTCTCGGGGCTATCAGGGGCAGAAGAGCAAGTGCATCTAGCATCTGATTCTCGACTGCCCAGGTGCTCGCTCCAAAGCGCCAGCAGCAGACGGACGAGCAGACCTGTTGGACCTGCAGACCTGTTCAGACCAGTCTGACCTCTGACCGCTGACCAGTCGGGGACCAGAGCTCAGGTCGACCTACTCCGTAGATCTCGGTCGAAAACAGAGGCGGGGGACGGCCTGTACTTGGACATTTTTCCAGTGGAGCCGCCCGCCGTCCCTCGCCGTAGTCCAGAGCTGCGTCTGGTCCAGACCCGTCATCGCATCGTCGCATTGATCCGCCCCCTGGGCCCCTCCCCTGCGGCCACGTTCGATGTTCCATTGTGGCTAAATCAACCCGCGCAGTCAACGTTGCCTACGGGCCTTGACAACATCGGCCTGCCAATCGGGCGAGTTTCCACCACAATGGCGCCTTTGTGTTTTGCGCAGCCGACCATCTCGAAGCCATGCTCCCTCCTCCCATCCCGTCCGTACGAGCCCGACCCCCGCGCAGACATCACGGACCGTACGGAGTGGTCGGGCTGACGTATCTCTGGCCCCTCGGGATGTCATCTCATCACGTTGAGTCCCATCTCGCAGACAGCTCCCGCCCAGGATATACACTGCGTACGTGCCCTTCCAGAGCAACCGCGCATGCCGCATCGTAATTCGTAACCGTGCCGGGGATCGTGAGATGCTCCTTCACCGACATCACGACGGCCTCAAGCACACCAACACACAAGTCGTGGCTCAACGAGTCCTGCGAATCCTACTCACGCAAAGCCCGTAGCAGCCCGCACCCGCATAGGGGCACTATGATGTATTTTGTAAATTCAATCCCATGTCTGCAACATACTCCAACATTGCTCCATCGCGGAGCAATAATATACCGGGCAGAAATATCCCTAGCCGTGCCTTTCAAATACATACATGGTTCCTTTCCCGTACCAGCAACCTCTTTTTCCGCCTCGTCGCTCGTAGCGCGTCTACTCAAACCTGCAACGCCAGACTCGACTGAAACCAAAGTCTCCAAAATTATAAAAGAGTAAAAGAAAAAACGTCAGGTTTGGTCCATAAATCACCCAAATCACAACGCACTGCGTTCTTTCATCTCATCCTTGCCACACGCCCGCTCATGGTATGCCCATTGCCTTCTTCAACTTCTCCCAGTAGGGTGACGACTCTGTCTGGCAGCTCTGCTCGCCCGTGTTTGTGCAACCGTGGAAGAGCACGACAAAGTCACCTTCTTGGTATCTTTCGCCAGCGTCGGACTGCGAGTATGATGCCAGCGTTCGTTGCGGGACGAGCGCCAGCTTGGAAAGGATGGTCGGGTGCCATTGGACGATGTGCTCCTGTACATTTTTGTCAACGCTGCTACATTGGATACGTGGGCGTGGGCGAAACAAGGGGGTTCCCGGCAACTCGTACCAATGCATGTCTCTCGGCCTTTTGGAAATTGTAACTCCTGTATAGGGGATCGAACCACGTCTCGACAAAGAACTTGGCAAATTCTCCATTGCGAATGACAACACTCTTGTGTACAAGACCTTCCTTGTCCTGGCTGACGATAAAGTCGATGTTTTCGCCCCGCAAGTGAGAAAACGTCTTGATGATGCTATCGGGGGGCACGACAGGGTAGTCCTTGATCATGAGACTCTCCAGTCTGCTGGGCCTCGTGACCTGGTCGTCCAGGCTCTTGGTTGGGTCCATGATGTAGGCGTCTTGGTCGAGATACCAAATGAATTTGCAATCGGGATATTTGGAAAGAGCGTGACGCATGGCGAATATTTTGGCCCATGATCGTGGGGATCCCTGCGTATCGTAGTCTAGGGCGTTGACGACCATTGCTTGGTAGCCTTTTGGGTGGTTAGTACTGCATTGTAGGCGGGCTACTGATGCCACTTGGCGTTGGGGAATGCCTTAAGAAACGCACCGTGTCTCGCAGCATATTTCTCGCGATTCTCCTTTATGGTGGCCAAATACGCCGGGTCCCATTCACTTGGGTCAATTACCGTCACCAAGACAACAGACGGATGGCCCGAGGGCACATGCTCGTGGTAAGGATCCGGCTTTTTGCCTCCACACAGGAAGTACAGCACGCCGAAGAACAGCAAGGCTCCAATAGAGATGCTTTTTAACCTGCTCCGTCTGAGCAGAGATATATTTGATGACATGGGCCGAAACGGCGGCGGACTTGAACGCTTTCGTGGCGGGTATGGAAGATGCATCGTGGCCAGCTAGCTATTCGCGTCGTTTAACAGGCACAACTATCATCTATTTTCGTCGCAATCCTGTCTCCTGGGCAGCAGTGCCGTCGTCCCCAGCATTCGGCCGTGCCGGTGCAAAGTCGCTTTCTAGAAACGCGCTTCGTGTTGGGGTGGTTGCGATATGGCGGTCCCGTCCCGACTGGCTGTGGAAATCCCGGGCGAGTCCTCAGAGATTTGAGGTGGCGGCGGCAGACAGCCGCTTGGGAAAAGAGCAGGCTGCCAAGAAAGGAGAAGAAGAAAACGACGTCGAAAAACGAAGGTGGTCGCAAGGGACGCGGCTTGTCTCTGCGGAGGAGGTGGCCGTTCGCGTGATTGCGGTTGTGAGGCCGGCTTGGGAGTTTGGGTGACTTTAGGAGTCTACGGCGACCGCCAAGGTCGTCTTGCAGGAAAGTGGCAAGTCAACTGGTGCAAGGATGGACCCATCAGCACCTTGCCAAACCCACTGGGGATGAACGGCTCCAGTTATTACTAATTAAGTTACATTGGAGCCGCCGTCAACGGTCGCTCATAGTCGACAGACAGCAAGTCGGACAGGTTGTGGTTCAAATCTTAAGGATGTATAGGCACGGCGTAAGTGGATTGCTGAGCCTATTGCAATATCGTCATTCTAAGTACTCGGACATGGACGATGCTGTTAGTGCATTGCGCGACACGTGGTGCGGGCATGGGCCTAGGCTTAGGCTTAGGGCTGAGGCATGATGCTCCAAGGAACCGGTCAACCCAGCGTGACTACGGGAGGTAGTCTGACACAGGATAGAAATAAAAAAGAAGAAATGTATCAGCAGCGCAAGGCACTCCGCCCACGACTTTTGTACAAATTGTACTGAGTAGACGCCAAGTAGCTTCACACACCAAAACAGTGTTTGAGCATCGAGTTGATGCTTCCTGACCTGTCACGCCTGCACCGGCGAGCACGCTTAGCCAAAACGGCACGGGCTCAAGGCATCGGCTAGACCTTCAATCTCTGCACGCAGACTAGTTGCCTTGACATGGAAGAGCAAAGTCGAGGCAACTTAAGAGCGTGCAATGTTTACAAAATCATAAAGCACGTCTTCGAGAAAAAAAACTACACTGCATGCCAAGTGATTGACAATTGGTACCAGTCGTGTTTCTGCGACTTCCCGTGACTACCTGTCTCTTCCTAATCTCTTCATTAGCTTGTACCAGCATCGCCGCCGTCTCGCATCGCTTCATCATCGTCATCGTCATCGTCGTCACCCACATCCATAACTTTATTGCTGACATTGGTCAGAATCCGCGCACTCATGGCCTTGACAAACCTCCACACTGCCATCATAAACGTAAGTGCTCCAATGATGACAAAGAGCAGGTTGAAGTTGTCCATCCTGCTCCTGCCAGTGCCGCCGCGTCTGCCAGACCCGAAGAGCCCGCCGGCACGGAAGTTGATCCAATGCCACGGACCCATTGCGACAAAGGACTTGATGGCGCCGATCAGCCCCAGGGAAAAGAAGCCCTTTGTGAAATGCTCAGTCCACGTGCTGGGCTCCTCGTATACCGGCGGCCGCACGGCATCCAGATCTGACACAACACTGGATACCGTATCTGCAATGGAACCTACAGGATCAAACCACAAGTCCATGATGGGATCTGCAATAAATCCTAGAATAAAGAGGCTGACGACGAGAACCACTACTGTCAGGAAAATCTGCGCGTATTTGCTGCTGAGCCTCGACGCCCAATGCAGCCGCGCCAATCGATATGTGAACTTGCATGTCGGGCATTGCCAGTAGTTTCTCGTGGCAGTGTGGTTCGTCAACCGCCATGCGTCGAGACACCCCTCGTGAACATATCTCGACGAGCCCTTACACTTGCAAGGTGACAGGAGCCGGCCTAGCTCCGGGTCGTCCGATTCGTATACTGGCCGCGACGACGATGTCGACACGCCAAATGCCCTTGGGATGTTCGTGGGGAATTTGGGGTGCTCCGTATCGAGACATATTCGACAGGTCCGTGGGCCGTAGCGACGACTTTGCGGTTTCGCTTGGGGGCTTGAAGCTTCTGCTTTTTCCTCTGCGGCCGTGCTATTGTCGGCCGACCGAGACTCTGGTCGTCTGAACGTCTCGGTTCGCTCCGACGGCAGTGAGGAAGAGTACGGCATCCGTCGGCGCTCAAATGAAGAGCCTGCGGTTTCAGACGGTTGAGAGTCCATCGTAGCACTATAGGCTAAAGCCGTGATGGTGAATCAAGTTCTGGTGCGCTGTAGAGGTTCAACGGCGTTCCATGCGCTACGGTTAAATCAGCCCATTAGGCTAAGTGGCCGCACGTCAAACCACATTGTCTGCCTTCAAAATTGAAGGACAGACGGAGTTGATACAAAGTAAAGATCCTGCGGCAGGTGAGGAAAAGGGTTGAGAGATGAAGACTGTTACACAGTCTTGTGCAGCTTCAAGGACGTTCAGCCTCCAGGTCGGCGTTGAGGCCACCTCATCATGGACACGAAAGACCAAGGCTATCAAACCAAAGGACCGCGTTCATTGTGGCAAAACGAAGACGGGCAAGGAGGCAGGTGGGTCCTCGGAGTTCGGTCAAACCCATTCGCCGGGTAAGAGGAAGCTCCCAGACCAGCTTGACGCGCAGCTCCGCCCGTGCCTGGGCGACCGCCGTCCCACGCTGCTTTGGAGGGAACATCCAAGTTGTTTCGACATCGTCAACTTTCCAATTAGTCACTCTACAGGACCAATACCACCGAACCCCTTTTTTGGTGACCTCTGCAGCTATGGCGGATCGATATTCATTCTCTCTGACAACGTTCTCTCCCAGGTATGTTGGCAAGATGGCCTTGATGTCACTTCGCGGTGACGACGGGATTAGAGCTCAGCTAATTATCTCTGTGTAGTGGAAAGCTGGTGCAGATTGGTACGGAGAGCTCTTATGCCACTTATTAGAACCCCCTTGACCCAGCCACTACAAAGACACGGTATCTGCAGCATTGCTAACATGATGCTCCAAAGAATATGCCTTGAACGCAGTCAACCAGGGCATTACGGCCCTCGGTATCAAAGGTTTGTAAATTCCATACGCAACTCTTCACGTTTCTATGTATCTTTCCAGTACTTAACCTCATACTAGCTACCAACGGCATTGTTCTCGCCACCGAAAAGAAGTCGTCCTCGCCTCTCGCCGACCAAAGCTCAGTGTCCAAAATCAGCAACATCACACCAAACATTGGCGCTGTCTATTCTGGCATGGGCCCCGACTACCGAGTCCTTGTCGACCGGGCACGCAAAGTTTCTCATACTGGCTACAAGCGAGTCTACAACGAGTATCCCCCTACCAGAATATTGGTCCAGGATGTTGCGAGAGTTATGCAGGAAGCTACGCAGTCAGCCGGTGTTCGACCCTACGGTGTGAGCATGCTGGTTGCTGGTTGGGATGATGGAATCGAGCCTGAGGACGAGACTCCCGCTGCTGAAGGTGAGGAGAAGAAACCTACGTCCAAAACTGGTGGTATCCAAAAGGGCGGGCCCATGCTGTATCAGGTCGACCCTACGGGTAGCTACTTTCCCTGGAAAGCTACAGCTATCGGTAAGAGCGCGACCAAGGCAAAGACCTTCCTGGAGAAGAGATACTCTGAGGAACTGGAGCTAGAGGATGCAATTCACATTGCCCTTTTGACCTTGAAGGATAATATTGAAGGAGAGATGAACGGTGATTCCATCGAGATTGGTATGTCGCTTTCTTTGCGCAACCTGGGAACGGTTCGTTTTTTTTTCCGGCTGCTGACTGAGATTGTAGGTATTGTTGGTCCTCCTGCTGACCACTTGCTGGGAATTGAGGGCGTCGAAGGAGCGACGGGTCCTCGGTTCAGAAAGCTCACGCCTCAGGAAATTGAGGACTATCTGACGAGTCTATGATGTGCGAGCGTAGCGGGGAATTGATAGGAAGCTTGATGTAAAATAGAAGATCATAAATGCTCAATGAGCCCTCTCAACGACAGTCTACCTGAAAGTACAATGTGATTTATCCTGGATCCAGCTTGCCTACGCTATCCTCGGTGCGGTCAAAATAAATGATGATTTCGGCCCAGCAGCTACTCCTACGACTTGGTCGGCTGAAATACCCAGCCCTACCTTTGTCCATGTTTTCGCGTCCATGTTCACGCCTTGTCCTAGGCCAAGTTGGCCGTTATCGTTACGGCCCATTACATAGACAGTGCCATCTGTTGTCAATGCAATGGCGTGGCTATCCCCCAACGCCACGTCCTGTACATCTTTGTCGCCATCGACGCCGAGGTAGTTGGGTACGTCACACAAGTCCGCAAATGCGGAATGGCCGCTTTGTCTTGATCCCGAGAATTTTTGGCCCCAAATGTAAATGCTTCCGCTCTCAGTGAGTGCCGCAAGGCAATAACCACCGGCAGTAACGTGCTTTATAGGTTCTCCGAGATCGATCAGATCAGGTACAAGTCCCGGCTCACTGGCTGGTCTACGTATCGCACGATCAGCCCAATTGATTGCTTCCCAGACCAACGTGCCAATTCACGCAAAGTTTCCGACAACTCACTCATCCGATGTAATCTCTCTAGCGAGGCAGTCCTGGTACCGTGGATCACCCATCGTGGCCACGTTGCCGTTTTTATAGAGGATTATAAACCCAGCGGCGAAGGCGGCCACTTCTTGGACCTGGCTATCACATGGCCAGCTCGTGGAATTAGACTTTGATACGAAGTCACGGTAGCAAGGATACACCGTTAGAGTATGCTGGTTCAGCTCGGGGCTCGCATTCGTAATTCTGGCGGCTGTACGTGGAGGACCAAAGGTCAGAGTGAGACCATTGCTGGCGAGGCACGCTTCGTAGCTGTGCCGGAAATCTCCCTCACTCGCAGTCTGGACACCGAATCCGGCACAATGATAGCCGGCGTGGCCACGGACTGCAGATTGTGAAGTGTAAGTTTCAAAGTGGTTCGAGTCTACCAAGGGAACTTTTCAAGGCCGTGGTTCAGGTGGCCGGGCGCTTCATCCTTTCTCATACGCACCTAGTGTGTAGTGCAAGCCTGGTCGAGGCCGTCCAAGGTGGTCGTCATGCAGGACTTTTGTAAAGGTCGATAAATCCTCAGGCTCAATGTCATTCTGCGGCCGCGGCGCGAAGCATAATTGATTCCAGGCATTGAAGCCTGCGGCGTACATGTCCATTCTTGCTCACGAAACCAAGCTGGAACCTCTGCACGGGACTTTTGCCTCGGGGCTGAACAAGAATGAGTGGTGCCGGGTGGGCATCGGTCATAACGTGGCTCGGCCTGATGCGCGACATGTGGTGGATTGTGGTGTCGCTGTCGTTCTGATAATGCGAGGTTGTAACAAGCGAGGCAGCCGGTTTCGATCTAGATGCCGATATCGATGGTCGTGAGCCAATCGTCTGGATACGAGGCGGTGCGTGTAACCAGTATGGGCAAACCGTCATTCGGCTTTGCAAATAAAGACTGAAAATTAAAATCACGGCCATCAGCCTGTCTCCCGTCGAGCAAGGCCGAGAGGTGCTGTTGGGAGATCGATGCAACCTGTGAATAACGTTAGCAAACGGGAGACCCTTGGCACGTGCCAAAGGTTTGTTGGCTCTTTCCGACTTTAGGTGGTCCCGACTCCCGACAAAGCCTTTCAACACAAGCTCTTCTCGACTTGCATGGACAAATGCCACGTATGAATGTGCTCGTTGCTAAGGAGGAACCTGCTCGACGGTCGTCCATTGAATATTCTTCATCCCAGCCTTCGTCAATTTCGTCTCTTTAGCCCTGCACCATTTAAAGACGTCAAAGTCCAAATTAAAACTCAGCAGCGACTGCCCATTGAACATCACCACTTCTTCGACCCGGCCGCCTCGGTTTGCGGATTGTGCCACGAACAAACAGACAGCCTTCGCCCGTTCGGTTTCGTCGATTCTTGTGGTGTGAATTGTCGTCCTTTTGCAGCCCGCAGCTGCAGCAGTGACTCACATCCTCGTAGACATTCATCATCCCCAACTTGGAATCCCTTTCCTGGTACCACTGACTCAGCTCTCACGGATGGCGGTGCCTCTTCTTGGTGTCTGTCTCATCCGTGTGGCCTGAGTCCACCCCATTCGCAAGCTCTGCGCCCTACTTGGTGGTTGAATGGTGCCGTCCCCAGTGGCTCTCACCAAAGAAACATGATTCCGGCCACATGTCTCGTTGGCTCTTGTAGTTCCAACGAAACCAAAGTACCCGGCGCTTCACTGGAGAAAGACCGGACTATGGATGATCAAAATGACACGCCGACAGAGTGCCTTGATAATAGGGAGGCAATCTCTGTTGCTTCTCTGATTTCTTCGTCCCAGCAACAACCCGAGCATGTCCTACAACACGGCATCGTTGGTGACGATGAGACCAGCGAAACGCCCTCTGCTACGGTCATGTCCCCTCGAGCCTACCAGTTAGAGATGCTCGACCAGAGCCTCAGACAAAATGCCATTGTTGTGGTAAGATTGCCCCATTGCCACAACTATTCAACTCTTCTTGACCCCTGATTTTGACTGGATTTCGTCGACTAGATGGACACAGGAAGTGGCAAAACACAAGTGTATGTCGTCTTTACCCCTCAGCTTTCCTGCTACTCAACAAGTTTTCCATAACAAACATGAGTCCTGACCCCTTCAAGTGCGGTTCTACGTATCAAAGCCGAGCTGGATCGATCCGCTCCTGATAAAGTATTTCTGAGCTTGGAAATGTCTCATTTGATTGATTTTATTAATGTGATATCTAGATAATATGGTTTCTGGCGCCAACTGTGGCATTGTGTGGCCAACAATTCGACGTGATTCGGTTGCAAGCCGCATCGGTACCCATGAAGCTGCTTACCGGCCATGATCAGGTTGACACATGGTCGGCCGAAATCTGGCATGCGATTCTAGATGGGACACGCGTGGTTGTGTCAACCTACCAGGTTCTTCTCGATGCACTATGCCACGCATTCATCACCATTGAGCGGCTTTCTCTCGTAATATTTGACGAAGGTTAGCCAAAGAGCCGTAGTTACGTCGGGAGCCTCACATGCTGATTTCGCAAAAAAGCACATAACTGTGTAGGAAAGCATCCAGGGAGTAAAATCATGTCAGATTTCTACCACCGTAACAAGCACACGGCCAAAAGCGTCCCGAATGTTCTCGGCATCACAGCGACTCCTAGCATGACAGAGGATATTGAGAACATGAAGATTCTTGAGGCAGTACTAGACGCTAAATGTATTTCGCCTACCAGGCATCGAGAAGAACTGTTGAGGTGCGTCAAGCGACCGCAGATATATAGTATCGTTCATGACGCATCTCCCTTGTTGCAGTACACAGAGTCAATGCACCGTTTGCAAAAGGAGTTCCTGAGTCTCGATATAGCCAAGGACCCCTATATACTAAGGCTTCAGGAAGACCCTTCGGACCGAAGTCGTCGAGCGCTAGTACGAGCTGTCGAAAAGTACGACACTTTTGCGCAGAATCAGATCAAGGGCTTGTGGGGTCGCAGCGTCGAGATATTAGAGCAACTTGGAGCCTGGGCCGCGGATGTGTACATCTGGAAGTCTGTTGATGCCTTCCTGGCCCTCATCAACACTGACAATATCTTCAATGATTGGTTGGATGCTGAGAAAAAGTACTTGGCCGATTTTCTGCGTCGAGTTTCCCCTTCGTGCCCACCTCCAATGCCACTTTGTGGCAGTGAAGTCTCCGGGAAGGCCAGTACCCTTGTCAAAGAACTTGCGTCGGCAGACGAGTCAACAGTCTGTCTTATTTTCGTCAAGGAGAGAGCAACTGCGAGTGCTCTCCGGGAACTCCTGGTAGCGTGTCCGCGGATTGTGCAGAAGCATCGCATTGCATCAATGGTTGGGACATCCAACCATCAAAGTAGGAGAAATGTCTTGAACGAAATTATGGGCAATACCTCAGACCCAATGGCAGCCTTACAAAGCTTCCGGTCAGGAAAGATCAATGTTCTCATTGCTACGTCCGTCTTGGAGGAAGGGATTGACGTTCCAGCTTGCAACATGGTCATTTGCTTTGATGACCCTCAAACTCCAAAGTCATTTGTACAACGACGGGGAAGGGCTAGAATGAAAGAGTCCAAACTCATATTACTTACTCAGTCTTCTCCATCGGCTGTTGGTAAATGGGAAGCACTAGAAGAAAACATGAAAGCTGTCTATCAAGACACCCAGCGCGAGATCCGCACGATACAATGCATCGAGGACTCTGAAGAGCCGTCGCCAACTTTTCTGGAAGTCGAGTCCACTGGAGCCAGGCTTGACTTCGATAATGCAAAATCACATCTAGAACATTTTTGCAGAGTGTTGTCCCACGGAGAGTTTGTCGACAGTCGACCGGACTATATTATTCATCGCCATGAAGACTGGGACTCAAGTTCAAAGGTAAAATTGAGTGCCACTATACTTCTTCCATCGTTTGTTCCCACCGAAATTCGCCACATTGACGGCAAATTTTGCTGGCTTTCGGAAAAGAATGCCACCAAAGATGCCGCCTTTCAGGCCTACCGGGCTTTGTACGAGGCTGGTTTGGTGAATGAGCACCTACTACCCTTCAGATATGAAGACATAACGCTACCTGGTGTAGAGAACAGAGCACCAGAAGTGCAAGTGGAACCGTTGCTCAACCCCTGGTTTCGAGTGGCGAGAGCCTGGAAAGAGGAAGACCAGCCATGGCTTTACTCTCTCAGATGCTGTGACGAGACGCACGGCGAATCCGAGTACAATGTGCTTCTTCCTGTTCAAATTGAACAGATCCGAAACATTCAGCTGTACCTCAACAGTAGTGATCTCTGCGAGCTACATTTCGACTCCCATCACCCCGTCTCTGCCGCTGATGTAGCTGCGATGCCAGATCACACCTCGGCATTGTTGGCACTTCCCTTTGCACATCGATGGCCAATTGAGGAAAAGCATCACGTTGTCAGAATTTGGGCCAAAGACAGCAATGTATCAATGGGTGGAATTGGCGTTAAGAGCCTTGACCCAACCAGCAGTGACGATGTGGAAGGAAATTACTTGATTCGAGACGAGTCAAACATCCCGTTTCACTATCTAGGCCTCCTCCCATCTAAGCCGCCGGTTGAAAGTATCCAGGGCTCAATGTTTGACTACGAAAATGCTCCAGCCGACGTGCCATACTTGGTGGTTAAGAAGTGGACTAAGCGATCCGACTTCCTGCATCCCGTTCTTTCTGACACTGAACCCGCAACGACGAAGCTATACCCTCAAGTTATTCCTTTATGCCTGGCAAGGGTGGATAGTATTCCTCTCAAATTCGCACAGTTTGGCATGCTTATCCCGTCTCTTATACACGAATTGGAGGTCACATTGATTGCGAAGGAACTATCGACCACATTACTAAAAAGAATCAACATCACGGAACTCGGGCTTGTTCGAGAGGCAATCAGCTCCCGTAGCGCAGTAGAGCCCGTCAACTATGAACGGCTTGAATTTCTTGGAGACTCTATTCTTAAATACTGCGCTGCTATACAAGTCTCCGCTATTCGTAAGTCCCGTGTACAAACTTTTCCTCGTATATAACGACTGACATTGTTGTACAGATCCGGAATGGCCCGAAGGATATCTGTCATTCTTCAAAGACCGACTTGTAAGCAACTCTCGACTCTCCAGAGCAGCCACAGAACTGGGGCTCGCCAAATTCATTCTTACAAAGTCCTTTACTGGCTTTAAGTGGCGACCATTGTACCTGGATAACTATTTGGAGAATCCGGACGGAGCAACGCCTCGAAAATTGTCGACCAAGACCCTGGCTGATGTAGTAGAGGCACTTATTGGAGCTTCGTACGTAAACGGGGGCATCACGAAAGCGCAGAGTTGCATATCGTTGTTCGTCAATGAAGTCCAATGGCAAGATGCCGACGAAAGCCGGGCGCTGCTTTTTGGGATGGCAAAAGATGATGACGTATTGCCGGCAGAGCTGATACCCCTGGAACAATTGGCCGGGTATGAGTTCAAGAAAAAATCGTTGCTGATTGAAGCCATGACACACCCGTCATGCATGTTCGACTACAACCGGCGATCTTACGAACATTTGGAGTTCATCGGCGACGCCATACTGGATTTTATCATCGTGAGAAAGGCGTACACCGCTGAGCCGCCCCTAGCTCATCATCAGATGCATTTGTTAAAAACAGCAATGGTAAATGGTGACTTCTTGGCGTTTTTGTCTTTTGAATGCCAGGTGCAGCGGACAGAAACGGGCGTGACAAGCGACTTGCAGATTATTGATAAGGAGGCGAGACCTTTATACCTGTGGACATTTATGCGGCATTCTTCAGAGGCGATTGGGATTGAGCAAGTCGCAACATTGAAAAGATATGAAGCACTTCGTGGCGGGATTCTGATGGCGCTCCGAGAGGGATCACAGTACCCATGGACTCTTTTTGCCCGACTCCAAGCCAAGAAATTCTGCTCTGATATTTTCGAGTCCTTGATTGGCGCAGTGTGGGTTGACTCTGGTTCAATCGAGACTTGTGAGCGCGTGCTCGAGAAATTCGAGGTTTTTTCAATTCTAGACCGCCTGATCAAAGACGGAGTTGAGCTCCGACATCCCAAGGAAGTTTTGGGCAAGATGGCGGTCACTCAGACGGTCACATATGATGTTGATGTGCAGAAGGCGCCGGATGGCGAAAAGGCATTTACATGTCGTGTCCTGGTGGGTCAAAGAGTCGTTGCCGAGATTGTTGATGGTGTGACACAGGAGGAAGTCAAGACGAAGGCTGCCGAGGCGGCTATACGAATTATGAGCGCGGAAAGAGACGAAGCGGCGGAATCCAATCATTGAGGATACACCTCGCTATGGTCTTGGTATGGATTCGACGCACATGGAGGTAGAGGTCGTATTTGAATGCCCTTTGGGAAAAAAGATCTTGATCCACGGCATCGAGTTGGACAGACGAGCCGGATGTCGCTTGGCAGATGTGTATGGCGCAGGTAAACTGGGTGGCGACAATACATCCAGGGCATCAACGGAACCAAGGTCATGCCGTTAAATGTCTATCCTATGAACTGGGCCCGTCATCTATGAATGTTTCGTCAATTCATCAATCACCACACCCACCATCCATCCCAGGACATGTTCCAGATCAGCATCCACCGGTGCCTCCTTGAGCACCTTGATGCCCTGACGATCCAACACGTCTGCCTTGAAGGCGCCTTCGACATCTCCCCCGTCAAACATCCAAGCGTGCTCCTCGACATAATTCGGCCACACAATCTTGTCGACGTACCCGGGGGGGTCGGCCCAGAATCCCTCAATGGTCACATAGCCGTCGCGGGCTTCCCTCCTGGCCTTCATCCTAGCATACGAAGCTCTCACGAACAGTTTAACATCAAGGTACGACTGGACGGCCCGCATAGAGGGCGAGTACAGCAAAAACCCGTCCAGAAGGCACAGCCGAAGATGTCCTCCGCGCAAAGGGTGCGAAGACGGCAGCGCATCAGACACCCTGCTCCTGAGGGCAGTGACGGTCGACTCGCGGACAGGGCATTTCCCGACAGAATTTCGGTCTTCTTTAGAATCTAGCGTCGGCTTCGAGGGCGTCAGGGCCAGGTCAGGTCTGGTCTGGTCTACGGCACCGCGGTGCAGTGCGCGTGGAGAGAAGCAGTTCAAGCGGCGTGGAGCGAGTTACCGGGAGACAGGCATGCTGCCGGATATAAGAGAGCGCTTCTGCCATGCCGGGCACGTCCAGGGCGCCGGCGCAGTCCCAGTCCAGCAGGCCATTTTTGACGGGCAGTCTGTCGCGGCGTGAGCACTGCTGCAGGAGAGAGGGGGACTTGCATGGGGGGTCGTGGGCGCGAGGCGAACGCACTCTGGCTCTGGCTTGTAGAAGTCGTCTTGGTGGAGGACAAGCGTGTTGGGGAAAATGTCGCGCAGAAGACGGGCGAGCGTGGTTTTGCCGCTGGAGGACGGGCCAGATATGCCCACGATGAGGGCCTTGGCCATCTGGGATGGGACGGGATGGGACGGATTCGTTGGTTGTGTGGGAAGAGGCGACGGCCAGGCGGGTTGCGTCTTTTGTGAAGTGAAGCAGAAGCGGGTCTCGATTGGATCGTGGCTTGACGAAGATGTGCACTGCTATGTTTGCACAAGTGCTAGGGGTCTGTGCTGTGCTGTGCTGTGCTGTGCTGTGCATTGCATACATAGCTGGCCAGCTGCTGCTGCTGAAGAGTTAAAGATGGGGCAGTTGCCCGTGATGTGACACGGAGCAAGTACTCGACTTGCAAATACATCCATCCGACACGCACGCCCAATTCATCGCCATGGCCGTCGACCAGGGCACCCAGACGGGCATCATCCTCACCACGTCTCTCGCCGCCTTCATCTCCGGCTGGCTGTTCGGCGTCTTCACTACCCGCGGCTACCTCATCTCGCCCGCGCTTGCCGAGGAACGCCGCCGCAACCTAGACGACCCCGTGGAGAGCGACGAGAGCGACGTCGATGAGGACGACACCATTCTCGACCACGCGCCCAACTGGGCCAACGGCGTCGCCGCCGACCAGAGGCAGGGCCTGAGGGCAAGGGCCCGCGTGAGGGGCGTGGCTGAGCCCAAGACGCTGGACGACGATTCCACCGAGGAGTGTAAGCTCGTCTTGGTGGTGAGGACGGATCTGGGCATGACCAAGGGTACGTGGGCCTCGCCTGGTTCTTGTTCTCCTTCTTCCCCTCCCTCCCCCAACCGTGACTTTTGGAGAGAGCAAAGTCGACGTCATCAGCTAAGGCGCCCCCGGCTACAGGCAAAATCGCCGCTCAGTGCTCCCACGCCACGCTCGCCTGCTACAAGGCCCTCGCCGGCTCTGCCACCGACAGCGCCCAGCACAAAGTCCTCCGGCGCTGGGAGAAGCGCGGCCAGGCCAAGGTTGCAGTGCAGGTCAAGAGCGAGGCCGAGCTGATGGACCTGCGGTGGAAGGCTCTCGACGCCGGTCTCACGGCCGAGGTGATCCAGGATGCTGGCAGGACGCAGATTGACCCCGGCAGTTTGACGGTCCTGGGCATTGGGCCTGCGCCCAAGAGTGTCGTGGACAAGATCACGGGCCATTTGAAGCTCTTGTAATTGGACTTGTAAAAAAAATCCAAGGGCGTGTGAGCTGCGAGGAGAGACTGCATCTGACAGAATCGGGCAAAAATGGGATCGGATTGGTCCCTGGAAAGGACGAGTTAAAGGCGTCTTGGGCTTTTACGTGGCGTAATTTGCAATAACAAAAAAGGGGAAAGGGAAAAGGGGAAAAACATGAGTTGGCTGTGCTCAGCCATGGGTCTCTAATAAACGGGTTGATCAAGGCAGACCACTGGTCACTCGTACGACAGGCGATGGGCTGCATTTGGATGCAGGAGGAGGAAAAGAAGTTAGAAATTTGATGCGCCATTCATGTGTGCATACGCTATGCCCTCCAAATGATCAGTTTCTATACATGTACAAATGTCAGTGGACCTGCTATCCTCAATCCTTCCTGGCAAATCTTGACAAGGCTGGTCCCAGATCTGCCGCGGCCTCCTCCCTCTTCTTGTCCTTGAGCTTCTGCTGCTCGTTCCACAGCTCGTCCACCCGCATCCTCTTGTCGTCGATGACGTTCTTCTTCCGCTGCTTGCGCAGGTACTTCTTCAATGCGCCGTTTTTGCCCCGGGCTCTCTTCCTGATTTCCTCGGCGACATCCACGGCCGGGGCATCCAGGTCCTTGTCTGCCTTTCTTTGGGCGTCGGATCTCAGATCCAGATTGCCGATGAAGTTGGGGTCCAGGGCGATCATCTCGGGCGCAAGCTTGTTGAGGAGGCCCTTGACTTCGGATTCCTGCCGCTGCTTGGCCGTCTCAAAGGGGTTCACCTCTAGTGCGTCAAAGTTGGCTTCGCCGGCGCCGGGGATGATGAGTGATGAGAAGCCGAGATGGTGGCCTACGCCGAGCACGTCTTCGAAGGGACACCATCTCACACGCTCGATGCGATTGCCCTCGCCGCCCCACGTCATGTACGGTGCTTTCACCTTCTCTTGGACGGCGGCGTGCTTGTCAAAGAGGCCTCTCCAGACAGTGGTTTGCGTTCCCCACCCGACGGCCGTGAGGCCCGTGTCCGAGATGTGCACCGACGAGGCTGGTTGGCGCGTGTGGTAGCTGTTGACTTCTCTGAACATTCTTATGTCCCATACTGCCATCTTGAGGTCCTGTCCGGCCGACACCATGTAGCGGCCCTCTCGGTCCGTGGCTAGGGATCGGACGGGTCCGCGGTGCGCGAGAAGCTTGACCAGCGGGTCTTGCGAGTTGGGTGACCACAATGTGACGGCGCCGTTCTGGTGTCCGACGTGCAGTATGGCGTTGTAGGGGTTGTGCGCCATGGACACGGGCTGTCCCAGTCGTGAGGGCATCTCGGCCACCAGCTGACCGGTCGAAGTGTCCTGGTATCTGATCACGCCGCCGGTGCCCTGCGCAAACAGGTATTAGCTGCTGTTTGTTTGTTTTTTTGGCTCCCAGTCCACGCGGAGCTGGGCAAAGAAATCATGTGCGAGACTCACAATCGTAGCCAGGAGGAAGTGGTACGGCAGAAACTCCATGTGTGTCACCTCATTGTGCTTCCTCAGAGTGTGCAGTTCCACGCCGTTCCTGTCGTAAATGTAGACGTACTTCTTCTGCGCGACCGCAAAATACTGGTTGTTGTGCAGCCACTTGACGTCGCGGACCGTCTCGCCCAGCTGCAGCTCGCAGCCGAGCTTGCCCTCTCGCCAGTCCATGGTGGCGACGTGGCCTTTCCGCCCGGCCAGCAGCAGTTCGCGGCCGTTCCTGGTGTAGTCGCACATGTAGGGACCAAGCGCGTCGAGTTTCAGGTCGAAGCGCTTCTGCGCCGTCGCTACCCCGACGTCGGAGACGATTTCTTCCTGCCGAGTCTTGAACGTGCGCTCCATCTCGCCCTCGGGTTCGAGGAAGCCGGCCGTGTTTTCGAGCAGGATCTCGGCGTCCTTTGCCTTGACTGCGGCGTCCTGGTACTTGCCCTCGAGACGCTTCATGCTGCTTCGGAGTTTCTTGTCCTTGATGTTCTTGGTGTTGATTTTCCTGCCTCGGCCGTACGCCTTGTTGGCTTCCCGTATGCGGCGAAGCTTTTCTCTCTCATGCTTGGGCATGAGCTGCACTCGGGGCCTTTCCACGGCGAGGGCGCCATTTTCGCGCACCTTGGTCACGGGCTCGTCGATCGTGTCAGCTTCCATGGTGCATCGAGATTCGTCCTGTGAAAAGTCAAGTCGGAACCTGGACCGTTGGCAGAAAGGGCTGTGCTGCGAACCTGCCGACCCTGCGACGGCCTGCGGACAAAATTTCCACCAAACACCAGCTATCGCCTGGCCACTATTGGTCGTTCCGGCTCAGTTCAGACCCGCAAGACGGTAATGACTTATCGATAAGCCAGCCGCACAAAAAATTCCTGATAACCCACAACCCCTCCATCTACCGCCTGCCTTTGCGACGGAAAAAAAAGCTCGGCGGCGACACATCTCTTCATGTTGGTCTGATTCTCATTCTTTTTTCTTTGCCCACATCTTCCTGGCTGCGGGTCAGATCATCTCCATCCTGGAGTCTCTACCCTTTAGATTCAAGGCTGGGGGCAACAGCAAAATGCCCGTCGCTGTTGCGAACCATTCGCATCGCCCCACCACAAAGGTGTCGCACAAGCCGTTCAAGTCAAAGGCCGCGTCGAAACACGAACTGAGGGATCGTGCCAAAGGCATGTGCTGCTAGCGAGTCCTTTGGACACAGACCATTGATCATCCCCGTGGCTCATACTTGTGCAGGTCGAGTCCTGAACGAGGGAGGACAGAGACGGACTCCACACCAACAGGTCATGTCCAAGTTCGATCGGCGAAATCAGGCCAAGCAGGCTCGCTTATCCAAGCACAGAGAACACCTCAAGGAGACTTCGATATTTTCCGGAAAGGATGGTGCCCCAAGAGTTGTTGCTGTTGTCCCTCTCTGCGCTGATGGCGACGCCAAAAACGCCGTGAAACAACTGAACGGGAGCCTCGACATCGACACCGAGGTTCAAGATGGACCGTTTCGAGTGTCAGTCGACCGATTCAAGCAGAAGCTTCAGTACATCCCCCTCCGTCGTGAACTCAATGCCTGCCTAGACGCTGCCCGGGTTGCTGATTTCGTCGTTGTGATTCTGTCCGCCAACGAGGAAGTGGACGCGCTTGGAGAATTGATCCTGCGAAGTATCGAGAGTCAGGGCATGTCAACCCTGTTCACCTCGGTGCAGGGCCTCGACAAGGTCGAGCCGGCCAAACAGCGCCAATCCACCGTAGCGTCTCTCAAGTCGTTTATTACGCATTTCCACCCGGAACAGGACAAGCTGTACAGCCTGGATAGCAGACAAGAATGCTCCAACTTGATGCGATCTCTCTGCAACACGACGCCCAAAGGTGTCCGCTGGAGGGATGACAGAAGTTGGATTCTGGCGGAGGACATAAAGTTTGCCGCCTGCGAATCGGAGCCCACCGTCCTCACTGGCGTCGTTCGAGGGCGAGGCTTGAATGCCGACAGACTGGTACAGATCTGCGACTGGGGCACGTATCAAATTGAAAAGATTGTGGCGGCTCCCCTGCCAAGGCATGCCAAAAGGGGCGAGGAAATGGCCGTCGGGGACGAAGCTGATGAAGTGTTGGAGGTGCCCTCCGAGGATCGGGACGACCTGCACCACCTCGCCCCCGAGGATGTGGTCATGGCCGCCGAGGATGATTCTGAGATGACTGCGGCCCCTGCGCCCAAGAAGGGCGTTTTGCTCGACGAGCACCACTACTTTTCCGACGACGACGCCGAAGAAAGGAAGATCAAGAAGAGGGTGCCCAAAGGGACGTCCAGCTACCAATCAGCCTGGTACCTGGACGACGTTTCCGACTCGGGCTCCGACATGGAAGACATGGAAATGGACGACCAGAAGGAAGAAGACGAGGAGATCGGCGCGGAAGACGGCGTCGAGGGGTGCGCCCAGGCCGCCGAGCCGACAGACCCCGGGCCTTCTGAATACCCACAGTCGGAAATGATGGACATCCCAGACGACGCCGAGGATGCGCAGCAACTGGCTCAGTATCGCGCCCGCAAGCGCGACGAAGCCGAGGACGACAGGGAATTCCCCGACGAAATCGAGCTGCACCCCCACGTCCTCGCCCGCGAGAGACTGGCCCGGTACAGAGGTCTCAAGAGCCTCCGCACAAGTCCGTGGCAAGAAGACGAAGACCGCGCCCACGAGCCCGAGGAATGGAGACGCCTCCTCCAAGTGCCCGACTACAACTCGTCCCGGTCCCGCGCCGTCCGCGAAGCTCTCGTCGGCGGCGTCGCCCCCGGCACCCGCGTCCACGTCCACATCAAGGGTGTCGCGGCAGACGTTGCCAGATCACACGAGCCCGGCTCGCCCGTGACGCTCTTCTCGCTCCTCCGCCACGAGAACAAGACGACGAGCCTCAACTACCTGTTCAGCCTCAGCAACGACTACGGCAAGTCCATCAAGTCCAAGGAGGAGCTGATTGTGCAATGTGGACCGCGACGCATGGCCGTCAAGCCCATCTTTTCCAACCCGGGCTCCACGCCAAACGACGTCCACAAGTTCTGCCGCTACGTGCACCCGGGCCAGTCGGTCATTGCATCCTTCATGGGACCCATGACCTGGGGCGCCGTGCCCGTCGTCTTCTTCAAGAGATGCGCCCCCGCGCCTGCCGGCGCCAATGGCGACGAGGACATTGGTCTTAGTCTCATCGGCACAGGCACGGCCCTGCCGCCGTCGACATCCCGAGTCGTCGCCAAGAGGGCCATACTGACGGGCCACCCGTACCACATCCACAAGAAGATGGTCACGGTGCGGTACATGTTCTTCAGCCGCGAGGACGTGGAGTGGTTCAAGGCCCTGCCGCTGTGGACGAGAAGAGGACGGACGGGCTTCGTCAAGGAGCCGCTGGGCACGCATGGCTACTTCAAGGCCACGTTTGACGGGAGGATCAATCCCCAGGATGCCGTGGGCGTGAGCTTGTACAAGCGCGTGTGGCCGCGGGCCTCGAAGCCCGTCCGGGAGCCGTTGCTGCAAGGTCCCGCTGCTGCTGCTGCTGCTGCTGGAGCTGGAGCTGGAGCTGGAGCTGCCGGGCAAGGCCAGAACGAGGATGTCACGATGGAATGATTATGTCGTGCGCGGGCGGGGGGGGGGAGGGGAGGTTCTTGGTCAAAAGACAGACGAGGGCATACTACACATCTAGGGACGACGATAAGCAGCGTATATTTGCATATTTTTCATATCCCGTCACGCCCGCGGACCTGCTTTTCTTCTCCTTGCTCTTGCTTCTCCATCAAAATGTGCCATGAGGGCCTACTTCTTCTCCAGCCCGTCCAGGCCCGGAGTCGGCGTCGGCCCGCCCTGCCTTACCCTCTCGGCCTCGGCGCCGCTGGCCCTCCACGCGCTCAAGACCAGATTCACAATGTGCTCGACGCCGACGCCCTTCTTGACCTGCGCGAAGACGGTGGGCCCGCCCTCCCTCATGCTCCGCGCGTCCCGCTCCATGACGGCCAGGTCGGCGCCCACGGCCTCGGCCAGGTCCGTCTTGTTCACGACCAGCAGGTCGCTCTGGGTGATGCCGGGCCCCCCCTTGCGCGGCACCTTGTCGCCGCCGCTCACGTCGATCACGTAGACGATGAAGTCGGCCAGCTCGCGCGAGTAGTTGGCGGCCAGGTTGTCGCCGCCCGACTCGATGAGCAGCAGGTCCGTGGCGAAGCGGCCGTGCAGGTCCTCCAGCGCGGCGAGGTTGGCCGAGATGTCCTCGCGCACGGCGGCGTGCGGGCAGCCGCCCGTCTCGATGGCGCGGATGCGCTCCGCCGGCAGCGCCGCGTGCCGCGTGAGGAACTCGGCGTCCTCGCGCGTGAAGATGTCGTTTGTGACGGCGGCGAGGGAGTACTTCTGGCGCAGGGCCAGGCAGAGGGCTAGCATGAGGGCGGTCTTACCGGAGCCCACGGGTCTGCCTTGTGTCAGCTGGGCTTTGCTCTTTGCTTTTCGCTGCTTCGTCTTCCGTCTGTTCCTGCGAGGTCCGAGGTCCTCGTGTCTGTCTCCTCTGG